ATACATATATATATGCGGCGTGTGCTTGTGCTTTAGGGTGCACACCCTAATGCAATAGGCTGAGCACGCCTATGTGTCTGTCTGTATGTGTGCCAGAATGTCTGTCTGTGTGTATGGGTGCCAGTATGTCTGTCAGTGTGTGTGAGTCTGTCAGTGTCTGTGTGGTTCAGTATGTGTGGTTCAGTATGGCTGTCTGTGAGTGTCAAAATGTCTGTCTGTCAGTGTCTTTGTGTATGTGTGCCAGAATGTCTGTCTGTCAGTGTGTCAGTATGTCTGTGTGAGTCTGTCAGTGTCCATGTGGTTCTGTATGTCTGTGTTTGTCAATATGTCAGTGTCTGTGTGTGTTTCAGTTTGTCCGTCTGTCTGTTTATATGTGCCAGTATGTCTGTCAGTGTATCTGTATGTCTGTGTGTGTGTCTGTCTGTCAGTGTCTGTGTGTGTCTCTGTGTCAATATCTCTGTCAGAATGTGTCTCTATATCTGTATGTTGTCTGTGTTGGTGTATCTATATATAGTCAGTGTGTATCTGTATGTGTGTCAGGTTGTGTATCTGTGTGTCTGTATGTGTGTCGTGGTATCTATATGTAGTCAGTGTTTGTATCTGTGTCCGTGCGTGTCAGTGTGTCTATATGTAGAATGTGTGTATCTGTATGTTCTTGTGTGTATCTATATGCAGTCAGTGTGTCTGCATGTGTGTCAGTGTATTTGTGTGTATCTATATGTAGTCAGGGGGCCCAAGTAAATGCTTGCCTAAGGTCCAATCAAAATTAAAGACGGCCCTGTATATAGTGAGCACTTAATTTTTGTGTTTTTCATAGAACAAAGGGCAAAGGGAAGGTAGCTGAACTGTCAAATGTCTCTTTGCCATTGGAATTGAAGCAATGTGTGATGGCTTTGTGTGACCGGAACCGTGAAATACACATCTTTGAGCTCGAAACGAGAGAACCAGTCTACCACACATAGGAGATCTAGTAGAAGATTGATGCCTTCCATCTTGAAATGACGGTTCAAGACATGTTGGTTTAGGTCTCTGAGATTGATTACCAGACAGAGATTTCCTGTATTTATAAGGACCAGAAACATGTTGCTGAGAAATGTATGTGGGAAGGGTGATCGTTCAATCGCTGTGCTCTCCAGTAGTTTGCATAGTTCTGCATGTAAAGTACCATAGGAGAGGCCTTTTGACTGGAAAAGATGACATCTATTCAGAATCTCTTAATGTGTAGGAATCATTGGTCCTGAGAGGGCATATTCCACTGTTTGAAAAAATTGGTTAATCGGCCTACAATAGGTACAATGAAGTAAGGACATTACCTTCAGCAGTACAACTTCTAATAGATCCTATCTATTAGATCTAATGAATAGCTGACAATGGTAAGGACAGGTAGTGCCCAAATTCCAATATTCAAAGGGTCAAGGCCTGTAGCCTGTAACCTGTAACCTTTCTAGTGGCTCGGCCTCTGTGGCGATCAGCTCTCTCATAAAAACGTGTGTTTTGCGAGCGAAAGACTCTATGTAAGGAGAAATTGACTTATTAAGCATTGTGAAGACAGAGACGTGTTTATTAAAGTCTAGACATGTGCAATTCGTTTCGAATGTAAATTCGGATTAATTTTGGGAAATCCAGACATTCGGATGCTTCCGAAGTGCCGAACCAAACTGAATTGTCAAAGTGCCGAATTTCGGAAGTGCCGAAGTGCTTCAAATTTCTGAAAAAAGGCAAAACAAGAGAGGGAGGGGAAATTATGTGAATGATGACAGGGTTAGGGGTTTGAGGTAGAATTAGGGTTAGGGAGCCCTAAAGATGTCCTGAATTTCGGAAATGCCGAACCTCCAAATTCTTTTTCTTATCCAAATTTCCCAACTGAACCAAATTTTTTGGCCCGTGCACATCCCTATTAAAGTCTCTAATGAAGCTGTCTTAAAGCAATAAGCCATTGGCTTCTGGCCCTAGTTATTTAGAACTTAAGCCCGCCAATTTAGTATCTATTTATAAAGGGCTGTCAAATTCTGATGTTGAGGAAACTTGAAATTAATTGAAAAATAGGTGCTGCTATACACAATATTAAATAATAATAGGAATGTTGATTCTCTAAATTAAGGCAAAAGGCTGAAGGTAAAAACGGGGGTAGGTGCAGCACTTCAGTAATCCTTGACAAGGTATATGTGGAGAGAACCAGATAAGAAATAATAGTGTAGTATTTTAAACCTGTAGTGGTGATAGGTAAGATAAAAGATGTGCACTCACACTTTCCTGGAACTTCAATACACCTCCAGTGTATGCGCCTAGGTGGAATAATCCCCGCAAATAGATCAAGTGCAGAGGTAATTCTTCGAATTATAGGTGTGGTAGATGGTATCCTCATAAAAAATAAACAAATAATCGTATATGGTGAAGTATGTAGAGCTATGAAGCAAGGGTAGGTAAAAACTATAAAATATACACTCACATGTAATGGAGCTGTAAAACCTTCCGTCTGTGTATATGTGGAGATAAACCAACAGAACCACAATAGTGTATACCATAAAAAGGAGTGTAAGCAGAAATAAATAAATAAGTTAAACCTACTCACATACTAAAGAGCAAGTTCCGGTTTGCTCAATCCAAGCGCTTAGCATGTGAGTAGGTTTAACTTATTTATTTCTGCTTACACTCCTTTTTATGGTGTACACTATTGAGGTTCTGTTGGTTTATCTCCACATACACACGGATGGATGAAATTATATTTATACCTAGCCCCCACTCGCACGGCATGGTTGAGGGCTTGGGAGGGGGGATACTAGGTTTTTTTTGTTTGTTTTTTAACAGTGAGCAGCCACTTCTCAATCGACACCCCTAACAGCTCTGACACCTCCCAACTCCTCTTTGTAACCACTTCCTTTGAATCACTCAGTGACTAATTCATCAGCTGGAAGCATTCTTTATCTAAATGTTCCAATTCCTCTATATGACCATCATTTGTTGATCTTTAATTTTAGTATACCCTATACCTAAGTTATACCACCCAATGAACATTAATCTCACAGAAACATTCACAGCCTTGACCTAATAAAGCAATTCTCCACCAATTTCCAAACTCTTTTACCCATCTCAATCCTTTCTAGCTATCCAACCTCCGTCTACAACTCCACCCTCTCCTCTGAGCTAAACAACATGGCACTTCCTACACTTAAACGTCATAAGCGACCCCAGTTACAACCTTGGCATACTAAGCTAACCTGATACCTACCTCCCAAGAAACCAAAAAAGCCTCTTTCACACTTTTAACACTCTTCTTCGCCCAGTTGTGGCTGTGCTTTAAGTTCAGACTGAGGCACTGAAATAGTTAATTTAGTTTTATTTAAGTGGCTGTGTATGCAGTGTGTTTAGCCTGTGAAACAGGTTTTCTCCCCCATTTTTAAATTATTTTACTGGAGTGAAATTGATCATGTGGTACTTTAGAGTCCGTTTTAATATGTCTGACTAATACTCATACCAACTGGGGGTTTCTCCATTGGATTTTGGATTTTTCACCTGGTGATTCAGTTAAATCACACAGTTGACTTCCAAATAATTTCTGAGCTTCTAGCAAGACTGGTTGTATGGAGGTTCATTTTACCACCCATAAAAGAATGGTCTCCAAATACAGCACCTTTGCCTAACCATGCAATGGTACAAGAGGTTAAACTTTGTTTAGTCTTGCATGTTGGTGTAAAGGCTTTCGATTTGGATGAATCAATTAGAATATGGGCCAAAATATTTGCAAGTCTACTGTCAACTAGTACATCTTATCCTCATGTCACTTGATATCCCAGACTTTGTCCTAAACCAAATTTTATATCTGTCCAAATCAAAAGTCTTAATTCCAGCTTGAATAAACAGATCCATCTGTAAAATAAATGGACAAATCAATTTGCTTTGGTGTTAATTAAAAGGCTTTTAATTCTGACTATTTGTTTATGGACGAAACAGATTTTTACACGTCTAATCCACAGTAGATCAGACACTACTGAAGATTTAGGGAAATAGAACAGGTACATATCTTGTACACCATCCTGATGAAAGAATATTTTCAATGGGGAATAATGGCATAGGCAGAAAAGGATGTTTAATAGCACCATATAGGGTAACCATTTCAAGCCTGAAGTCCAGCTTTGGTTAATGAAAGGGGCAGAAGCTAGATAGCAATACTCAGATGGAGTTGTTCAGCTAGGGCAGGGGTCCTCAAACTCCGGCCCCCCAGATGTTGCTTAACTACAACTCCCATGATTCTCTATGTAATTCAAAGAATCATGGGAATTGTAGTTCAGCAACATCTGGAGGGCCACAGTTTGAGGACTCCTGAGCTAGGAAGTAATCCTGCCTTCGAAATTAAAACTATTTTGGCTTCTGGGGCATGGAAAGGGCAGGCCCAGTGTTAAACAATTTTGCTCTCTAAGCAAGACCAGCTACCTGAGCTCATTCTCCAAGTTGCTGGGAATTTATTTTTAAATTGTCAACTTTGTGTGTCTCTTTTTCCTCTTCCTCAGCGCCTGTGTCTTTCTTACCTTTCAGCACATTACTGGGTGTCTTTCTCCCTCGCCCCCCACCCCCCATGCCTCTGTATGTCCTTTCCTCTGTGTCCTACTCCTCCCTCCCTCCACCCCTTGTGGTCTTTTTCCCCCTGTGCCAGCTCACCTTCCTCCTCCAGACCGTCTCTATCCTGACTGACAGAAAGCAGTTCGATGCTCTCTGTGCGCACATCCTGTCAGACTGGTAGAGGGAAACAGGCTCCTCTACTGCGGCTCGGCCACGCTACATGCAGTGACAGACAGGAGGGGAGCGCTGTGCTGTGTGCTCCCCGGTGCCAGTGCACCCTAGGCGGTTGCCTAATCCGCCTATCGCTCACATTGACCCTGGGTTGTGACTGTTTTTCTTTTTTGCTCTGCTAAATTATGACAAACAACAAAATGCAATGAACCAGTTATTTTTAGGCAACAGGTATCGCTAAAAACCAAATAAACCCAAGAAAGAATCAGACATTTCACAGTTTACGTCTCTTTAAATTTATTTAAATAAGTATTCTGCAAGTAGTAACAATGATTAAAATGTACTACAGCCACTAACGGTAGATGCAGTTTTCCAAGACAGAAATACATCGAAGACACAAATGGTTAATAACAAAACACAACATGTATTTTGCAACCAGAGATAGAAAAAATATATACTTTGAAAAAGAAAAACCCACAGAGTAAGTTTAGGGTTCTGGTCAATAATCATGATATTCAGCAGTAGCTACTGTAAAACCGTGACACATTCACTGGTAAAACATGATCTGAAGTCTCAAGTTGCTTCCATCCACTACACAATCTGCTTCATTTATCTCACTGATTTGTTTAGAAAGGTCATGCTGTAGATTTCATCCCGAAAACATGGCACAAAGTCAGTCTGGGTTGGCACAGCTGTATGTATTCACAAACGTCTTCATGTTCTGAATTGATTTTGTCTGGATTTTACTTCCCAGGATACAGAACGCGGAGAAGTAATGATGTGCTGTGGTCGTGTTCGAAACAAAAACAAAAAAACAGCAAATATTAGTGGTTTATCTATGAGATTATATGTAGTCAAATCTAATAAAAACACAAAATGACAATCTTCCGCAAGTGCATATGGTGGTTAAAAAATGTGCAGTAAATTACACCAGGTAAGATTTAAGGAGTGGCAGGCCAACTATCCATTTAATTTTTTTCTTTCAGTACAAACTTATGTTTTAATTATTTCATGTATACACTGTGCTAGCAAAACTACTAAACAATGTTTGGCATTTCCAGATACTTGTCTAAGCCAGTTGATTACTAAACTGCCACTGTGGCAGCCATCTTGGATCCTCTGAGTTGATATATATAATTTTAATCTATACATATGTTACCACAATGTATAGATTACAGCTGGAAACCAACCCAGACGTCTAATGACTGGCCTAAAAGGCATTACAGACTTTGAACATATGTAGCCCATGCCTATAACTTATTTGTGTGCGACGTTTATATAGTTTTTAAGCATTTTGCTGGACTGCAACTCCACATGCGTGGACAGATCTGAAATCCATTACAAGAGCTTTATTGATTCAAAACTATAAAATGTCAGACACAGAATCCCTTAGAAGTGTCCACGTTTGATATTTTGTGATGCAATTTTGTGTTGCAGCCAAACAAAATCAGGAATTTGGCAGATAAACAAGGAGAGGAGGCTAGCAATCCTATAACTAAATTCAATTAATTAAAAACATACTATCCATCAATATTTATATAATGAAATAATGTGTTTTCACTACATTCTGTTACTGATGTAACGAGGTCAGAGATTACAGCCAAATCTATCAGCCTTGCACAGCTAATAAGGGCCAAAATGGGACTTGCTTTATATACATAGTATGACCGCTACATGGTTATAAGTTATAGAAATGTTGGAGTGATTTTCGCAGAGTAGAAAGTGAAAATTGTCAGAAAAGTTGATGAGAAGTTAACAGGGATAGATAGAAACACTTTCTACGAAACATTGATGGGTCTCTCGCACAACGTGCCTTTGAGGGCTCCACAACTAAACTGCGTTATTCAGCATCTCTTAATTTAGCTGATAATCCCCAAAAGCTCATAATGCAAAGAAGGTATAGTGCGTTATGAGGTTTATTTACTACACCATAAACTGAACTGCAAATACTAGGCTAAAGTAGTTTGGGAAAAAAACTAAATTACAACTGTGCTGCTTTGACCTCAATTTTCAAATTCAGTTTTCGGTTCAGAGTGTAGTGGATGAAAAATTTTATTTTTAAGGGTTTTTGTATGTTGTTTAGAGAACTGAAGCTAGAAATGTTATTTTCACATGAGAGTCCTATTTAGGCACATAAGGGGACAACCTTAAGATACATTTTAAGAGAAAATAAATGCAAATGGAACCTCTGAACATGCGGCTCTGCAAGTCACACGTGTCCGGGACAGAGGCTGAGACAAACCTACTAGACTACAGAAAGCAGATATCTTAATGAACCTCTTCTAGGAAACACTTGTACAAGGATGCAAACACACATCTATGGTGATCATCCCAAGTCAGAACAAACCCCTTTGAGTTACCAATAGTGTCTTAGGTTCCTGTAACAGCTAAACGTCACATAATTTCAACAAAGCAAAATAGTTTCGTTTTTTTTTTTGGTTTTGTTTTTTTACTTGCAAACATAGCGTTCTATGCTTCTATGTACATTTTGTAATGGCTAACATGGACACTCTTGTGTGAAATACCTGAACAAATATCTACAGGTTACACTGAAATACTACGTTCGATTTCGACACAGAAAATGTCCCTCTGTAATGGAGACGGTTTCAAAAACAAGATAGTAAAGAAATAAGGCAAACAAATATGAACTATGAAGGTTTACCTCTTCCCAGTAATATTCCCGCCACCATGCCTTTTCGTAATGCTAGCGGTTCGTTGTGTTCACATTCTTCCCTTGCATGGCATTTACTGAAGTGGTAAGCAGGCCACCAGGCCTTCCTGGATCCCCATTCATCCATTACCCATGCTTTGTGATTGCTGAGAAGAAAAGGAATGGATTACAGACAACTACAGAATAAAAATATAACAAAAAACAATGCTGCAGCTTGAAATTGAATTGAAATTACAATCCATTCTGTAAGACATGCAAAAGCTACCTCTGGCATTCTACCTGCTGTAAACCATGCCTCAATGAAACCAGGTATTGCATTCCCTGATAGAACGTACGTATTTTGCTTGTGAACTGATACCACAATTACTTTGAGAGTGATGCAGAGACTTCAATGTTTAACCCCTTAAGGACACATGACATGAAGTTTGGTCCTTAAGGGGTTAAAGGGAACATATAGTCCCACAAGTAACAATCTCTTATGCTGCAGACTCCATCTGTGCCTCTGTTGATGTTGGCATTGAAGCGGACATCACCCGTAATCTTGTACGAAGTCAGTGTTTCTCAAAAAACCCTGACAACGAGTGATCAACGTGGTTTTAGACTTAAAGGGACACTATAATCACCAAAACAACTTTAGCTTAAAGGGACACTTTAAGCCAATTAAGTGAGTTGACACCCTTTTTGCACTTAGTGCTGCAATATAAAACATTGCACAGTTCCAGAGAAACTGCAACGTTTACATTGCAGCTCTAATTCTGCCCTCTGTGGCTGTCTATCAGACAGCCACTGGGGGCTTTTCCAAAACTTAAACTGACTTTTGGTACGTTATCTGACGCTGGACGTCCTCACAGATCCAGTGTCAGATTTTCCCCATAGGTAAAAAAACACTGAATAATGCTTTCCTATGGGGAGGTCTAATGCGCGCGGCCAGTGCAACTCACGCACATTAGGTAGTTGTTCTGGTGACTATAGTGTCCCTTTAATTTACTAAGTTATCTCCTGTTCTATAAATTGAACTTTAATTAAATAAATGAGGCCTCTGTAAGGTCTAGCAAGCTATTAATAGTGCAGGAGATTACAAATTCAAAATGAAACAGATTTTGCAATAAAGAAGGTTAGATCTCACTTAACAAGAAAAGTTTAGGAATGCTGTGTACATCACATGTAGGAAGGGGTGGTGTGGTAAGTCACCAGGTTTTAGTTGCTTATATTGAAGATCCTATGGAATCCCGACCATTATATTTACCGTATAAGAGCATTCATTAGTCGTCTCTCCAAACATTTCCAAGCGTTAACGTCTTTCTTCCAGGATGAGAAATCCAACAGATCAAACGCAACCTGCACAGCAAGTTTATGGTGTTTCTCACAGTCTGTCAACACAAATTGCAGCTGGTTATGGAATATTATTTAACAAAAGGAAAACATAACACAATGTATTGCACAAGAAAAAGGTTAAAAAGATATTTGCAAGGAACCAAGAATGACCGCAACTGAGTAAATATACTTGACAACCATCAATCACCTGCTGACCACACGGGCTATAGCAGATAGATTATATATTTCCACCCCCCACCCCCCCACCCCAAAAAGTTCCATTTGTGATCATAAAACGTCAAATAAACAAAATGTATACATTTTTTTTAGTCTGAAAAACATGGATTTATTTTTTTTATGCGTAAGGATAAATTACACAGAAGTACATATTGTACAAAGAAGAAAAATAGATAGCAGGTCATTGAAAGTAATAGAGAAAAATATTACAATGCTGAATGTTGAAAAGCAATGATTTAGCGATTGACTGATATGATTATTTCAGAATCTATGCCGATTGTCTGTTATCTTGTGGGCCAATTGCCGATAACCAGTGGCAATAATCTGTACATTTAACATTTTGCATAAGTAACATTTCTACACAAATCTGGCTTTAAGTGATCATGCTGACAGCAATCAGATTCAAATCACTCTCAGACATCCACTATATGCTGGGATGCCAGCATGAACAGTGCTGTTACTGATAGGACTGTGATTGCTTACAGTAATCACACTACTATCACTCTCAGTCAAACAGCCCAGTACATTACAGTAGATTATTCACTGTCTCAACTCACTGCCTTCAGCTGAAATCTGCATGGGTGGACTCACAGGGAGGATGACGCAATGTGGTGCCTTATTGGCTGGGGTTTTTCCAGATGCAGAAGGTGGCGTTCAGTGATCGAGAGAGGTGAGTAAATAATCGGTAAATTACAAAACGGACACGGATAATCAGAAATATGCTGAATATCGGCTTTAATAATCACTGGAACTGATAATCAGTCTATCCCTAATTTATACTAGAACATTATTTGCTAAATGGATCAATTGAGATAAAATAAATAAACATTGTGAAAATAAAGAGGCAATCTGTCCATTCTTGAGCTTACTCTGAATTTAGAGGGGGGGGGGAAAAAACAACATCTAACCCCTTGAGGACACATGACATGTGACATGTCAGGATTCCCTTTTATTCCAGAAGTTTGGTCCTTAAGGGGTTAATACAAAGCTAGTGCACTCTGGAGTTAAAGATAAGCTTATCTTAGTAATATAATACAATGTTACCAGAACACAAAAGCAGGATGGATATAAAAGGTCAAAAAATATGTAGCCTTCTCTATGTATAAAACATGTATAACTGATTTTATATATGTATAATGCCACTAATGCACACATATTCGTCTGAGTGCAATCTAATCACCTGCCATTATAGGAGAGTGGAAAGGCTGTGGAAAAGAAAGATCAGACTTTTAAAGACTCCTGCAGTTGGACTGTCTGCATTACTGCAGAATACGTTTAGCACCACTGAGTTAGTCAGGGCAGTTCTAATTGGCTGAGAACATCAGATAAGAACTTTCAGCCAATAAGAGTGGCCCTGTACCTCAGGGGAGACAACCAGCTTTTCCTGCAAGAGAAGCCAGATGCAGTCCGGCTGCACAGGAGGATCCCATTAAGTTTTGGGAACTACTGGCAGGATAACCACTACAGTGCGCTTAAATGGTTTTGGGATTGGAGTGTTCCTTTAAAGGACCACTGTAGGCACCCAGACCACTTCAGCTCACCATCTAGGTTTAACCCTGCCTGCTGTAAACATAGCATTTTCAGAGAAACTGCTATGTTTACCTATGGGTTAATCCAGCCTGTAGTGGCTGTCTCACTGACAGCCGCTAGAGGCGCTTCCGCGCTTCGAGAAGATGCCAGCGTTCATAGGAAAGCATTGAGAATGCTTTCCTATGAGACTGGCTGAATGCGCGCGATGAGGTCCAAAGGAGGAGGAGAGTCCCCAGAACCGAGGGAGCACGGCGATGGAAAAAGGTAGGAATTTAACCCCTTCCTCCCCCTAGAGCCCGGCAGGAGTGGGACCCTGAGGGTGGGGGCACCCTCAGGGCACTATAGAGCCAGGAAAACGAGTATGTTTTCCTGGCACTATAGTGGTCCTTTAAGCCTTTACAACAGTATGTGGTGTTTACTTCCAAATGATAATAGTTTGGGTCATTGTTGGCTTTAGAATTGGTGAGTCAGTTATTCTTTAAGATATGAATTTTATATGACATTTGACTGGGACCTTGGCATGGAATAAAGGTAAGTACATACCAGATTCTGCTAGGAGTTGGCTGAATTCCAGCATGAGTCTGTGTGAAGGAACAAGGGAATGTAATATCTAAAAAGAGAAAAATAAGATATTTTGCTTAGTAATCTAGATACATATAAAGCATAGTTTTATGATTTTATCAGTAACAGAAATAGTGTAAGAGTATAATGACTAACTACACAATTATTCTCATCTCAAAAGGTTTCAAATAAATGTAGCAAAAAAAACCCCAAAAAACGAGAAACCTAACTTTCACAAGAAATAGTAGCAGTATGAAATCTGTATAATTACTGAACTATCTGTTCAGTAACTGCCATACAATGGGTCTACTTTACTCAACAGTGAGTTGGCATTCAAGTCTGAAAAAGTTAGCCCAAACAGGAAGAAAATATTTCCAACTAACCAGAACTGGGGAAAGTTTCCCCAAACTGACTATTTTGGTGTACATTTGGAAAGCTGATCATTTACCATTCACTCAGTGTCTATTATATTAACTAAATATGCACCATTGTTAAGTGATACAGGGATTGCACAAATCACTCGCATTTTGAACATTTTGTTTCCACCGTGTTCACAGCTTTCAGCAGGAAATACGCTTCCAAAAAAAGGTATGGGAATTTTACTGGTACAGGTACCAGCTACAACAATCTTGTCTATAGGTTGTACTAGCAGCTTTGCCAACAAATGTATAAGTTGGGAGAGAAAAAATAAATAAATAATAGAACTCTTTAAAATAGACCTTTCCCCCACCAGCTAGTCTATTTGTCGGCACAGACTCTGTGCCAAAGGATTGACGACAAGGGAGAGCAGAAGTGACCTCCCTTAGGTAGTGTTTCTGGACTCTAAACTTTGCAAACCTTTTACTCTATTCCCTCCCATGCAGCAGCCATATACACAACCCTGTTCATATCCATAAGCTTCCCTTAATCTTTGTCAGTAAATGTTTCATGGACCAACAGCATTCTCTCGTCTACTACAATTTTATATTTCTACATCACCCTATCACCTCTGTACTAGTAGAACTCCTCTTCACCCCTCTACTCCACAGCAACAAACATTCTCTATATTTACTGGCTTTCCCACTCATGGTCTCTACCCCATTATCTCAATAATTAGCCATTTCAAAAAATTGGATTGTCCCTTTCAATTTGCTGTCTGCATCTGCAACAGTTGGGGATTAAGCCTATGTGATCAGTTCTTGCCGTTTACAGTCTTATTATTTTTAAAGCGCCAACATATTCCATAGCGCTGTACAATAGGTGGACTCGCAGACATGTTTTGCAACAAAACAAGCACAGGAACAGAGGGTGTTGGGGGCACTGCTCAAAAGAGCTTACATTCTAGAGATGTGCTTAAAATCCAAATGTTACTCTTAGTGGGATTAGAATATATTAACAAACTGCCTCCATAGATATATCTTTGGTTCTGATTGTTCCACTGTGGTAAAGCTGAACCACCCATATGGTTACACATTGAACACACAGCTGGGACTGCATTAAAATAACATTGTCAGATGTAACAGAAGAGAAAATGCATATTCACAAGCCCATTAAATATGGCTATGACATAAACAAAATATGTTAGTACTATAGTTGATTCCTTGTTCTGAATCAAAGAAATAACCAAAGTCTGAACTGTAAATCATGCAGTTATTAGGACACAGCAGTCTCTACGCTCCAAAGAACTTTCCTTGTTGCCATTTTGACATCATGCCCATTATTACTAAAATCAAGCCTTGAAGCCATAGTATGTAACAGTTAAAGGGACCCTATAGTCACCTGAACAACTTTAGCTTAATGAAGCAGTTTTGGTGTATAGAACATGCCCCTGCAGCCTCACTGCTCAATCCTCTGCCATTTAGGAGTTAAATCCCTTTGTTTATGAGCCCTAGTCACACCTCCTTGCATGTGACTTGCACAGCCTTCCATAAACACTTCCTGTAAAGAGATCCCTATTTAGGCTTTCTTTATTGCAAGTTCTGTTTAATTAAGATTTTCTTATCCCCTGCTATGTTAATAGCTTGCTAGACCCTGCAAGAGCCTCCTGTATGTGATTAAAGTTCAATTTAGAGATTGAGATACAATTATTTAAGGTAAATTACATCTGTTTGAAAGTGAAACCAGTTTTTTTTTCATGCAGGCTCTGTCAATCATAGCCAGGGGAGGTGTGGCTAGGGCTGCATAAACAGAAACAAAGTGATTTAACTCCTAAATGACAGTGAATTGAGCAGTGAAATTGCAGGGGAATGATCTATACACTAAAACTGCTTTATTTAGCTAAAGTAATTTAGGTGACTATAGTGTTCCTTTAATTTCAGAAACCCATTCTGACGCCTTGCTGATTACTTGTTCACATGCTTACCATACAAAAGGTTTGGTTTTAGTTATGTCCTATTTTGTTTTTAACCAACGGAGGAACCAGGATATGGCTCTGTATCTTCAGACAGTCTAAATGTGAGTTAGCTGAAGTAAACATTAACCATTATTGATTTTATTTTTTATTTTATAAATAAGTGTTTATTTACTTTCAAGTGGTTTTCGTTAAGATATGCAATAAAAATTACACAATTGGAGTAAGAAACTGGTCTCACAGGACCCCATTATTGGTTTTATATGGCAAATTTAGGCCATAAACATTCATCTGTGAAGTTTGATACATTGGCAGCTAACCAAATACTGCTTTATAAACGTGGAAATATTTATATACTTCACTGTTGCGACATTTACATCTTTCTTTGTAATTTAAACTTAAGTTGTTCTGTTGGGACCATGCCTAATGGAGCTTTTGATCTATGTGCAGATGTAGGGCATGTATGCCAGCGGATTCTTTAAAATAACACAGGATGACCCCCCACCTCCCCCCCGGACTTTGGAAAACGCTGAGACTTTGCTGGTTTCTGACCCACCAAAACAGAATATATGAAAACTCGGAGAATGGAGAATGTTGTAGTTTGTCCTCAGTTAGTCCCTGCTCAGATCTCACTCAAGCGATTAGAGAGGGAACCTTTGCAATTTGAATAACAGACCAAACCTACATACAAGGGTAGTCAGATCGGAGATGTCAGGAATTCCCCTTAACATTTATTTAATTAATAAACTATTTTACCATTAGAGATACAGTAACCCTAAATTAAAATTTCAGTTTTCATTGGGAATCTGATAGGTGAAGCGGAGACACCTCTAGGCATAGCTAGCAAGGTGATCAATAACTCTGCAGTTATCCAAATGAGTATAGAATAGACAGTATGTAACCTGACTGCAAAGATTAATTCCTTAAGGAACTGCCTTTCAGTTCACAGGGATTGGCATGTGACAGTCCCACTAGCAGGTATATATATAAAAATCTAAAACCACAAGTTATCATGAAAACAGATTAGAGTAAAGGCTGCTGGCTCAGCTCACCAAACCTTGTAGGACTTAAGGGCAGCTCCAGTTCTTCGGAACAGCCTGCCTACCCCCGTCAGACTCTCCCCTAGTCTTCTATCATTTAAGAAGTACCTCAAAAACTATACCTTCAGAAATGCTTATTGTCTCCCAGAGTAACTTCAATGTCACAGATCTGTCTCTTGCTCTCTCTTAAAGAGCCACACTCCACTCTCACCTCCAGTTCTGCTACTTTCCCACCTTGTTTGGTTGCGGTCGCCCTTGCTGTCCAATCGTGTTTTTATATCCTACTTTCTCTAGAGTGTAAGCTCATTTGAGCAGGATCGTCATCTACCTAATGTTTCTGTATCATTTATTGTTAAATTTCCCCCACTTTCATAATATTGTAAAGCGCTGCGGAATAAGTTGGTGCCATATAAATACCAATAATAATAATAACCAACAAATATTGAGAGCTGAATGGGCAAGCATGCGATATTCGACAAGTCTTACATTAATTCTTGGTGCAAATCTAGTAACCCATCTACACTATTCAGTCCGCGTGTGCATTTTAGGGAGTGACACAAGTTCAGTTATCTGCATCACAACAACCAGAAGTGGAACATTTGAAACATGTCCAGAAGAGCAGCAAATAAAGTAATACAATGAATTTTGATTTCACACTTGTTAGTCCACAACAAGAGTAGCAATAGATAAATAGTTTTTGGGATGTGTTTAGCATCCTACAACGAGCAACATTATTCTTCTCATTTGGGTAAAATTTGAAATACAGGTTTTGATGTTTTTCCTAAGCCTTATACTATAAATGTAGACATCACGGTCATTAAACTCACTTTCAAGACATTGATAAGTTTTTCACTTGTTGCCTCATTCCGCTTTAAGAACTCATACAAGTACACATGGGCATTGGGATTTGCAGGATTCTTGTTATTATAAGCATATTCTTTCAACAGTTCTTCAACCTTATGCTTCTCTCCAGAAGACTCAAGAAGCTGAGAGGAACAGAAATAGAAGTTAAAAAAATAATGATAGCTGATAGACATACAACAAAATGCATCTTCTGTCTAGACCAAGTGTAATCAACCTTTTAATACCTACTGCCCACTTTTGTACCTTTGTTGATGGTATAATTTCTGTGCCGTAGTCATTAATTTTATAGTGCAAGAGCAATTTTTTTTAATTTAAAAAAAATCAAAATAAATATGTACTTAAATTTATCTATTTTTTCCCTTTTTTCTATGTGTGTCTGTGAGGTGCTGTGTGCAGTGTGTGAGGTGCTGGGCGTATGTGATAAGGTCACTGCTTGTGAGGAGAGCAGTGTGTGTGAGCAAGCAGTCTGTGTGTGAGAAGGGCAGCGCGCGTGTGAGGGGGGCAGGCTATGTGCACCCCTCACACTACTGCCCCTATTCCGGCAGTCTCCAATTAAATTGTCAAACTGTTCTAAAACGGATTGACTACTTATTCTGGGAGGGCACCGGCACTCCTGGCACCATAACCACTACATAGAGCTGTAGTGGTTATTGTGTCTGGATTGTTACTTTAAATAATCTACCAGTGCCCCTCCCGAGATTAGGTTCTGGATCCGCCCCTGCTCTGCATGGGCTGGCAGGGGAGATGAAAGAATCTCCCCTGCTTGCCTTGGTCCATAGCCATCGAGACCCACTGGGCGTTTTCTGCAGAACCCACCACCGCCCATCTGAAATCCAACACTGCCCACTAGTGGGCGGTAGGGACCAGGTTGACTACCCATGGTCTAGTAAGTACTGTGGAAGGTGTTTACGCACAGTGTCAATTTTGATCAGGTTTTAGTCAAAAAACATTTAATTTAGTCGACTAAAACAAAAACAATTCAGATGATTAAAATACGACTAAAACTAAAATGGCTTTTAAGACAAAGGACTTTGACTAAAACGAAATTAAATTTTGCTGCCAAAATTAACACTGGTACAGCACACAGTCGTTATAACCAGTGCCCTTTTAATGAAATCATCCTAGATTACTTTTAAATGTGTGAAGTTTTGGGTTTCTATCCATCCAGCATGCTCAGAAGCAATGTTTAAATAGTCATGTGATAGGCTGAGAGTGTCAGCTGACACTCTCAGCCAATAAGCAGCTGGCGATGTATACCTTCCTGGAGAAGGCAGCGACTGGATGGAACACACAAAGAAGCCAAAGCAATCAAATGTAGATGGACCAACTTCTGGCTTAAAACAGCTTGAAAATGGTTTAAACCCTGAATTTCTGCCGAGTTACAGGGGTGACAGAGTTAATTTAAGAACAAATAAAACACTTTCCAAAGGGAAGGCTTTTAAACTCAAGACGTACATCAACATAACACTGTACAAAAGGATCCCAAACGCCTGGAAACCTAAGGATTTCTTGAAAAGAGGTGGTTGCTTGCTTGTACAAACCAAATATTTCTTGAGCTGTAGAAGAGTGAGAAGCAAAATCCGAATCTAGGATAGGGGAAAAAAAAAAAAAAAAAAATTTAAAAAATTTTTTTTTCATATATTCTTTTTGTAAAAAGAGTTTGCAAAAACACTAAAGCATTACAACAATTATGGCTTGCATTTTTTGTAATAAAACACACTTATATTATATAAGCAGTAATTTTCACGAGATCTCGCAGGTTCACACGTCAGTCTGCATGTACGGCAGACATCATATGAGCTCATTTACCGGTAATTAAGGAATAATGTGGTGGGAAATATTATCAATTCATTGTATAAAAGGAACACTTTGAGTGAAAAAGAAACATCAGAATGTGCTTTGTGGTCAGGGGAAGAGGAATAATAATAATAATAATAATGAATGTTCCGCTAAACACTACCCACTCTCCATTATTAAGGTCTTGTCCAGTAACATGTCAAATATAATGTACGCTCCACCAAATGAAAGCAATAGCTATCAGCGCTTAGCTGAGGAAAGCTAATGGAAGTCCCTAAGCAGGAGCTTACAGCACTCCGTGCGCTCTAGTGGGATGTCAGTCCATTCTGGAAACAATTTGACTCCCTAAAATATGGGGGAGTGGGGCACAGTGGCACCATAACCACTGTATAATGTAGCAGTGGCCATACAAGAATGATTTGAGTACATTTTGGTGAAACAGTTTTTTTTCAAGTGGTCCAAATGGTAAAACAGAAGCAAAAATAATTAAGGCGTGACAATAGCCAAGTAGGACAATCTTTTCAAAATCAGCTAGTTTTACATAAGTTTTGCGGTTTGAAATAAATTCATAAATATTCTGGGTAAAGTGAATAATCCTGTTAGAGATTCTTTAGCACCCAGAGTTAAGCACCTGTCAAATAAATTCTCAGCAACACAATATGCCAGCCTGTGATTATAAACATTTTCTTGAAAACCAAAAAAAAAAAAAAAAAAGATAAAATGGAGGACACAGAAGAAGGGGCATTGTAACAGCTTAGTGTGTTTCATATAAAAACTTCCTCGAAGAGTGCGCTGCCCCTCTTTTGAAATGGAGTCCTCACACAAAACCCACCAGGAGAGTATTGTAAAATGCATGCAATTTAATAAAACGGATTTTAAGATCGGTTTGCATCCTGACAGATTCTATTTAATTTGACTTCCCCCAAGCCTCCTTGGACCATGACCACTACAAGTAACTGTGCTTGGAATATCTTGTTAAGAGAGCAAACAGGCAAGTAATTTGACGTATATTTATTTAATTTTTTTTTCAAAAGTTTAAGTGTGGTTTATATAAAAATATAATATAATATAATAATATAATAGTTTTATTTCCCCGAAGGTTCTGCAGTTTTCAGTAGACTGGGCATTTAGTCATATTCTCAACTATTCATTTCTGGTTATTGACATTGATCTGGAACACAGATGTAATCTGATTGGCTGAACCAAATACACACTAAAACAGACCTAGACTATTGATTCACTAAGACACTAACCTAACTGATACCGAAGCGGTCTCAAAGCACATGAACGACCGCAATTTTACCAGGCAAAGGGAGGGGGGAGAATGTAATTTAAAAAAAAAAAAGATTTTAAAAAAGAAGGTTCAATAAGAGTAGCAGAGGGAGATGGGAGGGGTGGGCGGGGTAAACTATTTACCCCGACACTAAATATGCAAAGAATTTACACTAGGTGGACCAGAACAGAACTCTGAGCTGCCTAAGTCACTTGTGCTGGGGATGCAACTTGCCCCCAGCATACAATTAAAAATAAAAAATAAAATAAAAATAAAAAACAGTGTGTTCAGTGATCCAAGCTGAAACACTGGACACACTGACTCCTACCACCATGACTAGTTCAAATCACTGAAGTGGTCATGGTGGTTGGAGTGATCATTTAAATGATGAGGACACTACCGATATAGGTACAGAAAAATCTAAACAGTGTCAGTACTGAGTGCACTAACTTGGACAATATTGTTGGTGATTCAAGAATTACGGAAACATTATATTACAGATCTGCGTGTAGTGACATTTATATATAAAAGAAAGAAAAACAACAAAAGCAACAAAAAAAACAAACACAATCTTCACCCCTAGTTTACTTCTTATCACTCCTTACCACCCTCAGTCACTGAGGCTTTTTTGTCCAACCAAGCCCGGTAATCCAGCAGAGCTCGGTATGCTTGTATAAGTTTAAAGAACTTGTTCTGGGAAGCAGAGAATGTTCCGAATCTCCAGCTTTCTGCAACCATTAAAACTCTGGAAGCGTCCTCAATTTGGCCATTGCACAGCAAGTAAAATGCTTGTTCAAGACTTATCTGCAAGATATATAACAGAGTCCAAAGCTGATGTGAAGTTTTCAAAGGCAATATTTGAAGTCTAAAAGCACCATGTAATTAAAATGCTCTGTTCTTAAATCATTACTGAACATTTGGTCTAGATTGTAAGCAAATATTTAGTCTTCTATAAGCAATGACACACAAGTGTAGTTCTTAAAATAATTACAGGGTATATACATCCAAGGGGTCTGAGAATTTTTTTTTTTATATATTATTCTCAACTTGTATATACAAAACTAAACTAAACAAAAATACATACATTCTATATTTACAAAGGAATTAAAATGCAATAAACTGTTAATGTTGTTCTCTCCGGTGCAAGCATCCACTGTAATGACTATGTTTAGTATATATTTGAATGTAAACATACAAAAGGTATTACTGGTTTACTCATTCATGTAACCAATACAGATTCTGAAAGCACTGCTGATGTATCCGCTGGAAGGCTGAATAGCTAAATAATTTTATCCATATACTTAGTGTTAAACAGCCTAACAATACAATATTAATTAAAAGGACCACTCTAGGCACCCAGACCACTTCAGCTTAATGAAGTGGTCTGGGTGCCAGGTCCAGCTAGGCTTAACTCATTCTTTTATAAACATAGCAGTTTCAGAGAGACTGCTATGTTTATGAATGGGTTAAGCCTTCCCCCAATTCCTCTAGCGGCTGTCTCATTGACAGCCGCTAGAGGCGCTTGCGTGCTTCTCACTGTGATTTTCACAGTGAGAGCACGCAAGCGTCCATAGGAAAGCATTGATAATGCTTTCCTATGTGACTGGCTGAATGCGCGCGCAGCTCTTGCCGCGCGTGTGCATTCAGCCGCATGGGAGGAGAAGAGGAGGATCAGAGGAGGAGAGCTCCCCGCCCAGCACTGGAAAAAGGTAAGTTTTTACCCCTTTCCCCCTTCCAGAGCCGGGCGGGAGGGGGACCCTGAGAGTGCGGGCACCCTCAGGGCACTATAGTGCCAGGAAAACATACTCGTTTTCCTGGCACTATAGTGGTCCTTTAACATGTGAAATGTCAACAGAAAAGAACAGAAATTATATCTGCAAATTTTCAATCCACCACTTGGTGTCACTGTGTACACATACAGTTCTACAAACCGATATACTGTTGTAGATAATATCAGGGAGTAGGGAGATTGGGCTTCAATAGCATGAACATTTTCAGGAACTGTTGTAGATATTAATTTAGTAAATAGATCACTTCGTGTACTTGGCAAGAAGAGTTTGCAATTTGTGACAGTTTTAATATAGGTCATTTGTAACAGATAACTAAACAAAAAAAAAATGGACTATTTTATTACTTTAACTTACCTAAGAATTCTCCAAAGGTCACTGAAAACAAGCTATGGTGGGACAAAAAGATAGATTCTCTGATGCTGAAGAATTACAAGTTCAATTATGTTCGTGGCTAGGCAACATACACAATATGCTCAAATTAGCACTATTTCCAAGAGGGAAAAATGGCGGAATATACTATGCAGGTAATGCTATATACACTTTCCTACATCAGTGATTCTTGTAGTAAAACTATACTTGTCCAAGTGATTTCTTTAGGAAGGAAAACATGTGCGCCTGTACCCAACATGCATGAGAAACCATGCACAATTATCTCCATAGTTTTAAATTGGAGAGCATTTCAGCCAATTAATGGTTTATGTAAAGAACTGCAGCATTATGGTAATTTCCGGAAAACTTTATGCATTTATATAACATAACATAACTAACACACACACACACACACTTAAAAAAAAAGCATAGTCAAAGATTTGTAACTTCAATAAACAATAAAGTGATGCTAAAGAAAAGTTACTTGTGCACTATTCCAAATCCATAGGCACATTGGAGTTTTTGTTTTTTTTAGAATCACTCCAGTGGCCATTTAAGTGTAAGCTCATCTGCCATGTCAAGGTTTCGGTTTCAGTTTCAGGTAAAGAAAAAAATAAAAATAAAAATCTAGTGAGACAGAGAGGGGTATTTTTTCTAAACCTCTGCATACTTATTAACCCTTAACATGGAACACATTGGGTGGCCAGCAGCACTGCAACATAGCGGTGTGATACAAAGGCAAATACAAATATAAAAAATGAAGTCTTGCGCTCAAACTCCCACTACTCTTGGGCGGCAGCATTGACTACAGTACACATCAACCACAATCCATAGGATAAAAACCAAAAAAGAGATACTGTCCCACTATCCCAAATTCCTAGGCACACTTGAATAACATGAGTTTTTTTAGTATCACTTCAATGGCCTGTTTTATTTTATTTTATTGTATGTATTGGAGCTGAGGTATAATACAGTCATTGTAGCTGCCCAGGAGCAGTGGGAGTTTGAGTGCAGGACTTCACTTTGTATATTTGTATTTGCTTTTGTAATTCAAGTGATGCTGTTTAGTCAGTCAATACATATATCCAAGTCGATGTTTCAATCTCTGAAAGAGACTTTAATCAAGATTTTAAAAAAAAAAGGTCTCTCTCAGAGCCTGAAACACCGACTTGGATTTATATATTAGCTGAATAAACAGCATCACTTTACTGAAGTTACAAACCCCTGAGTATGCCTCTTCTTGCAATATATACATTTGGATGGAGGTAATAGCATTGGCTTATAATGTGTATATACATATGTACACAAATACACAGACATGGAAAAAAGAAAGTACACCCTCTTAATTCTATGGTTTTACGTATCAGGACATGTAACCATAGAAACATACACACACCACAAAAATAATACAGCTAGTAATGGCAATAAGGTGATTAAAGGTTGCTTATTTTTCAAGTTATTTCAATAATTGGAATCAGCAAAAATGAAGACCCATATAGTTCCTGATACATTTTTTTCCCCCCCGGAACTTTTGTTTTTATAGACAAGGCTATAAACAAATATATTCCCTTACCTGAAGAAAATTCTTCACTCCAATGTTTTTCATTCTTTCATGGAACAAGTTTAATTCGTCCACGCTGCTTTTAGGATGATTTAACAGAATCTCAGTCCCTAACCTCCAAATGATCTGTCAATACAAGATACACATTTATTTCCCCCGATGCAACGCACATAGCAAAACACCACAGCAGATATTTTGAGTCTGCAATTATGAGAAAATCACCAAACAGTTTTTGTTTGTCGAAGTTAGTCAACATGGAGATAGCTGTGATGCAGATTCACTCGCAAGTTGGTCCTGGTTTCATCATTTGAATACCAAGAGCAGAAACCTATTGTACATTAACTCGGAGATATCCCTGGACCATTTTTTTTTAAGGTACCACTGACCGTGTGCAATTTCAAGATATAAAAAAAAATAAGAATTGGGGGGGGGCAAAGCCTGGCACTGAACCGGAATGGACGCCATTTCTCCCAGCTCCGAAAATTAAATAAACAATCTAAGTGTTATCTCGGTTACTAGCTACCATCCGACCCTGCAAACACCAGATACAGCCTAGGGACACCCCACTGAATCCCCAGATGCCCTTCCAGTACTCCCCGAAGCACCTAAAGGCAAAACGCAGGACCGGGGCCTATCACAAGCCCACCTACCGCGACCTCGAGTATCTCTGGAGCGGGGATCTCGCGGGAGACGCAGCAGAGCTATGGTCGACTCATACAGCACCTGCCAATACATCCATGGGGCGCAGAAACCAGAAACCTACACCCGGTAATGCACCAGAACAGAGGGATATCGGAGCTATGCTCCAGCTGCACACCTCAGCCAAGATGGAGGCCGACGAATATCCAACTTCACTGAGGGCTCCCCACACAGCTGCATCAGCAACATCTCAGCTACAGAGCCCAGCAGAGGACACACAGCAACAACCCACAGCATCAGCAGGTAACAACCTGCAACCAAACAGGACGTCCAAATCCTATACACTATGCTACAGGATATTCAAAGCCTCCTCACTGCTGACCTGCCCATCCTAAAATCATCCATGCCACAACTAACAGGCAGAATGGAGGCAACTGAAGCAGATATTAAAGAGCCCCGCCAAGACACCTCCACCATGCAAGCATCTATACTCCAACTACAAGCAACCCAACAGGCTCTTTCACTACAGGTGGCAGTGCAGGAGGACAGGTACTGCCGCAACCACGTAAAGATAAGGGGCATCCCGGCCACCGTCCCTCAGGAGGAACTGCCACACTACGTGAGAAGGCTGCTGGCCTCAGTGCTGCCACCTGCTACCGCAAAAAAAATTAACATCGCTGGGCTATATCGCCTACCAACGCCCACCACAACGCCCTGCGACGTCATACTCTGCTGCGCACTACCTCAAGACAATAGGCAAATAATGACAGCGGTAAGGAACAAGACCCCACTTGCATTTGAAGACTCACAATTGTCCTTTTACCAGGACTTATCCAAAGCCACACTGCAATGGCGAAAATCCCTGAACCCTATCACCACCCGACTGCGGGCAGCAGGAGTGTCCTACAGGTGGGGAATGCCACGATCCCTCCTTGTCTCACACAAGGGGACCATACAAAAGCTAGCCACAGGGACTGATATCCCAGCGTTCCTCGCAGATCTGGACATGCAGGAGGCGACGGCAGCCCCGGCGGACTCAAATCGCGCCCACGGATGGGACCCATCCAGTGTGGTACCATTTGTGCCCCCCGCTACCCCCTTGGTTACGGGAGACACCTCCACCGGTCAGCCATGCACGAAGGTAGTCACCTCCTCCCCCCCCCCCATCATGAGCGAATACAGTCGATTTGTAAACCCCTACATTGCCCTAGGAACATGCACCTCTTGTACCACCCTCCCTGGGCTTGAACAGAAATCACCAGTGTACCATGCACCATACTCAACAGAAGCCCCCTAGGGATCCACTCATGATATACTTAAAACAAAAAATGTGCATAATCACAATCACTGTATATGTGTAATATGTACAATATCACTCTGTTTATTTTTCTAAAGTGACAGATATGCATCTGTGTAATGCAATGCACAACAAAAAAAAATAAAAGAAAATAAGAATTCTGGACATTCCAGATGAATCTATCATATCTTTAAGTTGTTTAAGTCTACGTTGTGTTATTTTCTTGTCTTTGATTGTGTCGCATTTCTAGAGTTACTATTGTGTATGGACTATAAAAATCCCTGAATTCCATTGTATGTTGCAAAATATCAGAATGTCAACAGGTGTACCCATGACGTTGCATATCTAAAAGGATGTCTTCGAACAAGATGCATTAAGGCAAATAGATGTTTCCTGTACATCCCACTGTAAGCTCTCCTGGCTTTTGTATATTTGGGAATGAAGGAACAAGATATTTTTGCATATACCTGGTAGAGGCCTATTCTCAAACCCCCATGGGGGATCTGGCAATTATCAAAAAAACACACATTGAGATTGGCAAAAATAATGGAGAAAATTAGCCATTGACTTTTACTCACAAAAATCCTACCTCTGGAGCCTGCCTCTGACGTGATGTTGTACGATCTTCAAGAGTCTGCACATAGCTTGTCATAAATCCAGCAGCTCTCTCCCACTGGTTTTTGTATATAGCTTTATGAAGGAAGCTTAAACACAAGTCAGCACTCTGGTGAACCCCATTAACATTCGAATTAGATGCTGCAGGTAAAAATGTATTAATTTAGACCTGTGCCAGAAATGGCAGAGTACACTTACAAACTAATATATTATTATCTTTATTGTACACGTGTACTTAAGGAACTAAGTGCAGAAATAAGTGAACCTCTGTTTTTAATCTTTCAAGATTCTTTTCTTTCAGGAAGTGTTCCGGAGGATTGGAGGAAGGCAGATGTGGTTCCTATATTCAAAAATGGTTCAAAATCCTTGCCTGGAAATTATAGACCTGTGAGCTTAACTTCTGTGGCTGGTAAAATATTTGAAAGTTTATTAAGGGATAATATTCAAGAATTCCTTGAGAAGAACATGGTTATCAGCAAAAATCAGCACGGTTTTATGAAGCACAGGTCATGTCAAACTAACTTTATTGCGTTCTACGAAGAAGTAAGTAGAAGTATAGATCAGGGTGTTGCCGTGGATGTGATCTTTTTGGATTTTGCCAAGGCATTTGATACAGTTCCACACAATAGATTAGTGTTCAAACTCAAGGAAATCGGTCTAGATGAAAATGTTTGTTCTTGGGTAGAACATTGGCTTAAAAACAGAGTACAAAGAGTTGTCATTAATGGTAAATTTTCAAGCTGGACAGAGGTGGCAAGTGGTGTCCCTCAGGGGTCTGTTCTGGGACCCCTTCTATTTAACATGTTTATAAATGATCTTGAAGACAGCATTGAAAGTCATGTTTCAGTGTTTGCAGACGACACAAAACTTTGTAAAACAATACAATGTGAGCAAGATATTACTTTGCTGCAGAGGGATTTAGATAGACTGGGAGACTGGGCACTCAAATGGCAGATGAAATTTAATGTTGAAAAATGCAAAGTTATGCACTTCGGCGTAAAGAATACACAAGCAATGTATACCCTTAATGGAAGCTAATTAGGGATAACAACACATGAAAAGGACTTGGGAATTGTTATAGACAACAAACTATGCAACAATGTGCAATGTCAATCAGCAGTGGCCAAGGCCAGTAAGGTATTGTCATGCATGAAAAAGGGCATTCATTCTCGGGACAAGAATATAATTTTGCCTCTTTATAAATCACTGGTAAGACCTCATATTGAATATGCTGTGCAATTTTGGGCACCTGTTCTAAAGAAGGATATTATGGCACTAGAAAAAGTGCAGAGGCGGGCTACAAAATTAATAAAAGGAATGGAACATATCGGCTATGAAGAAAGGTTAACAAATTTAAACCTATTTAGTTTAGAAAAACGTCGCCTGAGAGGGGATATGATAACATTATACAAATATATTCGGGGCCAATACAAACCATTGTGTGGAAATCTATTCACAAACCGGACTTTACATAGGACACGAGGCCATGCGTTTAGACTGGAAGAAAGAAGATTTCGTCTAAGGCAAAGGAAAGGTTTTTTTACCGTAAGAACAATCAGGATGTGGAATTCTCTGCCTGAGGAAGTGGTTTTATCAGAGTCCATACAGATGTTCAAACGGCTACTAGATGCATACTTGCAAGAACAGAATATTCAAGGATATAATCTTTCAATGTAGGGTAATAACTGCTTGATCCAAGGATAAATCTGACTGCCATTCTGGGGTCAAGAAGGAATTTTTTTCCTAGCTTGTTGCAAAATTGTGCTTCAAACTGGGTTTTTTTGCCTTCTTTTGGATCAACAGCAAAAAACAAATGTGAGGAAGGCTGAACTTGATGGACGCAAGTCTCTTTTCAGCTATGTAACTATGTAACTATGGAATCAACTTATCTTTTCTAATCGTCCATGCACATGTATATGTATGAATAGGAAACAAGAACTTGACATTTCTCTCCCCTAGAACTCTTTCAGGTAGGCAAACAGGCTGTTTGTTGCAGCATTCAAGTTACTCCCTGCATGGTGACCAAGTTGGTTCATGCCTGGCGTCAGACGTATATTTCTACAGAGCTTTAAACTGGTGGTACTTCGCTCTGTTTAATTCCACTCTTGATGGCCACATACATCAGCTGTGCAGCCAGTAAAAGGTATAGACTAAGACGTATTGACCTTAACATTGCCTCACCCACACATACCATAGTATTGTGGATCCGACGAATGCCCATGCATTCACTACACCCCCATATAAGAGTGCCATTCCACAATTCCTAGTATAGGGGTTGTGCTATGTCAGACATTATTTAAAAAATAGCAGTATACGTATTGCTTTATAGATTAAGTCTTTACTGCCATGTTGCAGTCAACCCAGCCCAGGAACGCAACATAAAGGGTTACTCCCAGCATGATCGCCACTTTATTGATTTAAAATGGTCATGGTGCCTGTTGCTATAAAACACTGCACATACAAAGTTTAACTCCTCCACTGCTGGGGGTGTACCACTGATACAAATATTGATCTTTGTTATATTCAGAGGAAGCCCAAATTGTTTTACAAGTGCACTTGTAGGAGAGCGAATTAGACATCAGACACCTGTTGGTATTCAAAATAAGCCTCTGGGTTTTTATATATTAAAAAGTAAGCGCTTACGTGCAAATACTCAGGACAGTAGTAGGAAGGGAGTGAAAGGGTAAAGGGAGTGATGAATGTCATATACATATAACAAATAGGTTCCGAGAAAGAGAAAGAACAGAATGATCTGGGAAGAGACATCTCACGTGGGGGCTATCTTCTCCCACAACGAGACATATATGATCTTAAGTGTCCTTTTAAGCATCAAGCATTTCCTGAGTCCAAGTTAGCCAATTTTAATATAGGATATCATTATATGACACCTATAAGCTTGAGCCTTGGAATCAAGATAAATTCTATCACAATCACCACCTTTGGCCATGTCATTGGGGCGCCATAAGCCAGCCTGGAACTAGAGCTGGCTTAAGTGAATTCTGTGCAAATTTGACGTCTGATGCTAGCATGCACAGCATGCCATCACCAGACAGCCAATGGAAGCAGAGCACACACCCTCGTGCCGTCCACATCAAAGGGGTGTGATCAGCCAAGGGGAAAGGATCGGGCTGCAGGAAGGAAAAAAACAAAAACTTTTCAATCATAGACCTGCTAGCAATTTGGCTAACTCCATGTATTGAAGAAATGTTATAGTCCTTACAGTGACAAAAAATATGTCACTCATAGCAGGTACAAATTCATCTTGAAAATTGGATCTGAATAATATTACTAATAAAAAAAAATACTCAACCTGAATAATCTGCGTGCTTGTTTGGAAGTACAATTCTACCAAGACTACCAAAATTAGACTCATCTATTTCTTCACTTGATTGGTCACTGGTCTCTTCCATTTTGGAATCTGAAATATAAAACAAAGCAATTTTGCAGTTTCTACACATTATTAATATATAATGAGTCAATTTGTTAAACGGTCACTTAGCAACTATGATATAGTCGCTCAGTGTGGGGTAGTGGGTGAGATCAGTAACTTTGTCTTTGTGCGTCTCCTGTACGGAGATACTGACATTTCACTATGAAATACTACAGTACTAATTGCACAGGGGCTACTAATTTATTACTCCTTCAAAAAATCTTTGAAAACTCACTTCATTAAAGCGTATCAATTAAACTGTCAGCAGGTTTCTCATCCCCCACCCCATGACTCCGTTCCTGCAACTGTCAAAAATGACCTACCAAGCACTCAATAAACCCTTCTGTAACAAACTATTTAATTCCCCTACTTTAACCCTTTGTGTCAGTATACCCCACTCCCTCTAGCATGTAAGCTCATCGAGCAGGGCCCTCAACCCCCTCTGTTCCTGTACATCAGTGGTCTGATCTCAATTACGTGTCTGTTAGTCCACCCATTGTACAGCGCTATGGAATTTGTTGGCGCTATATAAATAATAAAATAATAATAATTAGGCCTTATCCTGGTGCCATAGGAAAGGGAAGCAGATTAGTACTTTCGGTTATTATGGGTAACCCATTAACAGATGTTTAACGGAAGCATCAACAAAGCGGAGGTGGGGGGGGAAGTCTCTGGGTGTGGGAGAGAGTACCGATTCTTATCAAACTTTCCCCCCAAATGGTTTAACAAAAACATCACTAACTGCCCCAACCAGCTGTCCAGGAAAGGAACTTGATGTAAACTTCCAGGATCTATATACTGACATTTTTGAGTCAAAGGGCTATGGAGCATAAATCATGCTTTTAGTTCAGGAAATGTGGACAAAAGTTTAAATAATCCCAACAACAGTAAACAAAAAAAAAAACACACTTCTTATGTACAGATTAAACACAAATACATAATTACTGACCGCTTCATTAACTCAAACTTCCAATTAGTCTTATATACACATAACTAAACAAGTAACTGTGACAGCTACATGATGACAAATATGGACTGGTACAGTAACTCAATAATAAAAATAATTTATTTTTAATTTTTTTTAAAGTCAAATTCATGCTCTACTGTGCAAGCATAGCCATGTGGCACACACTTATGATTATAATTATTACAACTATATAAAGTTTGACGAACAGTTACCTATACAGCCGAAACAGGTAGCCCAGAAAACAGAGACTGCATGCTGCTTCCTGTATCACTGCGCATGATTCATGTAGGTCGCCATTTTACGATTGGCATGAAAACAGGAAGTCTATCCAATCTCCCCGCAAACCCGAAACTACGAGATTCCAAACATTCTTTCTAGTTTCCGTAGAAGACAAGCAATGATGTCCGCAACATTCCTTTGTAAATCATTGGCTCGTTTGTATCATGTGACAGACTGCCGCGATACGTCACGGGAGTTGTAGTTCTGTAGCTGTAATATGCCAAGGGGTTAAACTGCGGTCAAACTACAACCCACAATCCCGTGCGAGCAAGTCATTTGCTTGGTACAAGTTTACTTTTGTTTTGCGGTTAGGTTGTAGAGCAAGATTATTTCTCAAATAAGTAATAATACAGAACTGAAATAGCACATTTAATGTACAAAGTAGCCAAAATGAAAAAAAAATTATCTCACCTATTTTCCAGTTTAAATGGAATTACAATTATTCACATGGCGCCAACATTCCGCAGTGCTGAACAATAAGTACATGAAGCATTATACTCCAGCAAAACATGATTGACATTCTAGAACAGTAGAAGATGGCCTGCCCAAATGAGCTTACAAACAGGGTTACTCACAGGGTTATTTACTAAAGTGAGAATTGCCTTAATAAAGGACCACTATAGTGCCAGGAAAACATACTCGTTATAGGGTCTCTACGTCCCGTCCCCTCTGGGCCCCCCTCCCGCCGGGCTCTATGGACGCTGGCGTCTTCTCACTGTGAAAATCACAGTGAGAAGCGCCTCTAGCGGCTGTCAATGAGACAGCCACTAGAGGCTGGATTAACCCATAGGTAAACATAGCAGTTTCTCTGAAACTATGTTTATAGCAGGCAGGGTTAATCCTAGAGGGACCTGGCAGCCAGACCACTTCATTAAGCTGAAGTGGTCTGGGTGCCTATAGTGGTCTTTTAAAGGAATTCTCCAGTGCCAGGAAAACAAACCCGTTTTCCTGGCATTGTAGAATCCTGGAGTGCCCCCCTTCCCTCCTGCCTCTCATCCCACATTGCTGAAGGGGTTAAAAACCCTTCAGACACTTACCTGAATCCAGCGCCGCTGGGTCAGGCTCCGCTCATGCTCATCCCCCGCCGACGTGCGCCGGCGGGCGTGACCTAATTCGCATGCACAGCAATGCCACGCTCGTATTAAACCTTTTAGGAAAGCATTATTCAATGCTTCCCTATGAGGAAAAAAAATTGGATGTTGGAGGTCCTCATGCATAGTGTGAGGACGTCCAGCGTCGTTTAAACAACCAAAAGTCATCAAAGCACCCGGAATGTCCCTCTAGTGGCTGTCTTGTAAACAGCCACTAGAGGAGGAGTTAACCCTAGCAGGTAATTATTGCAGTTTATAAAAACTGCAATAATTACGCTTGCTGGGTGATGGGGGTTGGCACCCAGACCACTTCAATGAGCTGAAGTGGTCTGGGTGCTTACAGTGTCCCTTTAAAGTACATCTCACATAATTCTAAAATAGCAAAACTGAAAAGAAGAATTAACTTTTGGCCTAAAGTTTGAAATTGACTTTGATATCCTGGGACATATCACTTTAGTGAGTGATTCTATAAAGCAGCCGTTGTTTGTGATTCTTGGTGAATTGCAAATTTCAGTTAAAAATAGCAAAGCTGGAATCAGTAGTGTTGGAGACTGTGACTCTACCTCCAGCAGCATCGTTGGGGGTGTCATTAGCCATTCTGTATGACTAATGTTAATTCTGTCAGGCTTTTAAAGGCCCGCTGCACCCGACCTGGTACAGTACAGAGATTTACCTTCCCTCCCATGCTGCTTCCTTAAGCGCCAAGAGGATATTAGTTCCTCCCAGTGATTCAGTGCAGGGGAGATAAAGAGGGCCTGCTATGCCTCAAATCCTGAATACAGTTCTAGCTAGGGGAAATATCTATGGCTCCCCAACTGAACTGCCTAGCACTAGCAGGCCACAAGGCACAGCCGGCCCCTTAACAAAGTAAAGGCTGTCACCCCCTGATGGTAGCCCTATTTATGATAATTATTTTGTAACTTAAATCATAATTTTCTATATTTGAATATGCACATAATCATATTTAAGCCCTTAAGGACACATGGCATGTGTGACATGTCATGATTCCCTTTTATTCCAGAAGTTTGGTCCTTAAGGAGTAAAAGGGTAACTCCAGTTAAAAACCATGTTTTATTTAAAAATAACCTTACTTGCAAAGTTCTTACAAAGTGCTTTGTCTCTGTATGTGCCGTGTTTCTTAATGAAGCACTGCACAATGCACATAAAGACTCCAAGCACCATCACCTTAAAGCCACTGAAGTGGTCATAGTGCGTGGAGTAACCCTTAGAGGTAGATCTAAATTTTCCTGTAAATCCAATTTAAAATCAGTAACTAAAGAACCGGATTGGACCTTGCTCAAATAAACACAATCCAGGATGGGCATTTTCATGTTGCAGAACCAGTTTAATGTGTGCACAATGCTCCTGTGTTAGTCAAGTCGTCACCAAGGTAAATTATAAGGTAATACAGCCAAAAATGTAATTAATAATGTTATGGGAAATTACAACACAATTCAACATAATGTCTTTCAAAATGGTTTTCCATTGCATACTGTTGTTGACTCTGTCATTGTATCACAATCAGTACACAAGTATGCAAGTTTAATTAAATTTTATGTTTATTCACCACCATGGTACCATGCTGTTAACTGCCACAGCGCACTGAATTAAATAAACTAAACACAAATTATTAGCGAGACTGACAGTACGGTAGTTATCATTGAGGGCACTAATATGATATGTTTTTGCAAGGGTAGTTAACTAATGGAGGAGCTTAACTTGCAGGTTACGCAAGATTCCAAAAAAGGGGTATATGAAGGGGATGCTCGAAGCACCATAACTTAGCCCACTACTGCTTATTTGAGGGGTTATGATGCCAGCAAGCTACAAGTTCCTACAGTTTTCTTTGATATATATCCCTCAGTGTTTTGACTGCTGTCTTCATTTTCTATTTTTATAAGAATAATTTTACTAGAAAAAAATATATACATTTGTTTGTTGTTTTTTCCCCCCAGGTATGATTTAGGATAGACAGATATTACAATATGGCCACAGGGTTACATATTTAAACTTTTAGTTAAAGGAACATTCCAAGTACCATAACCATTACTGCCCACTGTATTGGTTATGGCGCCAGGCATGTCTTGGGACCCTCCCGAGTGATTTTGTTTAACCATTTTAGAAAGGTTTGACCAGTTAACTGGTCCTGCTGGGTGACCATGGCTGAGGGAATGCTTTTGGGTTGCCCATGCAGAAGAATCTGGTTAGCTCTACTGAGCGGGCTGCTTTCATTGGCTGAAAGAGGCAGCTTAGCCCTCTTAACTAATGAGCATGTCTTATATTGGACCTGCAAAGTTTTGTGAAGACATCCGTCAGGAGAAGCTAGATGTAGCGCAGGTGTATAACAGTATATACCACTAGAAGTTGGTTAACCCTGCAATGAAAACATTGTTTTCAACTGAAGGGTTGAATCTGGGGTTCATAGCCTATAAAGCCCCTTTAACAGCTGGTACATGCATACATACACAGAAAGACAGATCTCTTAAAAAAAATGTAAATGTGTGAAATTTTTGATGTTTCCTTTGTAGGTTTTTCCATTGTTGAAAATCTCTGTGCGAGAACGTTGCTTGACCTAGTTTTTGTAACAGGGATGAAAGGGTAAAATGCTGGAAGATGACCTAAGGTGATATGGATGTAGGGAGCCAGCAGGAGCTTACCAGAGAAACGGTTATGAATCTGGTAAGCAAGGTGAAAGGTACTTTGAAATCTGAGTAGTAATCAGTTAAGATAGTTCACAGTAATAGGTACTATAATCACACTGCAGCATCAACATTTGCAGTACAAATCCGTATGTTATTTTTTTTTTTAATTATTTATTTTGTCGTGCTGTGAGCAGAAGATAGGGTTAACATACACACTGATGTACATTACAGTGTTAAACAGTAGTCATTGAACAATTTGTGTGTTACAACTTAGCACTTTAAAAAAAAAAATGTATTTAAACTTAACATGCGTGGGTGCCTAGGCGGTATCAGGATACAGTAGTGAGTTAATGTACGTTTGTTGAATAGTAAATGCCGCTATCTAGGTTCTGTAGTGGTAGTGGTGGTATGATCCATAGTGGATGTTTTATGTCAGGTATACAGGTGTATACTTTTAGACCTATGGGGAGCGATTTAGATGTAGTTTCGATTAGAGATGCGTGAGAGTAGACTGTGTGAAAGCTCTTCCTCCTCGTGGAGGTTTAGTACATCCATGTGCTGTGTAGGCTACTCTGGAGGGGTAGCGACCCTAACCTAGGGGTCGTCGGGGGGGAGGGGTTTGCGCACTGTGTTGCAGTACACCTCGCTTTGTTACACTAGTGCGCCTGGTTCGTATCAATGTAGCAACAATAGAGCCAATCAACCAATATGGTAGTCGGCAGTAGTGAAGTAGAGAAGTAAAGAGAGAGTACAAATAAACTGTAGAACTGATAACTTTCTATAGCCTTTGATCAAGCTGGGATAGGAGACTTCTCCTTCCAAACCCGTCAAGTAGCCAGAAGTTCTTCTCGTCTGGTCCTTGGTGTGATCCCAGATCGGGGAAGTGTTCTAGCCGGGTGTGGTTGTCGTCATATTCGAGAGACCTAGAGTTGATAGTAGTGCAGGGGCTTCAGTTCCTGAGGTGATTTTGTGGCACCTTTATAAGTGACGATGAAGGATTGTGGAGTACCCCGTGGCGGAGTGTCTTCCTCCACTGTAGCGTAGCTTTAGTTAGATCTTGATAAAAAGTCAGTTGGGACTCTTCAAAATTGAGTGGGGTCTTGCCCTTTATCACAGCCATAACATGACACTTGTCTTGGGGTAGAGTGCATTGGATGAGAAGAACACTTGCAACACTTAGGGACAATACTGTATTGGATCCAAGCCACCAGCCTTTCCCTAAAACCAGAAAAGTGTTGCATCAGGATATCCGAAGTACAGAGGGTGTTTGCATCAAATGGATGGATGGAGCATCAAATCTTTAGGTTATCACAGAATTTAAACAGAAATTATTTCTGAACAGAGCAACAATTTTAGGTGGCATCTGGATAAGAGCCTACCAATATTAAGTGGAAATACATGATTTTGACGTAGCTACATACCAAGATATGTATAAGTTAGTTTGGTTAGAGTGCACCAGTCACTTCTATTAGATTTTTGTAGCATACAGATGCAGAAGGAAATCCCCCTGGCTTTCTGACTGACAGTCAGTGAAGTGTTACTCCCCCTAATTTTATAAATGGTCACAAGCTGAAGTGCTTTATGTGTGTCACAGGGAGGAGGGAAAAACCAGTAGCGCAGTACAGATTAAGGGGAAATCCAAAGGCAGGGTCAGACAATAAGCAGAGGTCAGGGCTGGCAGCGGAGTAACGTAGTCAGTAAAGCAGGCAGAGGTCAGAGTCCAGGAAATCAGTCAGTAGCAAAGCAGCGCTCCGGCAGGAAACACCAAACAGGCAAAATGACCAGATACTAGGTCTCAGGCAGGGCTGGCTTTTACAGCCTGCTAATTAGGTGCAGCTGACCCTAATTGGAAAAGGGTTGCAGGTGGATCAGTGCTGCTTCATCCAGGCAAAGGGTCAGGAAGCAGAAGAAAGCAAACAAAAACTAAAGCCCCCTGGTGGATATCATGGTAGAGAACCTGACTGGAATGCTGGAGTTGTGAGTTCCCAGCCAGGTCTATTAAAGGGGTTGCCATGCCTTGCTGTCTGCAGGGCTCAGCAATGTGTGTGGTGTATGTGTTTATCTGAGTGTGTGTGTGTCAGATTCATACACACTGGGGCTTCTTTGATGTTGACACACTATGTCAAAAGGATTCCACAGGAAAAAATAATTGTAATTCAAGGATGTGTAATTGAATTACACATTTACACACAAGTGTAATTCCCTGCCTGAAGAAGTGATTTTATCAGAGTCTGTACAGATGTTTAAACAACAACTAGATACATACTTACAAAAACATATTTCATGATATATTTTTTCAACTATAATAGCTTCTTGCGCCAAGGATGAATCTGACTGCCATTCTGGGGTCAGGAAGGATTTTTTTTCCTAGTTTGGTGCAAAATTGGAAGTGCTTCAAACTGGGTTTTTTGCCTTCCTTTGGATTAACAGCAAAAAACAAATGTGAGGAAGGCTGAACTTGATGGACACATGTCTCTTTTCAGCCTATGTAACTATAAAAAAATCCCATTAAGTGTTTTATTCCAGACATTAAAAATTATTTTCTAGTGTTTAGGAGCAGTTTCTTTTTAGAACCCTATATCTTTATTATCGGAGATATATCTTCTATTATACCTTCACAAACTGTGTGATATATGCACCCTTGTTTAGTGTAGTTTTATGGTATGCTATAACTGGAATTGTTGACATTACTTCTTCACCTGTTATGGTCAATAGAGTCAAAGTCCTTTGATGAACCTTGGAAAACTCCAGTGAGTTCTTCTTGCTTCATGCCACTAAATATTCTTTCGAACAATCAAGAGGGCAGTTATTATACTGATTTCTGTATGCATATCTTATTTCATCCCAGATAAAGCTAAAAAATAGTTCTTATCTCACTGCATTGCATGAAACAAGATTATAACTGTCATTTTCCATTGTCATATATTTTTTAAAAAGACAGAGGCAACTAAATATTAGAATGGTACAGGTTTTTTGCATCCGTAAACAAAACACTATTGTATACAGCACCGCCCCTTTCAAAAGAATTTAAAAACAAATGGAAAAACACACAATTCCAAAAATAGGATTTAGTTACTAAAATTAGCAAAGCTATTTCAGTGTAGTCAAGTTTGGGAACTTTTTCCAGATCAGCCAGATTTTACTCTAAATTAAGCTGTTTTGAAATGAGTTCACTACAATTCAGAGTTTAGTGAATAATCCTCTGCGTTTTAATGCAACAGATAGTTATAGCTTTGTTAGCTTATGATTATAGATATAAACTGAGGAGAGTTAATTCACTCTGTCAATCAGTGATACTATCACAGTTTGAGTATTTATCTCACGAAAACTACTATGTTATGATCACATACTAATCAAGTTGATGTGGTTTGTCGTTGTCACAGAGAAATAAAATTTAGACCAGGGTTCGAGTGGAAGATAGTCCCCTCTAATAATAATACTCATCCTTAGTAAGAAAAACTAATTTGTATTGTCTCTCGCTCATTTTGTGGATGTAAAAGATTAAGAAGTTATGGATATTTTATTTACATCATGAAGAATGAAACTGATGACAAATGTGTAGACTTTTAAATGTTATAAATATTCTAAGAACACAACATTAAAAAAAATAATTCTATTTTTCATTTACCTCAAGATACCCGTAAACACACAAAGTTGTCACACTTGGGCTATTATCAAATTTAGAAAATGTGTTTTTCACAATACACACAATTTTCACCTTTTACATGGAGCTTGTCTTACAAATACCTGTAAGCATGGTATAATGGTATTTAAGCAATTTTCTTGGTTTTACACTGCCTGGGTGTTGCCTGGGTGCCTGCTGAGAATTCCTGACTCAATAAATGCCATCTCCCCAACACACATTCCAGTTCCCCTGTTCCCCAACACATAATGCCAGCCCCTCCACAAACATGCCACTTTACTCTGCAAAAGTAACTGTAAACAATGACAGCTCCATCACACACATTCCAGCTCTCCTGTGCCCCACACAAAATGCCAGCTCCCCCCACCCCCCACATTTCAGTTCAGCTGTGCCTCACACACATTTCAGTTCCCCTGAACCCCACACAGAATGCCAGCTCCCCTCTCACATTCCAGTTCACCTGTGCCCTCGCACATTCCAGTTCACCTGTGCCCCACACAAAATGCCAGTTCCCCTCACATTCCAGTTCCCCTGAACCCCACACAGAATGCCAGCCTCCCACACACACATTCCAGTTCCCCTGAACCCCACACAATATGCCAGCTACCCCCTGGTAATATACACGTGCCCCACAAGGAATGCCAGATACCCCACTCAAATGCCCACTTGTCCCTGGCAGAATACTTTTTTTCCCCCAAACTCCCTCATGCCAGCAGTCCCCTAGTAAAATTCCATATTGCCAAATAGACAAAACCAGCTCATCCACAAACATGCCACTCCCCTCGTTTGGAAAAATACCCGTGCCCCATAGAGAATGCCATTTACCCACACAAACACACAATGCAGTATCACACTACTAACCCTATTCTGTGTTTTACACAGCCCCCTATGCTGTCTGCTATCCCAGTACCCCCATTCGGTAACAGACCCCCTACAGCCCCCTATGCTGTCTGCTATCCCAGTACCCCCATTCGGTAACAGACCCCCTACAGCCCCCTATGCTGTCTGCTATCCCAGTACTCCCATTCGGTAACAGACCCCCTATAGCCCCCTATGCTGTCTGCTATCCCAGTACCCCATTCGGTACAGACCCCCTACAGCCCCCTATGCTGACTGCTATCCCTGTACCCCCATTCGGTAACAGCCCCCTTATAGCCCCCTTTAGAGGCTCTCTACCCGACACCCCCATTCGGTTATCCGGTAACAGACCCCATATCGCTCCCATTCGGTAACAGACCCCCTATCTCTCCCATTCGGTAACAGACCCCATATCTCTCCCATTCGGTAACAGACCCCATATACAGGCTCTCCTTTGACCCCCATTCGGTAACCCCGTTCACAGACCCCATACAGACCCTGTACAGACTCCCTCCCCAATACCCCCACTCGGTTACCCCGGTAACAGCCCCCCTCCTCCCAAGCTGTCCTTGGTCACATCCTCCCCCCTCTCCAGTCAGTGGCTGAGCAGGCAGCACCATCACTCCATCTTGTGCCTCCCTTCCTCCTCCTGGGCCTCTCCTGCCCTCTCCTAGCAGTCTCCTCCTCCATATCCTTGCCTTGCTGTCTCCTGCTGACGTGTCTGCCTCTCTCTGCTCATGCTCTCTCTCCCCTCCATCCCCAGGACTCTGCCACCCTGCTGACATGGCTGCAGCCAGACCCCACATCTACCTGCTGCTCCTGTTGGCAGCACACATGGCCCCTGGCAGCCTGACCCTGGACAGGAGGTTCTCGGAATTGAAGCGGTGTGCTGACCCTGAGTGTAGCAGTGAGTTCTGAGTGAGGAGGGGTCTGGGGGTCTGAGAGGGGGGGGAGTATACTCAGCCCCCCACCCCCAGCCCAACTCTGTTTACTTATTACTTTTCCTTTCCATTTATTGCAGTGTTGCCCTTGCACCCCTATCAGTGATCCTGTGCATGCACTTACTCTAGTGATTGGTGTTTACACTCTGCTCTGTGCACTGATTGCACGTTATACAATGTATCCTGCACTTTATAGAGCTGTGCATACAGTGTTTAGTTCTCTATAATCCATTAGGATATGGAAATAAACACCAGTCTGCACACTATGTGCTTGCAGAATGTGTTGTAATGCCTTCTGGAGTGTGTGTGTGTGTGTGTTTGGATTTCATTAATGAGAGTATTTGCATTCACAGGGAAATCTCCTAGAGGAGGTCAGATGGGATACTTTCTTTCTTTGTGTGGTAGGAGAGCAGTGATGAGGGTGGGGGTTGCTAAATATGGTGAATAGGGTACCTCAGGCACTGTTTAATTACACCCACTCTCGTTCCTCTTACTAAATGAAGTTGTCCTTGCTTGCCCTAAGGGATAGGACACGCTCCAGCTTTCTATTAATACCTTTTGCTCAATGACTGGCTAAGGGTGATAGGGGTCTTAATGCAACCACAACTAGAAAGGTGGAAGTTGATCATTAATGCTCCATGTTTATACCCAGAATATTTTGTTTGTTTGTTTCAAACTGGACAATTTTTCACTCCTGCCTGTTTTTGCCTATTGTTACAATACACTGTTTGTATAATAAACCGCTATATATCTGGATTTTTCATGGCTGTACTTCTCAACCCTAGGGTTAGGACCTTAAAATGGGTCCCCATTGGTTTGATTAGGTACCTAGCAACTGGTCAAAGTAGGTTTACTGTATTAGTGACATTGCTTTCCCTAGTTTAGTTTAATAGCAAAAACTTCTATTTATAACCATGGTTTTAACAGGACTATGACTTTATAATTACTAATAAAGAATTCTAGCAAATGTATACGTAAAAGCTACTCTTCTATATATAATTTTGCATTGTGGTTAAAGACTAAACGTGGAGGTTTAGAGAGACCTTCCATACAGCCTTCCTGCCTCCTAACAATGTGGTACAATCCTTTAACTCCGGGTTCTCCAAATCTCTCCCTCCAGACGTTGCTGAACTACAACACCCATGATTCTTTGAATTAAATAGATAGCCAGAGAATCATGGTATTGGTAGTTCAGCAACATCTAGAGGGCCCGTGTTTGAAGACCCTGCTTCAAACTTATAGGATTTACAGTTGTGTAATTTAAGGACAGGGCAGCTGCACTCATATTTAATATGAAATGTTAGTATTAGGGGCACGTGAGGAATAAAAGGTTGATACCAGGTGAATGTAGCTACAAAAAAAAAAAATCTGTTAGTTGTTTTTGGTTGAACAAAAAGACTATGGCTGACTATGCTTGATACAAGTTGAAGCTGAATTGCGGTCATAGAGATGAACTCTTTCTGTTTGCATATCTTTTTTAATCTATGCATGCACCTCTATCTGGAGAGTTTAGGTTTGACATGACCAAAACATAGATGCTTAGCTGTTGTAAAACTATAACAGCTGGTTCAATTCAGTTTAGCCATCACTGGTTTAAATGACTTTTTAATTTCAATGTGAAACTATTGTCAAATCATGTCTGTTAAGTAAGATAGAAAATCTGTTTTTTTTCTGGCATTTTGGTTTATGTATTCTTTTGTAAACCATGTTTAAGCTGTTAATTTGTATGCATTTCTGTGTTGTTCGACAGTGCTGATGGTCCGAGGTAAAGCCCTAAAAGATTTCACAGGTCCAGACTGCCGATTTGTGAATTTTAAAAAGGACGAGTCAGTATATGTCTACTACAAATTAAATGGAAGATCAACAGATCTTTGGGCAGGATCGGTAAGTTTTACATAATAAACAGATTGAAAACATGATATTCATTTACATTATATTTTACAATTCATTCCCATTTTGTTGGCATTATAGTGTTGCCTTGGAAACATGGACACACATAGATTGCTGCTGTAAAGGATCAATTTGTCTTGTGGAAATAATAGTACAAAGATAGCGTGAGGTTATCCACTGAATGAGGTTTATCATTCATTCAAAAGATGTTATTTTTAAATATGTAGAACATCCTACCAAAAAGTTGCTCAACAACATTTTGAATCCTAAAATAATATTTACATTATTTGTTAGTAATGATTCCAAGTGTCTTATTAAATCAGAACTGTCCTTATATTTAATGTATTTTGTAATGCAATAAAACCTTATAGGTTGTTTAAAACTAAATGCTTCAAAATTTGGTTGCATTAAATATTTTCTCCTGCCTTTGAACTACCTGTCCAACTGTTTGGCGCATAACCTGGCAAATTATTAATTTGTTTCAAACGTTTACGATGCATAGAGAAACATTTTTTTATGCCTTACATTTAAATAGTCCCTATTTGAAACAAATATATTCTATTTCCTGTTACACATCATATTAAATCCTTGCTGTCTATTCTGCCTTTTCTCATTGATCTCTTTATCTTTCCCATCTTCCTCACTGATGTTTCAAATATTTTACATTGTTTTACTGATTTGGAGCAAAAAAGGAAAAAGCATTGCATTCCACAAAACTAAACGTGATTATACAAGTTAACTTTGCTATAATATAAGGAACCATATTATTCACGTGTAAGAATAGGTTGGTTTACATTTTCTCCTTGTGGGATTTTTTTTGGCAGATGGTTAAAAATGCTAATACAAATAATAAGCAAACACTGGGTCTTTTCTAAGAATTCCTGCATAAGAGGAAAGGTGCAAAGCTTTTCTAATATTGATATCTTCCTGTAATTGATTAGAAATTGTAATCTTATATAAAAGGTATTGTCCAAACATCATATAACATCCCCCTTTTATATGTTATATTTTGTGTCCCTCTGTTTAACTAACTTATAGACCTCTCCTCTGTATACATAGCCCCATCTTTTCACTATGATCTCCCTATCTTTAAATCTTAATTTTTATGCCTCTCTCTAACAGTCCTCTCGTAATTCTGATCAATTTGTCAGCAACATTAAGCAATCATTGAATATCTTTCATGCTACATTGCTACAGATTGTGGCAAGTACAGCTGAACAGTTGGCCAGTGCATCAAAAATATATAATAAAGTACAGCCAATTCTGCGATACTTTATTATACTTTATACCTGCAGTGTTTGAATTGCACTAAAAACTAAATAAATTACTGAAAATTAGTTTATTGGATTTCCTTTTCGACATGGCTACTGTTTATATACAAACCCAATAGTTTTAAATTAAATGTATCTCTGGACTGTGCAAGTATGGCTCTTTTTGTAAGGTGTTTATTTACTTATTTGTGTATTTTGATTATTTACATATATGGAAAGTTATATGTAAAGGCTCAACCTAGGGCACATAGTTAATCAATAATCCCATGATGCCGTGGTAGCATAAAGCATAAATACATGTTTGTGCTTTTGTTTATAGGAAGATGTCTGAGTGCCGATTGGTGGCTGTGTAATACTTAACTCCACAGCGCATTGAAACCTTGTACATCAAGCATGTCAAACTCAAAGGCTAACATGGGCCAAATAAACAAGGTTTAAGTTTATGTGGGCCGCAAAAAATAAAAAATAAAAAAGAAGTGTTTGACCTCGACCAGTAATGACTAACCTTGACACTATAAATTGTTTCTGGACTACATTTCCCATGATGCTCAGCTAGCTTTTAGACTCTAAAAGCTAGCTGAGCATCATGGGAAATGTAGTCCAGAAACAATTTATGGTGTCACGGTTAACCATCACTGACCTAGACCAACACAAACTAAAATTACTTGCTGTAGCGGAATGGAAAACCCAAATATACTTTTATTTCCTTTGTTCGGCTGTCTGTATACCCCTGTTTGTTTACCGAACCCCCTCGCTGTGTGGCCCCTTGTTTGCACCTTTTAATCACCGACCAACCTTGGCTGTTAACCACAAATTGGTTATTAGTTCAAGTGTTTTCCCTGTGTGGCCGACATTCGTATAACCGAACGCATGTGTTCAAACCATTGGCGGCCATTTTGTCTCCTAACCATGGGCAGCAGTACATGGTCAGCAACAGCATGGAAATGTTTTCGCATACGCAACTCCGCGAAACCCGGGAAACTGGTAGCGCTGCCCATCCAACTTCCCGAACCGCTAGGAGAACGCGTTCAGGAGGCATGAACTACCGAACATGGGGAGCATTCATACCCTAACAGCCAGGGAATGGATTCATCAGTGTTCGTGTGAGAACCCCCAAAAGATGACCGGTCTTTGCCTTGTTTTCTCTGAAACTGTTTTGGGGCATCACCTTGTGGCCGAACGGTCAAAACTCCATTCGAATGGCGTTCCCGAACCAACGAAAGGATCTGAGTTATATTTCGGAAAAGTGTGTGCTCAAATCCAAGCTATTCGGTGATAGGACTTTTGTTGGGTTCTGAAGTTATTGAAATGTATTTTTGGGCTGTTTTAAAATATTGTATGTTTAAAAATATTGTATACTTTTCTGTACCTGAGATATAATTAAGTAAGTTATAGCTTTTTCTCACGCAATTATCTCTCAGGCACAGAGGATCTTGGTTAGAAAAGCCCTGTATTTTTGACTTAGAAACCCCATGCTATGGGTAATGTATAAAAGCTGTGTGTGGCAGGAATAAAACCAGTTGTATACGCTCCTCTGGCACTGAGCAGCAGGTACGGGGGAGTGACTGTCCTGCTCTGCATGCAGCCAGCCTCTCTGCACTCTGTAGTGCCACCGCGCAGCTGCCAGATATGACTCCATACGCTGGAGCACGCGATTGGCTGCGACCCACAGGAGGGCCACAAAGCGGCCACAAGGCAGGCAGCCTACCTGGAAATTTCCCGGTATCCCAGTAGGCCAGTCTGACATGCTTGTTGTACATTCTTCAAAAGTGTTTACTGACAAAGTCAACAGTTTTAGTTACTATTTAGGTTGTACCTAGTTGTTTTATTTTACTTTTTACTTTTTTTTTTTTTGAGGATTTAGTCATGAAACATACAGAGAAGCAAAGTTATGATAATATTAGTCTTCCCCTGCTGGATTTCCATATCAGAATCCTCAAACATTTTACATATAAATTAACCATAAACAACAGAAAATAATGTGGCTCGTTTTAGCTCTGAAGTGATAATGTGAAATACAGGTGAATGAAATACTCCCCCAACCAGCTCCGCTCAGCCACTCAGATATGCATTATTGCCTAATATTAGAAGATCTGGAACGTGAATTGGTGTTGGACATTGGGGATAAAATTAACAATGACTATTTATTGGGGGGAAGGCCTCTCGAGATACATTCTGAGTAACAGCACGCTTGTTTAATCATTTATTTAATCAGCCCTCAATTTTTAGAGAATTAATACAAGTTATTCATTTCTGGGGGAAAAGATACAGCGTTGTATTCCTTTTGGGAAGATGTTTCTAGGTAGTCCATTCAGAAGGCAAAATGTACTCTGGGTTTTCAGTTGTGTTAGATCAAGGTTTCAGGATATATCCACTGCTGTAGGTTGCCTTTCCTCACCACCGCTTTGGCAATCTAGGTAAATTTAAGGTGTGTGGCTCTTGAAATAGGTAATATGGAAAATATATTCAGCTCTAGTTTAAGTGAATGTAGTAATTTAGCAAAAAAACTTTGTACAGTATGTGGTTATGATTTGCACGGAATTGGTGCACCATAACACAGGCAGAGAAATGGTGGTCTCCATATCTTCCTCTCCACTGTGCAATAGCTAGAATTGCAGAGTTTTAATTGATATCGTGTGTATTAATATGCTGGATGAGTGAACCATAGGTGCATATCCTGGTAAGTTGCCATTGCAAACAGTTTGTTACCATCAGTGCATCACTTATCTCTATCATGTGCATGGATTGTGTCCATTTTTGGTATCGTATATAAAATACTAATAGATTATCACACTGTGGTCTCTTCGAGTGTATCAGTATCTTAAAGATATGTTCTGTTTGGGTCAATGAGCAACTCTCCTTGTTTCCACAGGGTGAAGGTATTTGTAGCTTCAACTTGTTAGAAGAAAGCATTGTAGAGGAAAAACATGTTTCCAAAGTATTGCCATTCTAGGTTTATGCTTTGTCTAGATAATCTACGTATTATAAAGGATCAAGTTGCCTTTCTCAAAAAGGTGCTCCATTCTCTTTACAAACCTCTGAAGGTATTGTTTGAGTAAAAAATAATAAAGGATACCTTTTTTGAGTTGGCAGAACACAATGTGTACTCTGAATTGTGATTGTCTTCTTTGTTTGACAAAGAAATATTTAATTTGTTGCATACATGACTTAAAGGGTAAATGTCACTTACCTGGATTTTTATTTTTAATATTATGCCCCATATATATTGCAAATATGCACAAATAAAATTAAATGTCGAAATCAATCATTCATTATACTTCTGGGCACATCTGTTTAGCTCCCTTTCCATCATTATTATATGTTCTGTCTTTTGGCATTCAGCATAGAAAGAACATACAGAGAAGAAGAGACATTCTAGTTTATTTTTATTCGCATCTTTTGCAATGTGGGCCATTACTCTGGCTGAACTGACCTGGGCTGTGATGCCATTTGCTGAATCTATATTGTAAAATTAAAATAAATCAGAACATCAAATCAAAAAGGTTAGCACATTTTTTTGTTCTATGGTATCATTTCTAGAGAAGTGAATTTTATCTCCCATCCTATTGTAATTTTTTTTTTTTTTTTTAGTTTGATTCACATTGATTGAACATTTTGAAATTTCAGGCTGAGGAAGGTTTATTTACTAAGATACCGTTTAAGATTAAAAAGCCACACTGCAGCCACATATTCACATTCACAGTTTCACGTACATTTTTCCATTTTAGAGCTAAAGGAGTGTCACGGGCTCTAATGGCTTAAAGAAAGATAGCTAAGTCAACATAGGCCTGAGATACATATGTAATTTATTTACCATTAAATACTGTCTGATTAACAAGTGGCAATTGATACAGGATTATTTGCTCTGAAACATGATTAAATTCTACAATTAGGTGGATTACAACAGAGTTCCAAAGTGTTTGACATTGGTAACTATTCTTAGCCTCCGATACCGTGTGGTATGCAAAGTCAGTGACCTGCAGTATGCTCTTGTGCAGCAGTGTGCACAAACACTGTGTGAGTACTTGAGCATGTTTGGCGCATCGGAAGAATGTCCTGAGCAGTCATGTGCTCATATTGCACTTTCCAGCAGCTGTGTGTGTGTGTGTGAGCGTGCAAGTATGGTTTGGCGATGATCATTCAGATTTGTACTTTTCATCTTTGTTAATTCTTTTCTATCTTCTGAAATCTTTGCAACGTGTTTTATTAATTATGGAGAATTAACGTTAGGAAGGATTTTTCATGTGTCTTTCTGGCATTGCCTGTATGGTTGAGTTTAAACTTTCTACTAAGAGAAAAGGACATAAATCCAGTTTTTAAGATTTTATTAAAATAAAAATAATCAGTTTTGTTAGGTAACTTCTCCTAAAGAATTATTAACAACGTTAAGACAAGTGCCAGGTAACCACAGGGAAATCATCCAGTTATCCGATTTTACCTAGAAGAGTTCAGATATTATTTCTGTGGGTACATATAACAAGACTCATTCAGTTTTGCTGATGGTTTAGTTAAGGAATACCTGTCATGCTTTTTTACTTAGTGGGAATGTATTCTTCAGGCATTTCGTCTTTATATTGTGCTAGTGAAATCGCTAATAAATGTATAGATTGTGTGCAATGTTAAATAAAAATGTGCTTCCTTCCCTGGCAGACAGACTATCAGCACAGACACATTCTATGGGTGGCTCAGGGACCTTGGCGTTTGGTCACAACTCTTTAACAGAACCAAGGATTAAGGCAAACACCATCACAACTACATCAGGATGTCCTAATAATACTTTTATGCCTCCACCCATATCTACCTTTACAAGCTTGCACCGATCCTCATCTCACTCTGTTCTTCGCCCACTACACCTTATCTGTCATCTTCTCTCACTCACCACCACAATCTTCACCTGTGCTCCCTCTCTGTGTTCTCGTACCATGTTAAACCTATTCTTTCCATTAGTCCCTACTCCATATATTCAACCACCTTACATGTTACTTTTCTCAAGCTCCTGGAGCCCAAATGCTTTCCTTGAACACCTCAAATCTAAATCCCCTATTGCTCACTAATCACCATCTCCTTAACAATGCCATTGCTTCAGCCTTTCTGACACTATTATTTTCACCAGTTAATAATTTTCTTTTATACATACTTGGACGAGTGGCGGAACTAAAGTAGATAGGGCCCTAGTGTAAGAATTATTGGGGGGGCCCACTATTGCAAAGATGGTTAAACAAAGATAGACTGTTGTACAACTTCCACAATGACTTGCCTGCTGGGGTTCTACCATTTGCACATCGCTGCAGGGTTGTATTTAGTACTGAGTAGTGTTTACATGTTTAAATGTAAGCATGTTTTTGTATGAATGTAGGGGTGTATTTTTGCATAGTTTTTTTTTTTAATGAGCTGCTGCTATTTGAAAGCAGTTTACTTGTGTGTAGTGTTTGCCTTGGACTATAAGGTTGTGTCTGTTTTCAGTGTTGATTTTTGAATGCAGGGGTGTATTTGTGTGTAGTGTTGGAGTTTGAATGCTGAATGTAAGCACATATACATGTACACTGCCGCATACACATACACACATCCGAAGACAGACACACAGATACACACACTTACAGATACAAACACTGACATAGAAACATCGAATGTGACTGCAGATAAGAACCATTCGGCCCATCTAGTCTGCCCAATTTTTTCTAAATACTTGCATTAGTCCCTAGTCTTATCTTATAGTTAGGATAGCCTTATGCCTATCCTACGCATGCTTAAACTCCTTCATGGTGTTAACCTCGACCACCTTAGCTGGAAGGTTATTCCATGCATCCACTACCCTCTCATTAAAGTAATACGCCCTGATATTATTTTTAAACCTTTGCCCCTCTAATTTAAGACTATGTCCTCTTGTTGTGGTAGTTTTTCTTCTTTTAGATATAGTCTCCTCCTTTACTGTGTTGATTCCATTTATGTATTTAAATGTTTCTATCATATCCCCCCGTCTTGTCTTTCTTCCGAGCTATAAATGTTAAGATCCTTTAACCTTTCCTTGTAAGTTTAGTAGCTCTTCTCTGAACTCTCTCTAAAGTATCAATATCCTTCTGGAGATACGGTCACCAGTACTGCGTACAATACTACAAGTGAGGTCTCACCAGTGTTCTGTACAATGGCATGAGCAATTCTCTCTTTCTACTACTAATACCTCTCCCTAAACCAAGCATACAGACACACATTCAGATACACAGTCACACAAAATGACACATATGCAGATACATACAATGACACTCATACAAATACTGACACACACAGATACACAGGGGCACACATTGACACACAGTTACACATGCAAACACACAGGCGTAATGTAAATTACCCTCCTGTTTCCTACTTTTTGGATGCAGTAGGGTTGCTTCCCTTGTATCCATTTGGCTGGCTGGGGCTGTTGGGAGTCAGAGGCTCTACCACTCCGCTCTCCTCCTCCAATGCCTCTCCTGCCCGGTGTGTTCTATGGGAGGAAGTGACTGGCTTTCACTTCCTCTCATGCTAACATTACAGGGGCCCGGTCACACTGTTAAATGGCTGCCGCTCCACACTGGGCCCCTGAAAACACTTTTGTCATCAGGTGGCCTTGGTGCATGATCCATCCGATGGGCACCCTAATCATGCAGGCCTCGGTAGTCCGCACACTGACTTGAACCTTCACAAGTTGCAATACACTCCAAGCTAGATTATACATGATTATGATCTTTAACATTCATTGTACTGGTTGAAGAATTTTGTATATTAAAGGGACACTAGAGTCACCAGAACAACTACAGCTTATTGTATTTGTTCTGGTGAGTAGAATCATTCCCTTTAGGCTTTTCGTGGTAAACACGGTCTTTTCAGAGATAATGCAGTGTTTACATTACAGCCTTGTGATAACTTCACTGGCCACTCCTCAGATGGCTACTACAGTTGCTTCTGGGACAGTACTGCACACTGTGCAGTACTGCCATTCAGGGTCTCTACCATCTGCATGCAGACACTGAACTTTCCTCATAGGGATGCATTGATTCAATTCATCTCTATGAGGAGAAGCGGATTGGCCAGGGCTGTGTTTGACTTGTGCTGGCTCTGCCTCCTTTACAGTCTCAGCCAATCCTATGGGGACGCATTGTGATTGGCTCAGACTACCACTTCTGATGACTGCTGGTCAGAGGCAGCAGCTGCAGACTTGAATATAAGTAAGATTTTACTATATTTAGGGAGGCAGGAGGGCTAAATGGTGGTTTTAACACTATAGGGTCAGGAATACATGTTTGTGTTCCTGATCCTATAGCGTTCCTTTAATTAAAGGTCTCATGTCATGACCAACATGGCTTTTAAAATGTTATCTGCTGTTGTCATAGCAGTAACTACTGTAAACATGGAGATCAGGAGCAGCTGTGCAGGCAGCTATACTGCTTGCGACTAAGCTACTTCCCACAGCTGCTACCATGTATCCACAAACTAAGAATTTTAAAATGCTGTGTGGAGGTTGAAAAGGTGTCCATATAGCTGCTGTCCAGTGCAAGTTGCTGTTTTGCAGGAGAAAGAGGCGATCAGCAGATGGGTATATGTAGTAAATTATACAAGTGATGTAAATTTCACCAGCACAATGTATTATTAGTTACTTTCAAAATGTGTCTGCTGTCTAATATACTGCACAGTTTGCCAAGAAGACATTGCTTCTTGGTCCGCAGACAGCCAACTTAATCTATGAACCTACATTAAGTTTGTTTTAATGACAGCTAAAACAAATAGAATACATAGTTTGGCAACATCCTGATGAAGTCTGTTATTCTTTGTTAACTCTGTGTTGTTAATAAATTACCAGTTAGATTATGGTTTAAGTTGCAGACCAAAGTGGCATTCAAGATTCGGTCTCATCGCTCGGCTTACTTTCATATTTCAGTTACAAAGTTGACAGTTTTGTCAAAAGCGGAATCTATGTTGGGCTGAATGTGTGTCCTCAACTATTTCACATCAAAGCAGTCACTGCACACATTCAATTAAGCAATGTTATCTGCATGGAAGACTAATGCTAGAAGAAAGCAATTGAGTGGTTGACAGTTTTTCTAAACTGTTTCTATTCTGATTGGAATTACATGATCACTAAAGGATATGCGTTGCTTCCAGACATTGAATAGAGAGAGTAATTAATTTATTATAGTTCCTCCCTAGGCAGTCAGAATGTTGGCAGATACACACCAACTATTCTCTCTCCTAGAAAAACAGCATCGCGAAGTAAAAAAATCATGTTTCTATAATGGAAGTGTGCAAAAAAGTCTGCTAAGTCACACGTAGCAAGTTGTCCTCCAGGGCAGGGCTAAAACTTATCGTGCTATGCTACTAACTAGGCCCTAAAGTGGCTCTGTAACTTTATTCTTTCAGCTTGGTGTCCCCCTAGCCTCCCTAACTCACTCAATGCTCGGTGATGACCACCAGACCTACTGATATTTGTGTCCTAATGGTCCCGCCAGGTCTTCATATATGGCGCCACCACCTCGGTTAAATACACTGTGGTGGCCTACTGGAAGCCTCTTCTCTCTCTAGGCTGTGCGCGTTAATGCACGCGCATACCCAGTTAATCTGAAGTGTGTGAGGGTCATTGGTAGGAAGAGGTGACGCAATTTGGAGTGAGGTGAGTAAGAAATGGCAAACCATGACAAAGTTGACAAAGGATGTGGAGCTTAATTAAAGCTCCACCTTTTATTAACTTTTGTCACCCTGCGGTTTCTACATAAGGAAAAGTAGTACCTTTGTCTCCTTCTGTATTACTTCATAAAAAAAAAAACTTAATTTTTGCGAAAAAACAAACAAACTAGGCTACACAGGAGGACACTGTGGAGCACTATAAATTAAAAAAGTGACAGAGCGACTTAAAGACTTATTTGTCACTGCAAACTATAGCATATCCTCCAGGGGTGAATGTTTTTAAGGCTGTACCCTAGGGGACCATCTGAAAGCAACCTCTTCATGCTGGTTTTTGCAGAAACTCCTTTCGTGCCTGTAGTATTTATGTTCTCTACTGAATTCAATTTCCATTGAATTGGACTGTTGTTATCATATTGTAAATAAAAACTAGAAGGCGCCATTTTTTTTAAATTATTTTTTATCATTTACATTTAACCACCAAACACTTTGTTTGAAAAAAAAATATTCACAACATTTATTTGAAATATGAAATGCATAGCTGACACATAAGCATACAATAAAACAGCAATTTTGTGTATAGGTTGTAGTTCAGACAAATATAATATTGAAATTAAGTAAAATAACACTTTTTTTATTTTTCATTTATTTGTTCATCCTTTATATAAATATTTGGGGTATGAAAAGCTTTGAACAGTATGCAGTATTTATCTTACATGAAGTAGGCATGACGAAATACATTAAAATGATGCTTACAGATATTTGTAAATGATAGCATTACAAGTAGTACAACTTACCAAGTTGGCAACAGAATATAAAAAGAATTTATGCATTTGAGCATATTGCCCACATAACTGTAATTACCGTTAAATCATATACTGGTAAAATGAAGATAGTTGAATTATTTTATAGCAGTCTCTGTTATGTTATGTTATTGTAAGAGGCATATGGGTGATGTAATTCACTCTTTCCCTACCTGACTGTAGGAATGGTATAACCTTTGATTCTTCCTTTACTGTTCTAGCAGAGAAATTTATTGAGTAAGGTATTTACTGAGGAATTCTAATTGAACAAGACTAATACATCTTCATGTCACAACTGTCACATTCTATATATAGAATAATTTGAGTAAATGCATGGATAAAAGTTAGCATCAGGACATTTTGTTATATAATATATCTATATACAAAAAATACACAATATACCCAGTATTTCACTAGGCAAATAATGTTTTTAAATGCTGTACTAGACGAATGGTCATGTCATCTGTGCATTATTTCCCATAGTAAAATAATACATGGATCATCTCCGTGTAATTCAAGCAGGACCTGCAGTATACATCCTTGTCTGCCGAAAATGTTAATATTACACTACTAAACATCAGGTGCCACTGTTTCAATCTGTTTTACAGTTGGGGAAAAAGAACCTTAGTGGCACTTTAACCGCCTTGCTTTAATGCTGTGTATGCCTCCTAAATGCTGTGTGTTTGTGACATTATGTCACTAGTGCAATTTTATATCACATCCCTTAATCGTATAGCAAATGTTAATAAGCTGAATTAATATTGGTTTTGGCATGTTATTTACATATTTATCTAATATGCATAGTTATACCTGCCAATGTTTTGTTAAGGGAAGAAAATTGTACTTTTATTTACAAATGAGAGAAGACCAACTGACCCAGCCAACTAAAGTTTGGCAACTATAATTTTAATTTAAAGTCATGAAATCATAGTTGTGTGCTAGGTGTGCCCAGACACACCCTAATGCACAGCCAATTGTCCTTCCTGTACGTATTGAGGTCTAAATGGGCACATTTGCCGGAGTTTAGGTTAGCTTGTTATATTTTTTAAAGTACAAAAAAAAAAGATTATTTTTGTGCACAGTAGTATAAACAAATTTTATCTTTTATCTCACTTCCACTTAAGATGAATTTTGTTTTTCTTTAGATGCGTAACCTATGTGTGGAACCTGTATGTTTTAGATTTTAATCCTGCAGAAAACATTTATTTAAAAAAATAAAAACATACTAACAATAACATGCTATAGTGGTTATGGTGCCAGCAATCCCCTTGTGCTGTCCCACTGTAAACTGGTTATAAACTGTGTGACACTTATCTGGCTCTATTGGCGCACGAGCAGTCCTTCTAGTCTGCACAGATATACTAAAGTGGAAGTTAAAGGACCACTATAGTGCCAGGAAAACAAACTCATTTTCCTGGCACTATAGTGCCCTGAGGGTGCCCCCACCCTCATGGCCCCCTCCCGCAGGGCTGAAGGAGGAGGAAGGGGTTAAATCACTTACCTTTCTCCAGCGCCGGGCTCCCTCGGTGCTGGGGACTCTCCTCCTCCTTCGGTCGCGCGCACATTTAGTCAGTCCATAGGAAAGCATTCTCAATGCTTTCCTATGGACGCTAGTGTCTTCTTACTGTGAAAATCACAGTGAGAAGTGCGGATGCGCCTCTAGCGGCTGTCAATGAAACTGCCACTAGAGGCTGGATTAACCCTAAAGTAAACATAGCAGTTTCTCTGAAACTGCTATGTTTACAGTAGGCAGGGTTAACCCTAGATGGACCTGGCACCCAGACCACTTCATTAAGCTGAAGGGGTCTGGGTGCCTATAGTGGTCCTTTAATCTTTTCGACAATGTGCAAAGTTGTTACAAAATGCTATGTCTCTGTCTTATTCTGACATATGGTGTGAGTTGTGGAGGAAGTAGGAGTAACAGTACTTCTGATCCACATCCTGTATATGAGATTCTCTCCTTTTCTTAACTTCTTCCGAATTCTCTCTTTTTTTTTCTCTTTGAGATCTTCACAGCCCCCAGCAGCTCACAGTAATTATTGCAGGATGTCAGGATATACATAATGCACCTTAACAGCATGAGTCAGTGCTCGGTATTGGTAGGGGTTCTTGTTCTTCAGCAACAAGAAAATGCCGACTGTCTTCCCACCTATCCATTAACAAACAAACAGTTCTACTACTTACATTGTGGGGGTAGAGCATTCCTGACACCATAGCCACTACAGCTTGCCGTAGTAGTTATAATGCTTACAGTGTTTTTGTAACTACATTGCCACCAACAATTAACTGGCAGCTGGAAATTTTGAGCTTTGAATAATGCGTCTAAATAATGAGTTCACTAATTACTTTTTTTATTATATCAACCCAATCAGATGCCAGTTTGTGCTAGTTTTTAAAGTTGAATGTGTTTGACGATTTGCGTAATTGTTTGATAAAGTTGATGGGTTTTGTTATGTTCCGTTGTGGCTGTATATTCACACCTTAATCAAGTTAAAGTAAGAATAAAAAAAATTAAACATGCTGGTTTCTTTGTCTTTTCTTGCAGGTAGGATCTCAGTTTGGATATTTCCCTAAAGATCTCGTCAACATACAACAAGTTTACACTGATAAAGACATTGAGATGCCAACAGATGTAAGTTAAGTGGTGTTATATTCTGGTATTATATTAAGCAGCAAATATGTCTTTGATACCGTCTCAACACAATGTTGAGGGAACAGGGTCTGTCCGTGATATGATTTATTGATGTCTATTAAGATGCATACAATTAGTCTGTATTTTAACCAAAGTACTTCCCAAGTACGTTTTTTTAAGCATCCTTGAAGGAACACTCTGGACCCCTGAGTTCCTTTAGCTTGCTGAAACACTTGTTTTTGAGTGTCCTTTTTTTTTTTTTTTCATTTTGCAAAAAAATTCAGATTTCAATAGAAATGTACACTTTTATGAATATACCTGTTAAACCCTCTGACGTTTAAGCAGAAAACAGGTTCTGTTACTTCCTGATTTGTTTAGTTCAGTGGAACAGAGGCAACAATTTCCCAGTGCACCTTCCATGCAAATACTTCTCATTGAACTGCATTGGGAAGTCTGTGATTGAGCATGGGCGTGGTTAGAAGTCGAGGGCTTGCACAGGCTACAGACAAGATAAATGCAGGTTTTGCAAGCTGATTTTAGATATATCCCCAATTTAAAAAAAAAATGCATAATTAAAAACTTGCATGTTTTTATTTGGGTGTATCTACCTTATTCAAATGTTTTGTATCAGTGAAGTTTATTTATTTTGTATTTGAGCAGTGGAATGTCCATTTAAGCAAGCTTCTGATCTGCCAATCACCCTGTATTTTCATCTCCATCTCCTTAACTTGTTCATCTGCTCCTCTCCTCTTGCTCTCTAACCACTTGACCAGCACAATTAAAGAGTTACTCCAAGCCCCGTGACCTGGAGTCTGTATGTGCAACACATTCAGAGACTAACCCACTAGCTGCCAGATGTTTAATTCCACCTCTAGAAGTGAAAGTAGCCAACCCAGAACAAAGTTCCGGCCTAGCTAATGTCAATTCTATGCAAAATTGGTTTATGATGCCAGCCAGGGTAATGCTAGACAGCCAATGGCAGCATGCCCAGCCCCCAAACTGCCCCTGTCCTCCTTTCAGTATTACCTCCCTACCTGACTTCTCTCCCCCTCCGGCAAGGGGGAGTGATGTAAGCTGAGGAGGATCGCGTCGCAGGGAAAACTTGGCCTTGGCGATGGATTTTTTTTACTTTTTTTTTTTAGTTTTTGGGGGTTTGGGCAGGCCACTTTTAGAAAGGGTTGCTTTAATCAAAACCAATGTTTTTTTTTTTGAAAACTCAGTTTTTTGATTGGAGAAACCTTTTAAGAGGGTGATTTAGTATGAAGACTCCTGTTATTGTGGTAGCACATTTATTACATGTTATTACATAAGATGATAACTAGCAAAAAGAAAAAGAGTAATCTAACAATATTTTACTTTTGTTTCAGGATACAGATTTTGTATGCTTCGATGGAGGGACAGATAATTTTGATAATTATAATGTTGATGAACTTTTAAATAAACCAAAAGAAAGCACACTGGGGGAAGAAGAAGATTTAGAAAATACAGCACAGTTGGAGCACCAGCCCACATTAGCAAAACAGTTGGAGGAAAAAGAGATAGCAATTGTTAAACCAAAGGAGGAAGCAAGAGAAAATCAAGAGAACAAACGTGAGGTAGAGGAGAGGACTGATGGAAGTGACTCATTAGCAAAGGAGAATAATATAGTTCCTCTATCAGATAAACCTGAAGAAAGCACAGTACCACCAACAGATAATGCTGAAAAAAGCACACTACCTCCCTCTGGGACAGATGAAACTGTGGAGGACATTTCTGTAAAGATTGATACACCAGTTGTAAATAGTCAGTCTGAAAATTCTCAGGAAGAAAACGTTGCACTACAAATCTCAGAAGATGTTATTTTTGAAAAACCACAAGTGCCAGATGGTGAACATGCTAATAATGGCAGTATTACTCAGGGAGAATCTACTGCACCTACTGAACAAAACGAACAGCTAGACGCCTATACTCTTGTAGATAAAGCTAGGCTTCAAGAACTTAAGACAAATATCGGCTCATTAGATGATGCTATTGTGTCTGATGATGAGGAAACCATACATGTAACACAAGAGGATAAATACACCGATGAAGACTTTGAGGACCAGAGTGATTCACAAGAGGAAAGAAAATTAACTGAAGATTTGGATCAACCTCCCTCGTTGCCCAATGAAGAAACAGGTGCTAAGCCAGTGGTCTTGTTTGAAAATGAATCGATTCCTCCGCCTCAATCAGAGGAAAAGCAAGTAACACCGAACGAAGAGGTAAATGCACGTGTGGACATGGGACATGCTACATCTCTTGAAACAGAAAAGAATATACTCACTAGCTGGGGTGACACTTTCTTTGCCATTGTCAGTGGTGGTGAACATACAAAAGAAGTCACAGATCTTGATGGAACCGATTCAGAAGAGGAGGCTGAAGAAGATGATAATTTAGAAGAAGACCTCAGTTTAACAGATGATGACAGCATTTATCTAATTGACATGGATAAAGTTGGAGTTAAAGAATATATAAATGGTGAGCCTCTCACTGATTTTAAAGATTCCGTTGTGCCTGACTTAAAAGATGAACAAGAAACCATATCAGAGTTTAATAATGGTGAATCTATGCAAATAAATAAAAAGTCAGATGTCACCACAAATGCTCCAGCAGATCAAGAGATTAATGTACCTACAAATGGCTCTACATTGCCAACTATCAAGATCGGTAGTGACCCTGAGATACATGCAGAAAAGCAAGATTCATCCATGCAACCCATAGGTATATCAGAAGAAACTGGTATTAAGGATGAAACATCTGTAAACAATATTGCTGAAAAGAATTCCAAATATAGTATTGGCGAGAACCAAGAATCAAAAACACATCAGTCTGGAAGTGATTTGGAAACTGACATAGAAACCAAAGAACATGATGTGGAGGAAGAAACACTTTCAGGAACAAAATTTACAGATGATGACCAGGTATCTTTAAAGGCTCAAAATATATCTGCAGTTGAAATACCAGCAGTCCTGCAGGACTCACAACTGCAGTCTGTTGACACTGACACAAGAGAAGGTGTAGACGCTGGGGAAATTAATATGAAACATAATTTTGCAGACACAGCAATACTAGATGATGACAAATCTGTAACTACTCTTACTACAGAGGAAGTAACAGCAGGATCAGATAAGTTGGACTTAAGTGAACTACTAGTAGAGAAAGAAGATAAAGACATAGAACCAGTGAAGAAAGATATAGAACCGTTTGATGAAGTAGTTTTAGAATCTGTAAACGTTCCCTCAGATCAGCTAGTAATTGTTTCAGAGGTGTCAGAGTTAAAAGAGCTTCCTGTAGAAAATGAGAATAATAAAATAGAACCATTGGAGGTGGTAGTATCAGAAAAAGGCAAACCTGTTATTGTAACACCTGCAGATGAAACGCCTAGAGATGTGAACATAGCAAAATCAGAAAATGCAGGAGGCTCCATGGAAAAAATAATTGGTCAAAATGATGCACATTCAACAACAAAATATATGGAAATTGAGAAAAGCAGTACTAGTCAGACTGAGCAAAACAAAATAGAAAATAGTGACCAACATGTGAAACCTAAAGATGTAGATTATTCACCTAATTTAGATAATCTTGACAATGTTGGACAACAAATAATTGTTCCCGAAAGTAGTGAAAAGCTAACTGAGCATGGTAACAAGGATAAAGAATCATCAAACCTGGAATCTGTACCAATTGATGTGGATGATGAAGATACAGAAGGTCTAGATGCAGAGCAAGAGCTACTAGAAGATGAAAATGCCAAAAATGCTACACTATCACAAAAGCTGATGGAAAATAGTGGCCATGATGTTCTAGGTACAGACAACATGAGAAGGACAGAAGAATCTACCATTTCTGCCCAGGAACCTAAACCAGTAGAAGAAGAAATGGATAAAGAAACAAAGCTTGAAAATGAAGGCGTCTCATTACAAAAATCACCAACTGAAAATGCCGATAAAAATACAGAAGAGCTTAAACATAAAACAGTGAGTCCAACGCAAGAAAACATTAAGAATATTAGAGTACCAGAAGAAAATAGTCAAGATAAACTTTCAGAACATCATATTGATAATCCAGAACAAAGTGAAACAGATGATGAAAAAATATCTGATGATTCATTGACTACAGGAAATTATATCCAAGAAGAAACATCCTACTATGAAAGTATAAAGGAACTTTCCATTATCAGGGAATACTTGGATGAAGATCACGTAGAACAATTTAGAAAATACCTTAACTCTGAGAATGTCTTTAGAGTAGAAGCCATGTTCCATGACATGGAGGATGAGCTGAAACGTGCTCGTCAGGATAATATGCGTCAAGATTACATCGACAAGGCTTTGGATCAGATTTTGGAAGCCTCTGAAAATAATATTCTTGACTTTGTTGAGCAAGTATTAGACCAGAGGGAGGTAGACGCTGAAGAAATGGTTGCAGTGGAAAAGGAAATGTTTGATGAAGAAGCTATGCTGTTGGAAGATATCCAGGAAATAGCATATAGAATGAGGCAAAAATATTCAACATTGAGTGACAGCTCTGTTCTTGCACCAGGAGTGGTGGATGATCCAGAACCAAGTATAAATATTGCGGAAAAAGGTATGTGGAATATGGTTAGTTCATAGTCTTACGACGCAGTGTGTGAAACTGTTTGCCTGATTTTGTTTAGCCACGTTCTCATCTCGGCCATAAGTCATATCGCCCCTTCAAAAACCTTTTCCTCAATTCATAACCTTACTGCTCTTTCACATTTATACTCATAAGACACATTCTCTCCATCCTATTTCCATAACCATCTCCATATCCCTCCCATTGTATAGTCTATTTTACTCTTCCAAGTGCCGTACACTCCTCTTTCCACAATCAATATTCCCTAACTCTAACATTCCTCATATATTCTCCCATCAATTGCAACGTGAATTGTACACAAGTACTTCACTTTTGCAGGCATACATTTCCTCTGCAGTCTATAAACCATCTCCTCCTAAACCCTCCCACCTCAAAAACCATAGCTTCACATTTATTATCCTGGGCAACAGCTCTTCACAGTCATTAATCCACCTGTCCAAACCCATTATTCTCTACCAAAATCATAAACCCCAAGTGTCTTAATTTAATAAAAATGATATACTAATATAGTGGAGAAAATGGCTGTGACCAACTGGAGCATGTCTAAAGCCTTGGCTGGTGGATCCAACCCCGATCACTTGATGGAGTAAAAAATCTAGTATAACAATTTAAAAAAAAAAAGCCTTACTTTACTTTTATATTTATATAACTTTTATATTTTATTTTTACTTTTATATTATAATATAAAGCATTGTCTTACCTTGCTTTTTCAGGGGGAAATATAACTTTAATTTGGTTAAAAGAACACTAATGTTAGTAATACAAATATGTATTCCTACTGTTACATGGTTGTTCACTAAAGTGAGAAGTCAAAGTTTATTTAACATTTAAGGCAAAAATAGTCCGAAATGGAAGCATAGCTGTTATATTATTTAGATTCAGGGCTCCCCTTGTTAACTAAATGTATTACTTACATTTAGTCCCTTGGAGCACTAGTCTCGTAGTGGCCCCTGCTGATGATCTCAATCAAATTTAATGCTTCCCCATAGGGAAGCATTGGGGGAGTTAGTGCACATGCGCAAAAACGCTGCGCTAAAATTGTCAGCATCACTTTTTAAACTTGCACTAACTCAATGCAACTATATTGAGAGCATTCGGTGCCTTAAAGCTGAGCATGAAGACGCTGAAATGATGGTCCTCCAAAGGTTGCAAGACCCATAACAGGAAATGCTATTTGATGTCTGAGTGACAATCACCAGAGGTGGCCTTAGAAAGCAATGCAAACACCATCAAAAGGCAATGCACTGCATTGTGAAGCTCTACACAAAGAATTGACCTACCATTGGTTAATGGACCATTATTGTATGAGAACGCATCTACTACAGCAAAGATGCATCCTAAAAATATTCATGTACAATGCCCTTAATTGCATTGTTATGCTACAGCTTGAACTGCTAACATAAAATGATATTTACCAAGGTGTGAAATGTTTTAAGATCTATTTGTGAATTCTATAAAATGCCTGTAAAACCAGTCTTTTAGCTTTACTACTTATGCACTGGATGGACAGCTAGATGAGTTTTGCTTTGTATATCAACATCTATGCCATTGATAGTTTAATAACCAAAATGAAAAGGACACTAAGTTAATACCCACCTAATTTTGTATCCATTATTTTTTCAACCTCTTACAGATAAGCATTTAAAAGATAATCCTGATATTAAGCTTGTTGATTCAGAATCTAATGACACCCATTCAGTGGTTGATGAGCCTGATCGGGGCACAAAGGAAGAAGAGGCTGACCTGATTAATTTATCTCAAGTGGACAGAGGGGAAAGTGAGACTGACAAGGTGAATGCACAGCATGTGGACACAAGGGGAGAAGAGACTGGCACAGTGAATGAAGAGCAAGTGGACACAGGGAAAAAAGGGACCGGCACAGTGAATGTACCACAAGTGGGCACAGAGGATGAAGGGACTGGCACAATGAATGTCCAACAAGTTGACACAGAGGAAGAGACTGGCACAGTTTATGTACCACGACTGGACACAGAGGAAGAAGAGACTGGCACAGTGACTGTACCACGAGTTGACACAGATGAAGAAGAGAACGAAAATGTGAATCTACCACGGGTGGACACAGAGAAAGAAGAGGACACAAAGGTGAACGTACCTCATGTTGACATAGATAAAGAAGATACTGGCATAGGTGTTGTGCCTCAAGATGACATACATAAAGGACACTCTGACTTGGAGGAGCCACACTTAGAAGATGTAATAGGAGAAGAAACTGGCACAGTTAAAGTGCCAGGCTTAAGGGATATATCTGAACCACCTTTCACAGTAAAGGAGGTAGAAACTGAGCTTATCTCTCCCACAAAGAGCTTCACCCAAAACATGGATTTGTCTGTTTCTGGTACAACTGATGTGAATGAAGGAGGACATGTTGCAGGTACTATATGAGTTTTTGTCCTTCGGATATTGTTATTATCAATATTTAACATTTATATAGCACCAATAATCCAATATTGTAGACAGGGCTTGTCAGTGTATGCAAACCCAATTACAAAGTTAATCCGACAGGGATAAACCAATGCCTCATTTACAAAGGGCCTTGCTTTGAAACTTTCAATCTACTTAGGACAGGCATCATGTGAACCTCAAGAGTTTATCCAAAATATTTCAACCTGCTTTAGTGTTCAAGTCACATGTGATTTTGGATATTGAACTAGCATAATGTAGAATCATCACTACATTTCTCGATTTAACAGGGGCTCTTGTTTTTATGCTAGTTACATACCATACATCAACATGGACAATACATGTTTTATAGATCTTCGACTACCATTGGTCGCTGATACACAATTCACCTGCGTTCAAGCAGAATTATCCTTAAATTGTAGCCCAATACATTTTTACAATTAACTTCTACATTTATTTGCACACATATGCATTTAATAATATATTTACATAGAAGATTGACAGGAACAAGCAATGATAAATCATATATTAAAATATTACCATTTGTATTCAATGTACATGTGGTTATTTTTTTTTATTTTTTCAGACACCACAATTGAAGAGGAGACAGGAACTGAGAATGTAGATTCACAAACTACAGTGTCTGTTTCTATGATTGTATCATCCATGGGGAATGCTTTCCTTACAACCAAACAGTCTCTGGGTCCTGTTGCAGGAATGGTAAGTGCCACATGTGCGATTAATTTCTTAGGTCATTTTTTGCAACATTTCCTAAATAGCTTATCTGAAAACACTCTCAAGTCTGGCTCAAATAACTAAATCATAACAAATTTAATTTGTATGTTTTGTTGCACTCTCATATGTTCATTTGAATGTGTCCCTGCAAAGCACTTCACTGCGGTGAACACAGACAAGGTTGTTGAGTAATGTGAGAATTGTCAGGAATTTTGGTGGATTTCAAATTGTAGACCAAAGTAGCCGACCTGAATGCATAGCTGACATGGAGAATTTTTCAAGATCGGATATTTTGCCATTAAATTTAAAAATCACTTTGAATTCCTGTCACTTCTCATTGTAGTGAATAATGCTGAGAGTGTCCCACATATGAGAGCTATCTGGCTGTATTATACTTCCTTGAAATCATTGTCATTCTCTTAAATTAATAATTCTGTGGATTAAACAGCAATTCTGTAGCAAATTTGTAAAAGTAATCGCTGCCCCCAGATGTTGATTGCCTAGACCTCCCAGAATTGAGTGCAGTAGATGGCTTATAATCATGGGGGGTTATAATTCAGCACCATTTGGGGAGAGGGGCAGGGGGGCATAGTTTGCAATGCCAACACTTCTAAAGGAATTTCTTTTAAAACATAACTTCTTTGATTTGTCTGATTAGTGGGTCTAAAACATTACATTATGTGCTTTCATCTAATAATATACATGCCTTCATATTTGCTATGAATACTCATTTTGTATTTGCTGTTTATTTTGTCTGTTCGTCCACCCATTGTAAAGCGCTGCGGAATTTGATGGCGCTATATAAATATCATCATAATAATTATGCAGTCTCAGATTTCCGCTCTTTTCCCTGATTTTGCAGCCACTGATCTCCACTTTCAGCTCTTATCAACCACTGCTCACTTCCTATTGAATGTTTAATATGCCTATTTATTGTGACCTTGCATGATTTCAAGTGATGTTTCAGAGACATTACAGCTGCATGTTAGAGAGGTGTTTGTGCTTCAGGAAAATGTCACTAGTTTTTATATATATATATATATATATATATATATAATCACTAGTGCTGATGAATGTGATCTACTGTTCACAGAGAGGAGATCACTGTACGTAATATTTAGTGCCTCATTAAAGGAACACTTCTGGCACCGTAACCACACATCGTTCTGTAGTGGTTATGGTACTCTGAGTGTTCTTTTAAAGAAGCAGATGCCGATGTTTGATCCTTCTTCCATACGAAGAGTATATGTATAGTTTGTCATGTGTAAGCCTTCCTAAGAAAATGTGATACACACTGAGCAACTCTCATGCTTGTTGTCCAGGCCATTGTCGTAATTTAACAAAATTTGACATATAAGAGGATAAATGAGTGGTTTATCAGGATCTGGCTTTCTGAAATGAAAGTTAAGTCTCAGTTTGATATCACTAGACAGGCGGCCATGGAAGATGTACTTACTATTTCAAATTGGATAACGTTCACAGTATTCTTTTAGAGTGCATTTTTCTGTCCACACCTTTGCTGAAAGTATTGAACGTCCTACTTTTCTTTTGTGTATGTATATACAAAAATAACAAATATATAGATGAAAATACTATCCTGGCCAGAAAGATGTACAAATATTTAGTTGTAGGTGCTGACAGTCACATACGTGTAAATGACTTCTTAATCTACACAAATATTAATACAAAACTGTATGGGCATCAGCTGGAATGTTTCACACTGTTAGGGGCTGATGCATAAGCTATTCTAAACAGAGCATGCATGTAATAAGAATGTTTAAGGATGGATTTCTGCTACCTTCATTAATGTAACCGTTGAGTTTGATTGGGAGAATATATTTCAGATTGCTTTCATGCTATAGATTTATAGACTTTAACAACCCAGGAAAACACCAAATACCAATATTCTGAGTGTTCATGCCATGGCCCTTTAATCCTTAAACATATTTAAAAGATTGCTGATGAGCTGATCCAGCGAAACGTGTGTCAGGGGCTTTGAGGCACCGCTGTTTCCACCAACAGATTGCAGTACTCTCTGGCTTTTTTAGGAAATATTATTTGAAGTTCCGTTTTTGTGGCTTTTTCCACCACTCTCATTATTATTTTGAAGTTTCTCCTTTTTATTAAGTGGGTGGTGGTTTCTCTTTGGCGTTATAAGTTAGGGTCATTTACAGGGTTAAGGGGTGCCCTCGAAGGCACAATAGGGACAGCTATATCTTTCTCCCCCCAATATACAAGTTCTACTATTAGCCAATTATCTAATTACTATCCCACTAGCAATTTTTTGTAATTTCTGTCATATCTATTTTGTTATATTTATTTTGGCCATGTGCCGAGTTACTTTGGTTATTTTTCTTGTTCCTTGGCTACATGCCTGAGAGCCATGAGTCATAGTGTTGCCAGAGTTTACATATAAAGTATCGATCACCAATGTTCTAAAAGCAGTCACTTTGTTATCCCATTGAATGATACTTTTTAGTGATCTGCTTTAGACCTTTTCTTTTGATATTTACCATCTACTTTATAGTGTGGAGCAGCCCTTGCTACTGTAATGTAGATTTTAATAGTACTATTATATGAGCACAATCATTTGCCAGCAACGCCAACACTGAACACTGCAGTTATCCAGCTACAGCTTAAAGATTTATTTATTTTTTAGTTTGACGGTTTTTGTATTCTGTATTTTAAATGACAAACCAACTGAGAATTTAGCACCAGCCGTTCCATGACATTTTTTACATTGTCAGAGTATAGCATCAATTAATCCATCAAATATGTCAGTTAGTCACTGTAACCATAAGCAAAGAGTGACCAGGATGTAACTATCCAGAGCAGGGGTACCCAAAAAGCAGATCCCCTGAGGTTTTAAAACTACAGCTTCCATGATGCTTTATTCTAAAGGCATACAAAGCATCATGGAAGTTGTAGTTCTACATCATCTGGGGATCTGCCTTTTGGTTACCTCTGATCTAGAGTGCGCGGGACAACATCTTGGATAAAGCATTGTTGGTGATGTAATTACATGTTTTGTTCTATATTCCAAACTGAAGAACATTAGCTGGAGAGCTACCTGCAGTATTTAACATTATTGTATACTCCAGAGCTCAAAATGTCCACTCGCCATAGTCAATTAGAAATTTATCCCTGGTGAGTGTGCCATGGATCCTCCAAGCTCGCAGTGACTTAACTTTTAAAGCCTGGCTAGTAGTATAGGACATCATTTTTTTAATTTTTGTCGTGCATAAAGATATACAACATATCGGCTATGCCCCAACAGCATTAGCAAGCGTTTTAAGATATGACATTTTAAGGTAAATGACATAAAACTGCAAGTCATTTGAAAGAGCATGCACAAAATCAATAAAGTATGGATTTAATAGAGTGGTAGTCAAGCTGTACTATGTGTGTCTGGTCAGAATGCCTGGGTAAGCTAGGAAACATATAGTATGAGAGACACAGAGATTAGAACACCTAAGAGACACCAAGATACTTGTAACGTTTCAAGTTATATAATCAGAGTGTTCCTATCTAATGGCATTAAGCTGAGGCATCACAAGAAATTTTAAACTAAAAGAGAAAACCATAACTATAAACAAAAACAATAAAATTGATATCGACCGTGGAGGTGTCAGGCAATGTTAATGAGGCGTGTTAATTAGAGGGAGAATAACGCCAGCTGGTAGGAGTCCAGGTTTCGGATCAGCCGATGCCACTTTGGGGCTTAGCAGAGTGTCGTTTCGGCAAATCAGTTATCAGGCATATGAGCCTGCTCGTGGGCCATGGTCGTACCGTAGTGGAGTGTAGCAATGAGCCCAGTTGTGGCCCCAGAGGTCCCTCTAGGATGCTAGTCTGTCAGGATACCGCAGGGTGGATCCCACGTCTAAGCTGACCTGTAGCTATGCAGCACCTGCTCCTGACAACTTGTGGTAGATTAGACGTCTCCTCCGTTCTTGAGTTTGCCTCTGTCCTGTAGCCAGGTGTCGCCGCCGGAATTTTCGAGAGGGCTGGGTTTGCTTCTCTGGGACACTGCATCGTTGCTGGTGCTCACTGACCCTGTTCTGCAACCTCCTCCAGAAGTCAGCAAATATTTTGTTCAATCTGGCTTCAAAATTAAGTTATGCAGTGCTGGGGTTAACGAGACACATGGTCTCTGCCATGTTGGATGACTCTAAGAACTTTTCTCCAACTTCGAAGGGTACATAACCCATTCTTGTTGAATCTCGGTCGCCTCTCAGGTGTGGACTGGGATCACCCCCACAGGTCCAAGCTGTTGCTTGAAAGTGGTTGCTCCTGTGCATCTCCAGGCCAGGAGTTGTCCGCCTCTCCCGCCCTGGTTGCACAAGGCCACATCTGCCAACATGCGATAACAAAGCTCTTGACAAGGTGATTACTGCAGCACAACTTGTCACTTAAAATTTTAAACCCTGTTTAATGTAGACGGTGAAGAAAATGCTTGACGACACTCAAATGGCAAACTGTTGCCAGGTCCACTTTGGCGGTGGAATAAGACATTTAAAATAAATATATATATATATATATATATATATATATATATATATTGAATAGATGTAGATTGGAGTATTTTATTGTGCAACCATTTTAACATTCCTTGTGAAATGCTGAGTCCATATGTCCCAGATTAGCCCATGGAAGAACGTTCAGGCACACCGTGAATAGTTTACCTACATGCAGTGGTGTATCCTGGTTTTGTGCTGCACTAGGCACACACACATTAACAGACACACACTCACTCATTCACATTAACACATTTTTTTTAATTTTATTTACCCCTCTCCCCACCTCCTTACCTTTGGGAGTGCTGGGAGGGGGAGGGGGGTTCATTACCTCCCTGGTGGTCCAGTGGTTGCCGGCTGGGCTGGGCAGGCGAGGGAGCTCTTCCCCTGAGTGGTCTGCTCAGCTCCCTCGCACGCCGCAAAGTGAGGCTGGGAGCCGGAAGATGACATCATCTTCCGGCTCCCAGCCTCACTTTGCGGCGCGCGAGGGAGCTGAGCGGACCGCTCAGAGGAAAAGCTCCCTCGCCAGCCGCCTGCCCAGCGCCGTCTGCCAGCCCAGCACCCGGCCGGTCAGTTAGCCGCAAGGCTAACAAGGCACTTGCCTGGGCATTTGGGGGGCGGCGTTTTTTGCCGCCCCCTGAAAAAGGCCGCCCAAGGCAAATGCCTTGTTTGCCTCGTGGCTAAAACGCCCCTGCCTACATGTTAATATTTGCAGTTTATTAATAATTTGCTTGACTGACCACTCTACCATGTGCCCTGTGTACCATTCACTCAGTCAGGTTATCTACTGCCACCTGGTGTCAAATTAAGAAATCAGAAAATATACACCTCATTTCAATATGAACTGAAACTCATGCAAAAAATAAATCATGTCAAACGTTAAACAAAACAGATATAAAAAATATGTTTAGACCAGTGATGGCTAACTTTGACACTATAAGTTGTTTCTGGACTACATTTCCCACGATGCTCAGCTAGCTTTTAGAGTCTAAAAGCTAGCTGAGCATCATGGGAAATGTAGTCCTGCAACAATTGATGGTGTCAAGGTTAGCCATCAAGGGTTTAGACACATTGGTCTTTTTCAGTTCCCTCAATGTCAACATTGCTTACTCCCATTACCCAGGTCTCTCAGATTCAGTACCTTTTAAAGGAAAACTAACTGCCCCAGGAAGCACCACTAGGAGCCGTCTGAGGATTGCCCAGTGGAGTTATCGCTCAGCTTTAATGCAAACACTGCATTTTCTCTGAAAAGACTGTGTTTATTGCAAAAAAGCCTGAAGAGAATGATTCTACTCACCAGAACAAATACAATAAGCTGTAGCTGTTCTGTGACTATAGTGTCCCTTTAATTAAACAGTTTTAGTGTATAGATTATGTCCCTCAAGACTCACTGCTCAATTCTTTGCCATTTGGGAGTTAAATCACTTTTGTTTCTTTTTCTGTTTCTGTGCCCTGGCTACACCTCTCCTGGCTGTAGCAAACACAGCCTAGATTTAAAAAAAAAAGTTTCATTTTTAGCCATACATGACAGCACACTGGGTTCACTGTAGCAGTATCTCCCTGGCAGGAGGCTCCTATTATTAGCAACCTAATAATAGAGCAGTTGATAATAAATTCTGGATTAAACAGACTGTGCCATAAAGTAAGTTTAAATATTAGGTTGCTTTACTGGAAACATGTAGGTCACATTGCAGGGAAGTGTGACTAGGGCTGCAAAAATTTTATAAATCCTAAATGGCAGAAAACTGAGCAATTAGACTATATACGCATGATCAAATCATTCCATTAAGCTAAAGTTGTTTTGGTGCTTAGAGTGTCCTTTAATTATAGCTGTAAGTAAGAATCTATAGAGAGTAGCGAACATGTTTGTATATGTCGATCAATGACAATCAACAGCCTCTGTACCTTCGCTAGAGAATGTAGCTTACAGGGAGGTGGGTGTGTTTTATCTAAAAGATGATGCACCCACATTATCAGCATGATGAGCTATGCAACTTAACTGATCAGCATGCAGAGGGGATAATTGGACTGACCAATCACATACAATTTAGTGATAATGTATGTCACCATTCAGCAAGATAAGACAATAATTGTAGGATCAAGCTTTGTTTTTACTTATTTGTTAAGACATACCAAAGCAGATACCATCTAGGTGGAGAAGAGCTTCTTTCTTGGAAATGCAAGTTTGGTTTTTTTTTAAGTTATTGTTACTCCTGTCTCTGAGTGAGGGGGTAATTTAGGGCAAGTGATTATAAAGGTCTGGAAAAAAAAGCATATTGTGTCAGTGACCTACAGAATCTCACACATTAGGCATATGTAGCTTGTTTCCTACTGATGTTGCACGTTCAGAGCCAGCACAGTTGGATTTTTTACAATAAAGTTGCTTTGTGCATCAGATAGTCTCATAATACTTTTAAATATAGATGAACTAATTAGAGTGAATATATCAGATGTAGGAGAGCAACAGGGATGGATTATTTTGTGATTATTAGGTAGGTTATTCAGGCTAATACAATAGTCACAAATTGCAACTTCTAAGATTAAGCAATGTGCTGCTTAATCTGTAGCCAAAACATTTTTAGGAAGAGAAGTGTGATTTATGTTTCTTAGGAACAGTTGAAAGAATTTGTGAGAGTATTGTTGAGTTTGATATTTTATAAATATAGTGTTATTGAAATATTTACAAGAATATCGCTCTTTTTTTCTAAAAGGTAGATATTAGTTAAATGCTGTATAGTAACATATTCCTTACAAACTTAAGCATTGTACAGACTTAGAGAGACATGCCGAGGCAATACAACCAATGTATCTCATTTTAATGGTTATGTTGCGAATGCTAGTCTCTGGGTGCCCTGGGAGACAGCACCTCTCCTCATCTGCATTGATAATGTATAAATTCCACTTATGCAATATATGTCAATTTTCTACAAGTTGGGCTACGGGGATTTACTGATTTGTAGCTTATTGAAATACTTGTTGCAACAATTGGGCTTACATTACCAATCTGACTGTAGCCGAGTTTTTTTTTTTTTTTTTTCGATTCCATAATATTAGAATAAATATTGTCATTAAGATTTCAGTTCACTGCAATTCGATGTTTAGTTAATTAACCCTCACGTATGCATGTGCTAAATATATTATTAGCACATTCTAAATTCCCAACAGTAATTCTAAACACAATACACTAGCATACGAACTAGCCCAGGCTAACGCCAAACCTGCACTCGTCTCTCTTGACAGGTGTATTTGTAATTGCTGACTTACTGCCCTGAACGATACTGGTTTATAATCGTCGTGGCAGGACGAGGAATGCAGTTTTTATTATAATTAGAGAGGAGTGATGTGTACAGGAAGAATAGATAAATGTACCCTGCAGGGACATTCAATGCTAATTCCTTATACACACCCTGAGTCTCTGCTCACAATCCGTGGGTGCTCTAACTGCAATGAAGCTCGGTGGTTCAGCATTCCCGGCCATGGCTGGCTAAGCTCGGTGGATCAGCGCAGTTATTTGTTGTTTTGTTTATCGCTGGTAGCCGCACGGTGCGGGTTAATGGGAGATGTGGCAGCTCCTTGTAACACGTGGCTTCACTTCCGGGTGGCGCGCCTAACTGACGTATCCGGTTCGCAAGAGGTCACGGAGTGTTGACGTGTTGTTATGACAGAAGGCGAAGTTCAGCGCTGCTGAGGCTGCAGGAATACGGTGGAAGGTGAGTGTAGCCTGTCTGTGTGTTGGTTCAGTGGGCTTTCTGTTTGTGTGTGTGTGTGTGTGTGTGTGTGTGTGTGGCAGGGGAGGATATTCTGTAATAGTGAATGCTGGGAGGGGGGCTCTATCTGGGGACCAGGGGTGGAGGGTGTACTGTGTGAGTTGTGTGTTCTGGGGGATGCTGTGTGAGTTGTGTTCTGGGGGATGCTGTGTGAGTTGTGTTCTGGGGGATGCTGTGTGAGTTGGGTTCTGGGGGATGCTGTGTGAGTTGGGTTCTGGGTGCACTGTGTGAGTTGGGTTCTGGGTGCACTGTGTGAGTTGGGTTCTGGGTGCACTGTGTGAGTTGGGTTCTGGGTGCACTGTGTGAGTTGGGTTCTGGGGGATGCTGTGTGAGTTGGGTTCTGGGGGATGCTGTGTGAGTTGGGTTCTGGGGGGCGCTGTGTGAGTTGGGTTCTGGGTGTAGTGTGTGAGTTGGATTCTTGGGGGTTCTTGGGGTGCTGTGTGATTGAAGGTCTGTGCACTCTGTGTGTAAGTGACTATTGCTAGAATGACCGCATGTCTCAGGAAGACAGTGGAATGGATACTTAGTTTATTAATAAGATTTTAGGAGAACAGGCTGCACCATATGACTCAGTGATGTTACTGTGTGAAATCCTAAACTATAGAAGCCTGGAAAGATGTAGAATTATTTTGTGCTAGCTCTTAGCTGAAGCATGAATGCCACTAGCTGAAAGAATTAAAAAAAAATGTGCAGGACACTGAGGGATTAGAATGGTGAAACTGGACATCATGTTGAATGATGGAAAATGTGAGATAGTAAGGGATGTTGTATTAAGGTTTGGATACATGACAGTACCTGATACAATGTTAGCAGTGACTGATGTTGATAGAGGGGGTGATATGCAACACAGCGCTCTGTTATACGTGAAATCTACCACTCATTGGTATTTGTGACACTGTTTAGTATATGTGAGTATGTTGCATAAGCAATTAAAATCAGTGCACATACTCCACAGTAAATACCCTTCACTGAGAAACTAATGGTGCTAGCAGATAGGATATCACCTTGCTATTAGTGTTCTGATGAGCGTGAGTGTGTTTGTTTCTCTCAATCTTAGTATGGGAGTCTTTTGCTTTCTCACTGTCAGAGTTGAAAAGAACATATTATTGCAGTACGTTGGTCTCTGGGAGGCCTGGACTTGCTCAGGTGTACAAGGTTCATTGGTTGCCTACCATGGATGTCATTGAGCCGGAGGATCTCACATCTTCCTCATCCTCATCAGTGGATGTGGAAGCGGACTCAAGCCTCCTAGGCTCTCTTCCCATCTTATACTCTGTCATGGTCACCAGGTGTCTCCAGGTTAGTATTTGTTTCTGTGTGAGCTAGTGGTAGAACATGTTGATATTGTAGGACCTTCGTGCAATTAACGTCGGAAGCCCTTTCCACCTTTCTGATAACATGATGAAATCTGTATGTGCTGTATGTGCTGTTTTCATCCAATACTGCACGTTATGTCTTTTCTCTAGGGAATGTATGGCAAATTCAATACCGATATTTGTTTGTGATTATTATAAAACATATATATATTTGTTTTACATAGTGCTTATACATTGCTTTCTCCTGCTTTCTACGGCCTAATTTTGTTTTACACTCAGTAACCTTGCTTAAGTGCCCAAGCAGAAGAGGGACAGTGACTCAGCGTAGATAATTAAACTGAGGCTCAGAGATTCAGATTTGCAATCATCTAAACTGGATGGGCACATTCTGTGCAATTCTCTAAAGTAGCCACTGACTTGTGTTTAGTAAATACACAATTTTTTCAAAAAATATTAAAATAAACAATATTACTGAAAGAGTAATGTGAGGGGATCTCAAGAAAAACTTGTCAGACCATTCTTCATAAACTACCACCTGCTTAAGAAATTGGGATGAGCCATTTCTGTTCTAAAAGTCTGTATATTTTGTGGTACTAAGACACAGGTTTGAGATCCTCTGATGTGAGGTGTATCAATACAGACTTTGAAAAACAGTGAATTGGTCTGCCAATATTCATGATGTGTAACATGGAAAATCTATTTCACTGATTCTACAGTTGCAGTACGGAATGTTGCCATAAGTAGGATGTGCTAATTCCACATAACCATCTAACACCTCCTTTTATCAGAGGGTCTGGGGTCCTCTATATTTAATGTAGCTATTTGCCCACTGACCGCTTACACAATCAGTGGACAAATATTGTGAAGTTCTTTCAATTCAGCTGCATGATACAGGGGAGCAGAAATCTCAGAATTTGACTCTAGCATTGCCAGGTGTGAAGCAAATTGGTCAGCTATCACAGTTTTATAAAAGTTAATTTGTACAACATTTGGATTATGTCTTTTCTCATTTTTATTTTTAGCTGACACGTTTGCTCTGAGCTGTATGAGTACGTTTGGCGTAGTCCTCCTGAATTAACTTAACTTCTAAATTGCATTTCGCAAGTATTGGATTTGCAATTCTCATGAAAAGTTTCCAGCATTTTTCTAAATTCTAGGGCAGCATGTTCCTTTCCCAACATGTATGACTCAGCATTTCATGCTTTTTAAGATTAGAAATTGAGAGTCCTACAATTATATAATTCCAACCCACAAGGTAGTGTCTGTGCTTTATGAATAAAATTACTGCCAACAAAATGTACCAGTGCATGCGCTGTATTAAAATAGGTGATATTATTATTGCAGAGGATTATGTGAAAATAGGTGCAACTCTGAAACATGACTAGTTTTATGCTTCCTGTTATTCTCAACCAACGACAGAATCTGATAATTGCTCAAGCTAATAACCAATTATAATACATTATTTGTTGCTTTTATATTTTATGTATGCCATGCTGTACCCTGATGCTACTTGCTTGTATGCATGGGCACGAAAGTATTTATGGGAAGCACTTGGAAGTACAATAGCAGTATGTGTATGGTATATTTACCTTATCAGAACAGATATCTCCTCCAATACCACTTCAATAGTTTTACTGTAGCAGGGTAAAATGAAACTGTCACCAACAGAAAGGAAACCTTTCCTCTTTCAGAGCCGACATATATACAGGGTTAAGCACTAAGGGGAGAATTCAAGCTGAATTTTAAAGTAAAATTAAAATTTAAGGTCAAACTAGCTGCACTGGAAGCATTCTCTAAATCAGCTATGCTGTCCATTCAGCTACTCTGGTCTTACATTTTAGTGAATGAGACTGCTATGGTAGGTGGAAAACATCACAGTTGATAAATGGTCTGTGTATAAGGACATCACTGTCTTGTTTCATCTCTTGGTGCTTCTTCCACATTCTCCTGTACAGTGCTACGTGCAAACTGTTTCACAACCAGGGACGGAAGTGAAAGCACTCTAACCTCTTTCTGCTGAAACACCACATTTGTACAACAATGTTCTTCTAAATTGAAAGACGTTGCTAGGGTTCTGTTTATCCTTCTCTCGTCTGCCCTTGCTTTTGTGCTATTTAATCTACACATGTTTGTGTGAAGCAGGATTTCGTTTCAGACTTAGCAATGATATATTCTTTGTGTTTCTGTGAATATTTGCTTGTATAGATTTTGTCAATAAAGTGGTCTTATGTATAGCACAGAAACCTGTATCTTATAGCATGCATATTATTCTATGTGCCCTCTTTTTTTTTTTTTTTAATATATGTTTTTTGCTTTCTTTCTTTTTTTTTCCTTGCTTACCGCATGTAGAGTTTGAAAAAAAAAAATTGTGTACTGCAAGGTTCATGCTGATTAATGCTTTATATTTTGTGGCTCTTTTTGAAGATAAATGGCTAAGATTTTGTTTTGTTGTTTCTTTTTTTGTCTTGTGATTTTTGGATACTATTTTACGAAAATATTTATCCTTCCATGTTTCAGTTAATATCTGCACTCCCTGAAGATCTCAGACCTGGTGCGGATTTCCATGGTGTGCAATGGGAAGTGGTCATCTCAACTTTGTCAGTGGGCATAATCACTGTATTCATTTTCTTCTGGAGAACCTGCCTCTCCGTAAGTGGTTTGAAAACATTAGCCTAGTAATTGTTTTCTGCTACATCCTAAGTATCAAGATATTTTGTTTACGTATTATTTATTCATGTGCTTTGCACAGGTTGTCTTAAGTTAGCATATCAGAAATCCCCTAAGCCAGGGCTCAAAATTTCAACTAGTCTTCGGCGAGTGAAAATTCAGCCTTAGTGAGTGTACCATGGATCCAGCAGTCTATGTATTGGAAAATCTCTGATTGGACAATCTCAGAAAGTCTGGGATTGGTAGGAAGAGCAGCGCTTGTAAAGGTTTAAGACGAGATCTGCAGCTTTTGCAAGCTGTTTTTAGATATACCCCCTAATGAAAAAATGCATAATTAAATGCATGCACATTTGCATTGCGTTATATATACTAAACAGTGATTTTTATTTTATTTTTATTTTTTTATTTGGACAGTGACGTGTTCATTAAAGCTAAAATTATTTTGGTGCTTAGAGCATTCCTTTAAGTTGTAGCTAAATTAAATTATTTTAAAGATTTCAGATATTTTATTTTACATCAAAATAAAAAAAAAAGATTAAAACAAAAAAACAGACGACAGATCCATTTTCACAATAATCGATGACGACTATGCAGTGGTACAGTATTATTTAGTGGCATCACAGAGTTTGGTAATCAAGTGGTATTTTCCGTATCTGGCATGGTGTCTTTATAGAACAAAATGGTAATGGGTAATATTTTAGGGTGCAAAGTCAAATATCACTGCCCCAACAGATTCCCTTTACTTTACTTTACATACAACCACAAGTTCAACTGCTTGGACCGACTCACTGTGTAACCAGTGTAGAGCATTAGTCTAGAAAGCTTTTATTAGCACCTCAGTAATCCTACTTGCTAAGGGATACCTTTCATTTACTGGCATTGCTACAAACTGTGACCTTTGTGTAGATCCATAGATAATAAAGTGTTCTCTTTGCTACTAACACTCTGTCCTATATACTGATTCTATTTTTATTTTTTTCCAGGTTAAAAGCCGAATTTATCAAGGTAATGATTGAATTTCCTACTACTATTTAACTTGGCATTCTGTCATTTAAACCCTGGGTTACTTCAGCCATCCCAAATATAATAGTCATTTACTAAAGTGGGAATTATCAGGATTCAAAGCGAATTTCAAATGTAAGGATAGAATAGCTAAACTGGAAATTTTATCCAACTACGCCATGCTTCCTAGTTTGGATTTTTGTGGCCTTTAATGTGAACATAGAATTCCTGTAAATGTTTCAGAGTATCTCACATAATCACCATGACTAAGCAGGGTACTGTAGGAAAACATTTTTTTATTATAAATGTAATTTGTTGCCATTAGTTTATTTTATTTTTTTGAAAGTGTTCACAAAAGGTTTGTGCAAACTTATAATGGCATAATAAATCATTGTAGTGTATTGTTTAAGAACATTAACATTAAATAAAGAAATTTTTTTTTTTTTTTTTTTTTTACATAAGTAAAATGGCTAACCTAATAAATGGTACTTTCCCCAAGTAATTTGCACTACATGTTTGTACCAATTTTGATTATTATTATTGTTTTTTTTAAAAATGATTTTCAATTTGCTCTGTTTTCCTGTCTATTACATAGATCATTACCCTATATGTTGTCTAATTGATTTACATCTGCTTTATCCTGTATTAATTAACAAACCATATCAGTTCTATTACTAGATTAAAGTAGATGTGGTTTTTATTTTAACAGTTGACACTGGGTGGTAGTGAAACCATTTGTATAATTAATAGCTGTACTTTTCCAAGGCGCAAACCACCTGTACTGTTAGCCCAGCTGCTGGTTACTGTTTTATACTGTATTTCTTTGAAAACCACAATGGTTTGTTTTCTTTCACAAAATATAAACCATCCCTTACATATAAACGAATTGCCAACGTGTCTGCTAATGGCAAATATCTAAATTCCTCATATTGTATATTTATTTTATCTGGGTATACAATGCAGCCTTCCATGAATTTTGAGTTTATGTTATGTTGTTTTAGTTTTTGCTATTTTGTTTGTGTGAGTGTTAAACAAACTATTTGGATTCTTTTTGTTTATTTGTTCTGTTGTTGTTTTTTCTCATTTAGTGAATGAAAAACAGCTTGCTGAGAAAATAGCAAATCTAATGAAGGAAAAGAGCGAGGCTTTAGAGAAAATATCGGAGTACGAGAAAAAGGTAATTACAATTGTCATATATTCTTTCAGTTTTATTAAAATCTTGTGGTTTTATTTTACATTTTTTATATTCGTATTTATTCAGGGTTTTGGTTTATGTTGTCATCATTTTTAAAAATTTTTCCCATAGGTTAAAGAAACCAAAGAGTCTGAAACATCTACACAGCAAAAGAGCACAGATCTGTTAAAAGAAGCTAGATCTCTTAAGGTAAGAAATGTTTTGTTTTAGTTTTTTTGGGGGGGAGGAGTTAATGAAAACTTAAATATGCTCTTGAAATAGATTTGAAGATAAACTTTTTTTTCATTTTAAGTTTTGCTAAAACCTTTTCCATGGGCCCATCGTGGAAGATGGGTTGGATGAATATTCACAGATCAGTTCTCTGATTACTTCCCTTTTTTTATTCTCCTTTTTTAAACGTGTGTGTGTGTGTGTGTGTATGTGTGTGTGTATATATATATATATATATATATATATATATATATATATACTGTAACCTCGTTTGAGCAGAGTCTTCTTCAACCTATCGTTCCAGTAAGGTTTCTTGTAATTGTCCTATTTATAGTTAAATCCCCCCTCTTATAATATTGTAAAGCGCTACGGAATCTGTTGGCGCTATATAAATAGCAATAATAATAATATATATTAATAAAAATTTATAATCATTCAGATTCTGTCGATTTAAGACCAGCTCTAGGTTAGCATTTGGGAAGCTGACCGGCCCACTTTATAATGGTTGCTTGAACACACAATCCGTATCTTGTTTTGATACATGCATCTAAAAGATTTTTGTTTAGTGAATTTTTATTTGGGTGCATCAGATAAACTATCCCAAGTGAATTACTGCTCACAATGCATCTGGCCAGCAAGTGACATATTAATTTTATATTCTTCAGTCATTTATTTTTTCTTTTACAGGCAACAGTTAAAGAGTTGAATGCTAACAACAAAACACTTGATTCTAAAATGAGGGATTTAATGTCTGAGCTAGATGGTCAAAAAGAAGAGAACAAGAAAAAACAGGAAATGGTAAGACATGAAGACCACGAACAAGATGATTTCTTGGATCTTTTCGTTTGTTTATTTTTTTAATCTTTTATATACGTAGTCTTTTTCAAGGGTGTCTGGCTGTGGCTGTCATGCTGTTTATTTTATTTATTTTTTTTAATGTGGGAATTTGTAGTGCTACAGCTGAAGGGCAAGGCTTGACACCCCTTTATATCCTTTTTTGTTTTTAACTTGTTAAAGCACATAGATTTTGACTAACACAATATACCGTGACTGAGAACCAAGAAGAGTCAAATCTGTTTAATACATTATGCAATGTAAGTGCAAGGCCTTTGTACAAACTTTTTTTTTTTTTTTTTGTTAGCTTTATGAAGGGCACAAAACTATAAAACGACTTGAAGAACAGTTTGAGCAACATGCAGCTGAACTTTCAGAGGTAAACCGTTACTATTTTTTGTAAGATTTAATTAGCAACATTTATCTTTCCTTCTGGATACAATATTCTTCATAGACCAGAGGAAGTGGGGTATTCGGAAGAGTAAACTTGCTTGTGCAGGGTCTTTGTCATTTAATTTTTCTGTTTGAATTTTCTTTGTATTCTTTTCTATGCACTGGTTACTCATTGTACAACTCTGTGAAACCTATTGCTATTTTTATAAACCATTGTGTATAAATATTAGATATGTATGCTCTTCACATTTTTCGCTGTCATGCCCCTGTTGTCATCCCTGATTCTGTGTTTTAAACTGTTTTTGTGTAGTTTAACAAAACAGGGAATCCCTCAGGGGCCCTTGCTTGGCATATTGCTGTTGTGCAAGTTACATTTTCACATTAGTAATATCAACTCCCATCCATATTTGGGCAGCATTCATTGGCTAAGCTCATCAGATGACACACAGTCCTTGTATGCCATCCAAAAGTGATATTATTTATGCAGAAGTGTTATCTCCACAAGAGCAATATTCCAAGCGAGGGCAGGGCCCATAGATGCCCTGAGCATCCTCAATTGATGTGAGGCTACTCAAAAACAAGTAGGGCACTGCACTAGGGATATGCTGGCACTGTAGCCACCACTACAGTGGGCTTTAGTGGTTATGGTACTTATGGTGCACATTTTATAGGACGAGTTTTAATTTTTATTTTTGTTTTGTTTTATATTTGCTTGACCATTATTAGTGTTGTTTTAAAGGGGCAATGTAAGCACTGTAACTGCACCATCTCATTGAAGTGGTTATGGTGTCCAGGTTTCACTGACACAGTCCTTCCATTCAATGTTAAACTGTTTTTAATGTTTTAATGAAAATCAGAGTCCCATGCAACCCATCCCCTCTGTGCTGCTTGGGCTTATGAGGAAGTGTTTGACAGAGGCAATGGTGATTAACTGAGATTGTCAGATGACTACTTGTATTCTGTCTCAGCCACTAGTGCTGGTATGAATTTGTATGGCTAGAAAGAAGTGTGTTATCTCTGCTGTAGCCATACCTCCAGTGGGGGCTGGGCAGTGGATGGCCAGGGATCCTCATTAAACTGATTTAAAAAACTGTTTTACACTGAATGGAAGGACAGTGCAGGGGACACCAAGCACTAAAACCAATTAAATGAGATGAAATGGTTATAGTGTCCCTATCAGTCCAGCCCTCTCTTCTCCCCTATCCACTATAAATGATTACATTACAAGCTTTGTTCGTGCATTTTTCGTTTGTTTTTCGTGGTGTACAATGTATAGAATCTTATATTTGTGTATGTGTTATAGTTCCAGATTGCCTTAAATGAGTCAAAAATGAGAGAACAGAAGGTCCGATCAGATCTGCGCGGTGTGCAGGAGGAGAATGCCAGACTGAAGGAAAGGAAGGAACAGGTATGTTCCTGATCTGCTTGTTCTGTGTAGCATGGGCTTTAAATCAAAACTGAAGCACAAAGTGACACAGAGGCAAAAAAAAAACCCAAAACAACAAAACCTAGTGTGTCTTTTAAGGAGTGTCTTTTTTGTCAATAGAAATAAAAAAGGATTTTGAGCCTCAACTAGCCTCTTTACGTGGCACGAGGTAGTCAAGTACCTTGCCAACACATTAGACAAATCATAGAAGTAGTCTACAGGTTGATCACACTGCACTAAAACTCCCACTTTACCCGATTGCAAATTGCTCCGTTATAAGGATAAGACCTGATTCACAAGTCGAACAGGCACAGTACAGATATTTGTCTGCTACACTAAACATCAGTGTCATTGTGTCCATCCATTAATATTCTTTTACTGTTCTGTGTGTTTCAGCTGTTAAAAGAAGCAGAGGGTTGGAGTGAGCGACAGCGGGAGCTGGATGAACAGATACATCTGCAGCAGAAATCTCACAAAGACATGGAGGAAGCTCTGGCTTACAAGGAAAATGAGATAGAGGTTTGTGTTTGTGTTTGTTTAATTTTAGTAAAAGTATGATTGCTTGCTATTGCTGTACTGCAACCTAAAGATTGGCAGTTGCCTACGAACATGTTGTCTACGATAGCAGTGTTCTGTTTAAAGGAACTGCTTCCCATTGAACAGATTGTAACTGACGTGGTCTATTAAATCATATCAGTCATCACTGCAGTGATAGTATGTTTAATAGGACCAGTTACCTGTGGCCAAATCCAGTTAATCAGCATTGTTTGCCAATGCCAGTTCAGAAAATCTCACTTGAATTATAGCCACTAATGGCTGTACTAAGTGTTCTCATATGCCTCTCATTAATACTTGTGGGAAAACATTTCATACACATTTTAAAAACTTCGCTTTCACACTCATTTTCTAATTGCAAGTGATAGTAAAGGGTGACAAGAGGAGAGAGAATCTGTCCCAAATAGATGGCAAAAAATAAAGAATTGTTAAAATCTTTAAGATACTTTTATTATGAAATTCAAAAACAACGAACAAACACATGCTACACTTTCCACACTAAAATAGTGTGGTAGTGTGTTCTAAATGAACTAGGTAGACAAGAGTGAGGATAATATACAATTGGATGGGGGAGTGAAGAACAAATAAACAGATACAGACTGGGTGGAGATAAAACTCCAGGGTATAAAGATACACCCCAGTAGAATAGCTGCGAGAGACTGTGTGCCTAGATAAAGGATACACAGTAGTTAATTCAGTACCATGTAATGAAATAATGTTAGAATGGTATGCCAGAAAATGTATCAGGGAGATTGATACTATTGAAATGTTTTACCGATGTACTATATTCCGAAGCTACAAGTAATCCGATATATCACAGGTGTTGAGCTGCGTTACTCAGTAAATTGCCATCTGAGATTCTGACAACACGACATAGATGCATTTGAATTGTATCAATCTCCCTGATACATTTCTGGCATACCATTCTAACATTATTTCATTACATAATTACATAATTGTATATTATCCTCACTCTTGTCTATCTAGTTCATTTAGAGCACACTACCACACTATTTTAGTGTGGAAAGTGTAGCATGTGTTTGTTGTTTTTGAGTTTCATAATAAAGTATCTTAGAGATTTTTATTTAACATTTTTTTCTTTTTTGCTATCTATTTGGGACAGATTCTCTCTCCTCTTGTCATTACTCACCCTAGGGTTACCCCCTTATCTGATCCCACCCCATTACATGTGTACCATTGTTGGGCCATCAGCTTTAAAATTTGATAGTAAAGGGTGGTTGTGGTTCTTAACTAAACAATCTATGCATCTGTTTTCATGGTAGAATCCTGGATGCTTATATGTAAGGTGGATGAGATGAGATGTTTGTGTTTGTATTTGTATTCCTTACACATCCCCTTCTTTTTCAAAATATGTGCTTGATGCAGGGGACAGCATGTCTGCCTCATTTGTTCCACTTAAAAACTCTGTGCCTATCGTTTGTTGTTTAAATTTCACAGCAAAATGAGTTCTTAGTAGGTTAGCAGATTATTTTGTTTTTGAAATAAATATATTCAGAATCAACTATCATAGCCATCTATAAACTGACTTACTGTGACCTTCCTCCATAGGTTTTGACAAATTGCATTATGCAGTTAAAACAGTTTGAAGAAGATTCCGCTGGTGATGAAGGAAACTGGCAGGAATCAGGAGATGGGGAACTGGCGAATGGAGAACTTCCAGGTACTCTAACCTTAAGGAGATGCCACTTTTTTTTCTTCAAGCAAAGTACATTTTTGCAGAGAATTTGTTGTCAGTGATGTGGAAGAAGAACAAAGCCAGTTCATCCTTCATATTGCTGTAACCAGCAGTACCCTGTTGTTAATGAGTGTGGGACTTGGCTTTCTCTGTATGTGGCATTGCCAAGTATATTTACATGTGGTACACGTGTGCTGATTATGTCACAACCAGTTCTATATGCTGGTACATACGAGAAACAGCATTGTCACATATAAAATATTAAATTAAAAATTCAAGTGATTAGGGGTATTTTGGCATTTACATGGTGCTGCATATAAAACAAATGCTTATTAATTTACTTCCAGACACACGCAAGGAGAAAATGAAGACACAGATCAAGCAAATGATGGATGTTTCAAGGGTATGTTTCATTCCAACTGTTCTGATATGTGTGTTTGGAGATTGAAATCAAGTCTCCTGTACAATACATCATAAGCAAAAAAAAATATCTATAAAACTATTTAGTAGTACTTAAATGCATACTTTTATGACCATGGGGTTTGTACATTTAATAATTTTAATTGTGGTAAATAATCATTGTGAATGCAGAATATGGTGCACATTGCAGATTTTGAGAGCTTGTTAATTCAGTATAATAAACAACAATGGCTAACCTTGGCATGGCAAGTATTTGTGTACTGCATGCCCTACGATCAGTGATGTATTTTTTGGTTTTGTGCGGCATGACTAAACCTGGGAACCCCCTAATCTAAATTTGCCCCACGCTACCCCTGATTAAGAACCCACCCCTTCATCTTTAGACTCAACCTTTTCCTACTCCTTTTTAAAGGGATACCATAGTGCAAGGAAAGCTTTCCTGGCACTATAGTGCCCCCCGCCCTCCTGTTCTCCCTCCCCCTCCTCCCCCTCACTCGGCACTGAAGGGGTTAAAACTACTTCAGTCATTTACCTGAATCCAGCGCCGATATCCCTCCGCGCTGGGTCTGGCTCCTCCTCTACGCTTACATTAGACTTCCCCATAGGAAAGCATTGTAACCGTTCTTTCCTGTGGTGATTTAGCAGATGCTGGTTGTCCTCATGCACAGCATGAGGACGTCCAGCATCAGTTAGGCAACTTTTGGTCGCCTAACCACCCAGAAGAAGTTAACCCCTCAAGGTAATTATTGCAGTTTCTTAGAAACTGCAATAATTAAACCTGCAGGGTTTAGGAGAGTGGGACACTGCACCCAGACCCCTTAAATGAGCTGAAATGGTCTGGGTGCCTATAGTTTCCTTTTAAGCACACACTCTGACAGGCACACACACAGACGTCACTGACAGACACAGACTCTCTGATCTGACACACTCATAAATTAACAGACATACGCAGACTGACACACTCATTGAAAGACACACACTGACCGTCACACACAGACTCAATGAAAAAGACTCTCTCTGATTTGACAATTACATTCACATGCACACTCAGACACACACACATACACTCAGTCACTCACACTCATACAGACACACACACTCATACAGTCACACTCACACTCAGACACATGCACACACATTCACAGACACACACATACATTCACAGACACACACATACACACACTAATTGTTAATATTATTATAATACTTAAAAAAATTTCACCCACCCTTCCTACCTGTTGTTGGGGGTCCAGTGGGGCTGCTGTGAGAGCTGTGCATGTGGCTGTGTTAAAATGAAAGGCGGCGAGGGAGCTGTGATCTCCCGCTTTGCTCCATCGCACGTAGCGGGCCATCTACTGATGCCAGGAGCTGGAATTGCTTCATATTCGGCCTCAGCAATAGGCGCACGAGGGAGCAGAGCAGGGAGATCTCAGCTCCCTTGCCACCTTTCATTCTAACACAGCCGCATGCCCCCCCATGACAGGGGGAAACACTGGGGGTGGTATTTTTTTGCTGCGCATTGGTTAGTGCTGCCCAAGGCAAATGCTTAGTTTGCCTTGGGCTAAATCCAGCAATGCCTATGATGCTTAGCCAGCCACCATTAAAAAGTATATTAATCGATTTTTGAGGCTGCTTAAGTTTCCAGAAAAATGTTAAGCCATTTTGTTTTTAAAAACTCATGTACTCTGGGTTTTAGGGAAAAAAGCCAATTTTTACTAACCTGGGTCTCTTTAATAACAGGTAAAAACCACTTTATCTATAATTGAAGAAGAAAAAGATCTTTACCAAAGAAAGCTGAGTGATGAAATTAGTGCACGACATGAATTGGAAGGTAAGTTTAACCACAACCGAGTTATTGTACCAGTCGCCCGCAGTGTGATTGATTCGCATCTAGCATGATCGAACTGGCCCTGGATGGGAAATTATAAGATTGATCATTTAACAGTACTGATAAAAGGACTATATTCCATAATTTGCTTCTGAGAATCTTCTACATTTTTTTTCTCTTTGATATTCCCACTAGTAAATATATAATCTTATTGCTAATTACAACCGAATCTCTGTATAGGATGTCCCTTCCCAGCACAGAAGGGTAGTATGATATCATTCAGATTGTTTTATGACAACCACATAGAGCTATTGGCCCCCAGGCTAAAAAGAAGAGAAAAAAGAAAAGGAAGATTAATCATAACTAGTGCCCTAGTTATCCCCCCGCCTCAGTATGACTGGCATGTATGGAGTGTGATTGAACTAGGTCAAGTGGGAACGCTATAAGATTCTACATGTCACAATACTTATGTAGGACTACACTTTTTATTTCCTTTTTATGGTCTGAACTTATACATTATTCTTGCATCTTAAAGGACCACTATAGTGCCAGGAAACCATACTCGTTTTCCTGGCACTATAGTGCCCTGAGGGTGCCCCCACCCTCAGGGACCCCCTCCCGCCCGGCTCTGAAAAGGGGAAAGGGTTAAAAACTTACCTTTTTCCAGCGCTGGGCGGAGAGCTCTCCTCCTTCTCTCCTCCTCCTCTCCGTTCCTCCTCCTGGGCTGAATGCGCACGCGCGGCAAGAGCTGCGCGCGCATTCAGCCCGTCGCATAGGAAAGCATTTACAATGCTTTCCTATGGACGCTTGCGTGCTCTCACTGTGAAAATCACAGTGAGAAGCACGCAAGCGCCTCTAGTGGCTGTCAGTGAGACAGCCACTAGAGGATTAGGGGAAGGCTTAACCCATTCATAAACATAGCAGTTTCTCTGAAACTGCTATGTTTATAAAAAAATGGGTTAACCCTAGAAGGACCTGGCACCCAGACCACTTCATTAAGCTGAAGTGGTCTGGGTGCCTAGAGTGGTCCTTTAACTTAAATGCAATCCCCATCGTTGACCCAGTATATTTAGGGTACAACATCTGCTTGTTTAATGGATTTTCGTATAAAGAAAGTTTTATATGTAATTGAGTTATTGTAAAAACTGCATCATTTAAATGTCTTGTTGCTTTTGCAATTTGGTGTGGCATTTGCTTATATTTTACAAATCAAAAAACACCAAGACTGAGGTTTAATGATTTCATGTAACGATCCAGTTTAAACACAAAATGTAATCTCGATTTTATTATTTATTTTGTTGAAAGGGGATTAGAGATCCCTAAAAATTACATACAACTTACAAAAAAAGTATTTTTTTTTTCTATTGATTTCGTAACCAATTGCATAAATATTTGCTGTTTAGATATCAATGATCACTTGGTATCCCTTGTCTTGACATTCTTATGAAAGGGTTTAAGTTATTTGCAAAGTTCATACCATAGTTATGACGCTGTAAATGCTATGCAGTGGAAGTTGTTTTAAATATGGCTTTTTTATATGTGAAACTGATATCTGAACAGCAACATCTTCGATGAACAAGGTGTATAATTGGCGCTCCACTGTTGTATGTATATTTCATTTGTGGTTTGATGCATGTTTTTGGTAAGGTGTGAAGCTGCCTAATTTAAAGCTATCACATATTAGCGTGCACTCTCTATATATTCTCCAGAACAAATTAAACAACTTCAACACGACGGCAGCGCTTTGCACTCAGAAAAGACACATCTGGACAACGAATGCAAAACTCTGAGACAGAAAGTAGAGATTCTCACTGAACTTTATCAACAGAAGGAAATGGCACTACAGAAGTAAGAAGTATTTCTAGCTCTATTATCTACACGTTTTGCGCAATAAAAGTTCAACTCCATTACTTTTGATATCCGTGTAAATTCTGCACACCATAAGCCATTAGACATTGCTAGCTGGGAGCAAGGTCTGCTTTGTCCCTTTATACTTCGAAGTAGATTTTTCCCTTGTGTGCTCGGCTATTCACAGCTTTCTCACTACAGGCATTAAATTACATTGTTCACTGGACAAAGTGTGGAATAGTGCTCTTCTCACTAAGGGATTAACATTTAGGAATTGTTTACTAAAAACCATTACCATTTGTTTGTAATGTACTTCATGAATCTCAAAAGCAGACATTGTCTGTGTCTGAGTCTGCCTGTTTTGTCCCACTTACCTACATTTTGTAACCTTCCTTAATGTAATAATGTAAACATTTACAGTAAAGATTTGCCGTTTGCATTGTGCATGCCTTTAGCACTAAGAAGGAGAATACACTCCGTTATTATTTTCCGATCCTCTTATGTCAACTTATATTTCTGTGATTCCAGAAAACTTACTCAGGAGGAATATGACCGTCAAGAAAAGGAGCAAAAGCTGTCTGTGGCCGATGAGAAGGCCATCCTCGCCAGCGAAGAAGTGAAAATATACAAGTATGTCTGTTTTTTTGGGTTTTTTTTATGCTTTCTGGCTTTTAAAGCATATTCTGAATTGGGGTTTTAATATTTCTTGCAAAGGAAGCTCTTCAGACATAGTTCCTTGGATGTGCAAGGTTGTTTTTGTTAGTTTATCATGATCTTCCTAAAGATGAAGGAATAGTTAAGAGTTGGTAAAAATTATGTTTTGGGTTCAGAAAATATATTGATTTGCATTGGAATACAATGGAATGTTTTTGCTGACTACTTCAGATTTAGAACTTTGCCTTTGATATGTGCTCTATACAGAACCCTACCTTTACGCAACACCTATAGCTACACTAAAAACCAGACTGTTAGAACACTATAGGGTCAGTAACACAAACATGTATTCCTGACCCTATAGTGTTAAAATCCCCTCTTGCCTCCCTAAATATAGTAAAATCTTATTTGTAATCAAGTCTGTAGCTGCTGGATCTGTCCCTGTCTGCCTCTGACCTGCCTGCTGTCTGCTGACTTTATCAGAAGTGGTGGTCTGAGCCAATCACAATGCTTCCACATAGGATTGGCCGAGACTGTCAAGGAGGCAGATCAGGGGCAGAGCCAGCACAAGTCAAACACAGCCCTGGCCATTCAGCATTTCCTCATAGAGACCAATTGTATCAATGCATCTCTATGATGAAAGTTTTTAGTGTCTGCATGCAGAGGGTAGAGACACTGAATGGCTGTGCTGCTTACTGAGCAGCACTGCCCCAGGATCCCCTCTAGCAGCCATGTGAGGAGTGGCCAGTCGAATTATCACTAGGCTGTAATGTAAACACTGCATTTTCTCTGAAAAGACAGTGTTTACAGCAAAAAATGCCTGAAGGGAATGATTCTACTCACCAGAACAAATACAATAAGCTGTAGTTGGTATAGTGACTATAGTGTCCCTTTAACTAAATGTTAGTAGTGAGGGACTTTGTATTTCAGTTCTTCAATTAAATACAGTCTGGCTATGGAAGCTATATGTAATTCATTTTTTTTATTTTATTACGTGTTGGAATTAAAGACAGCGAATTCAGGAAATGGAAGAAGAATTACAGAAAACCGAAAGGTCATTTAAGAACCAGGTAAAGTGGGGTGTATTAGAGTTGACTAATTGCTTGTGCAGGATACACTCCGCCAGGCTGCAGTATTGCACTATGCTCAGGTAACACACGCCTTCTAGTTGCAGTTCATACTTTGTTCATGTAGCGCACACCTTCTAGTTGCAATTCATACTTTGTTCAGGTAACACATGCCTTCTAGTTGCGGTTCATACTTTGTTCAGGAAACACATACCTTCTAGTTGCAGTTCATATTTTGTTCAGTTAATGCACGCCTTCTAGTTGCAGTTCATATTTTGTTCCGGTAACGCACGCCTTCTAGTTGCAGTTCATACTTTGTTCAGGTAACGCATGCCTTCTAGTTGCGGTTCATACTTTGTTCAGGTAACGCACGCCTTCTAGTTGCAGTTCATACTTTGTTCCGGTAACGCACGCCTTCTAGTTGCAGTTCATACTTTGTTCAGGTAACGCACGCCTTCTAGTTGCAGTTCATACTTTGTTCAGGTAACGCACGCCTTCTAGTTGCAGTTCATACTTTGTTCAGGTAACGCACGCCTTCTAGTTGCAGTTCATATTTTGTTCGGTAACGCACGCCTTCTAGTTGCAGTTCATACTTTGTTCAGGTAACGCACGCCTTCTAGTTGCAGTTCATACTTTGTTCAGGTAACGCATGCCTTCTAGTTGCAATTCATACTTTGTTCAGGTAACACATACCTTCTAGTTGCAGTTGATATTTTGGTCAGGTAACACATACCTTCTAGTTGCGGTTCATACTTTGTTCAGGAAACACATACCTTCTAGTTGTAGTTCATATTTTGTTCAGGTAACGCATGCCTTCTAGTTGCAATTCATACTTTGTTCAGGTAACGCACGCCTTCTAGTTGCGGTTCATACTTTGTTCAGGTAACGCATGCCTTCTAGTTGCAATTCATACTTTGTTCAGGTAACACATACCTTCTAGTTGCAGTTGATATTTTGGTCAGGTAACACATACCTTCTAGTTGCGGTTCATACTTTGTTCAGGAAACACATACCTTCTAGTTGTAGTTCATATTTTGTTCAGGTAACGCATGCCTTCTAGTTGCAATTCATACTTTGTTCAGGTAACGCACGTTCTAGTTGCAGTTCATACTTTGTTCAGGTAACGCATGCCTTCTAGTTGCAATTCATACTTTGTTCAGGTAACACATACCTTCTAGTTGCAGTTGATATTTTGGTCAGGTAACACATACCTTCTAGTTGCGGTTCATACTTTGTTCAGGAAACACATACCTTCTAGTTGTAGTTCATATTTTGTTCAGGTAACGCATGCCTTCTAGTTGCAATTCATACTTTGTTCAGGTAACGCACGCCTTCTAGTTGCGGTTCATACTTTGTTCAGGTAACGCATGCCTTCTAGTTGCAGTTCATACTTTGTTCAGGTAACGCACGCCTTCTAGTTGCAATTCATACTTTGTTCAGGTAACACATACCTTCTAGTTGCAGTTGATATTTTGGTCAGGTAACACATACCTTCTAGTTGCGGTTCATACTTTGATCAGGAAACACATACCTTCTAGTTGTAGTTCATATTTTGTTCAGGTAACGCATGCCTTCTAGTTGCAATTCATACTTTGTTCAGGTAACGCATGCCTTCTAGTTGCAGTTCATACTTTGTTCAGGTAACGCATGCCTTCTAGTTGCAGTTCATACTTTGTTCAGGTAACGCACGCCTTCTAGTTGCAATTCATACTTTGTTCAGGTAACACATACCTTCTAGTTGCAGTTGATATTTTGGTCAGGTAACACATACCTTCTAGTTGCGGTTCATACTTTGTTCAGGAAACACATACCTTCTAGTTGTAGTTCATATTTTGTTCAGGTAACGCATGCCTTCTAGTTGCAATTCATACTTTGTTCAGGTAACGCACGCCTTCTAGTTGCGGTTCATACTTTTGGGCAGATAATGCACACCTTCTAGTTGTGGTTCATACTTTGTTCATGTAGCGCACACCATCTAGTTGCAGTTGATATTTTGGTCAGGAAACGCATACATTCTAGTTGCAGTTCATACTTTGTTCAGGTAATGCACACCTTTTAGTTACAGTACAGCACACTGCACAGTTAACACACCCTCCAGGTGCAGTGCAGCACTCTTAAACAGGTGGAGGGTCCATAACACTCCATGTACAGTAAGGTAGTCTGAAATAGGGATGCACACCATTCAAGTGAATGGTATGTTAAGAAGGTAACACACATTCTCCAGAATGACACTCTGAGAAGGTTTGTAACACCTTAATGTACCGTATTTTTCGCTCCATAAGACGCACCTCATCATAAGAAGCACCTAGTTTTTAGAGGAGGAAACCCAGAAAAAAAAATATTCTGAACTGTTCCATAGTGTTTCTTACTATGGGACAGTGTGTTCAGAATATTTTTTAAAGGAATTTTTTGTTCCTTACCACCCACTCCCCTCCCCTGTCCCATAATGATCTTTAAACCCCCCTCCCCTGTCCCATAGTTATCTTTAAACCCCCCTCCCCTGTCCCATAGTTATCTTTAAAAACCCCTCCCCTGTCCCATAGTTATTTTAACCCCCCTTTCCTCTGTCCCATAGTGATTGTTAACCCCTCCTCCCCTTGTCCAATAGTGTTCTCAATCCATAGTGTTCCCCCCCCTTGTCCCATAGTGCACTTTCCCTCCCATAGTGTCCACCTTGTCCCATAGTGTCCCCCTCCCCTTGTCCCATAGTGTCCCCCTCCCCTTGTCCCATAGTGTCTCCTCCCCTCCCCTTGTCCCATAGTCCCATAGTGTCCCCCCCCCCCTTGTCCCATAGTGTCCCCCCCTGTCCCATAGTGTCCCTTGAATTAGTTGCCTGTCTTGTGCGGCTTCACAGCGCGCTCCGCGGTACAGGAACTTACATTTCAGTTTCCGGCGGGACTGAAAAGAAGTGTGCACACTGAGTGTGCATTTCCTTTCAGTCCCGCCGGAAACCGGAACCTGAAATTGAAGTTCCTGTACCGCGGAGCGCGCTGTGCTGCCGGCCCACGCTACAAGACAGGTAAGTAAAGCTTCACATTCGCTCCATAAGACGCACAGACATTTCCCCTCACTTTTGAGGGGAAAAAAGTGTGTCTTATGGAGCGAAAAATACGGTAGTTACATTTACTGTTAAACATGCTTACTTTATTATACAGCACATACTAATAACCTTTTCCTGTTTTTAAGATTGCTAGTCATGAGAAAAAAGCACACGAAAATTGGGTGAGTATGTTTACATATCTCGATCTATACTTATTTTGCGGTTTTTAAAAATGACCTGCACTTTTTTAGTTTAGGTTCACCTTAAAGTAAACAATAGTTGTAGATTATCTTAATCCAGACAAAAAAACATATTTGTTCCTTTTGACATTAGTGTGCTAAAGCCGGTGAGTCAGTTTACTGTAAGATAATTGGTAGGTACTGCACATCTTCCAACACTTAATACTCCCTCAAGGCTGTAGGGTGTGTAGCTAACAAGTGCCAGTATTAAAGACATTCATCTATTTATTGTAAATACAGGAAGTAAATGTGTTCCAAAATGTATTGGTCCCTTTGGATGCCAAGTGTAATGTCAATAAATTCCCTGGGAATCTCGCATCAGGCCCGAGTTGCTCAATGAATGTGGGTGTTGCCATGGTAACACGGCAAGTAGTTTTGCATAAAGACAAATGGTGTATCTATCTCATTGAGGTGCTCATAACCATGGCAACATGCAGTTTGATGTAGTAAAAAGGTATTTCTGTCATGGTTTGATCGTCACTGCATTAATTACAGCCGGCTGGAAATGGCATTAAGCACCAGCCGGTATCACAGGTTTGCACAACTTTGCCTATTGTGGTTATAAGTAAATAATCGCAAGTGAATCCTTTTCACGGATACATCATATTCAGTAATGCATAATGGGCTACCCATAATGCATTACTGAATATGATGTATCCGTTAAAAGGATTCGCTTGCACCCTTTTATTAGACAAACATCTTGCATGTTGATTAGATTATAGAAAAAGATGCATTCATTACTTCCCCCAAACACTATCTATTTTGTCTTCATTTCCAGCTCGTTGCACGGACGGCAGAAAGAACTTTGGCTGAAGAGAAAAGGGAGTGTGCAAATCTAAGGCAAAAGTAAGATTTTATTATGTTAAAGGAACACTTCTATTTACAGTTGTTACTTCATTTAGGCATTTACCTATGACACGGACCCCTCTGTGTTTCTTCTTCACTAATCACTAATAAACTGTATTAATGCACCAGTGCTCTTGCTTCTGTTTTCTGTATAATAATAAAAAAAATAAAAAAAGAACAATCAAACATTAGTATTACAAACCTGTATTCTTAACGCTTCAATGACCCTGTCCCTAGTTATACACTTTACTGCCCATGTCCCACCACACACACACTGGAATTTTACTCTGTCTTTGCAGAGGAAGTCCCTCCAGTGGCTGTCCATGTAAAATTAACTGAAGGTGTGTTTATATGTTTACGGTCAAATGGGTTGTTTCTGCAAAACTGTACTGCACTTAAGCCACTTCACTGAGATGAAATGGCTTGGATGATGGCAAGGAACTGGAAATTACCCTAATGTTCCGTGTTGGGATCTAGTTAAAGAACAACTAGTATATTAGTTAAAGATGGAAATAGGAATTATACCAGCAGATAGGAAACGGTTAAAAGAATGGTTGTGTAAAATAGAACAGACTTAAAGGACCACTATAGTGCCAGGAAAACAAACTTGTTTTCCAGGCACTATATTGTCTTTGGGTCCCCCCCACCCTATGGGTCCTCCTCCCGCCAGGCTGACAGGGGATGAAGGGGTTAAATTCTTACCTTTCTCCCTCTGCACTGGGGATTCTCCTCCCTCTTCCGACATCATCCGTTGAATGCGTAAGTGCGGCAAGAGCCGCACACGCCTTCAGTCAGTCCATAAGAATGCTTTCCTATGGACGCTGGCATCTTCTCACTGTGAAAATCACAGTGAGAATCGCGGAAGCACCTCTAGCAGCTGTCAATGAGACAGCCACTTGAGGCTGGATTAACCCTAGTGTAAACATAGCAGTTTCTCTAAAACTGCTATGTTTATAGCAGGCAGGGTTAACTCTAGATGGACCTGGCACCCAGATCACTTCATTAAGCTGAAGTGGTCTGGGTGCCTATAGTGGTTCTTTAAGTGTTTAAATCTAACCCCCTGAATACAATATGATCTGTCGAAATCCTAGATATTCTAGTTTCACCTGCAGGGATAATCCAGAATAGTTTTATAATATTAAATGTTGTTTAGTGATGTATTGTCCGTTATGTGATGTAATATTCAAGTTTTGAATATGAGCAATGTGTTAAAGTAACGGATATAGAAGAAGTTATTACACTACTTTATATATACAAACACATAACTTTGTCTATGTTGTATGGTATTGTCTTGTGATTGTATACTTGTAAAACATTTTTTAAAAATAAAGATTAAATATGAAAAAAAAAAAAGAAATGGCCTGGATGATTTTAGTGGTCGATTAAGGACTGCTGACACTTCAATGTTCCATTGTGCTTTGGTCCCTACAGACTCTGCACCAGTATGGAATGTCCTGCTTATTTAGAATTTGCAGATCTATGTGTGTTTTGTTCCCTACAGACTCTACACCATTATGGAATGTTCTGCTTATTTAGCATTTGCAGATCTATGCAATACTGTTTTATTTAAATGAGTGGGGCATTCCATTTGATATGACATTTGTCAATGTTTCTTAAGGGTAGACATGCATACTAAAATTGTTAAATGAACCTCCTGTTTTCCACTCCTCATCTCCATCTAGATTGTATGTTCCCACAGAAGTAGGGCCTTCAGCTCCTCCTGGATTTGTTTACCAAGTGTTAGATTGTCTCTTATATGTATTGTACATTTTGTCTTTTTCTTACGTGTACCAATTTGTATTTATGGACAGCACTGCGGAGTATGTTAGCGATTTCTAAATAAAGTATAATGATAAATGAAGTATATTACAAACTCCTATTACTTTTATTGATCATGTTGAAATAAATAAATACACTTACAGAGTTATTCACTGAAGTGAGAATTGTCTGCAATTGAAAGAGCGTTTCAAATTGATGCTAAAGTAACTGAATTAAAAGCATTGCGGACTTGGAGATTTTTTCCAGCTCAGCTACTCTGGCCTTAAATTTTGTTTGTAATATTATTGTGCATATATTTTTCTTGCTTACAACACTCCCTCTACATGGAGCTTCATTCAGGCAGTATGTGTGTAGTTAAAATGTGTACTGGCTGTCCTGTATTCTAGCAGTAGCTGATACATGCTAGTTAAATAGGTTAAACAAGATTCTTAGAATTCTACCTGCATGCTTCTTCTTGGCTATTTAGTTGTGAAAGTTTAACCCGTGCTGCTATCTATGCATTACAGAGCCAATCTGAATTTCATTCAATAACCTAAAATAGCCTACCATGATTAGAAAGTACAATGGACATTTTAATGTTAACCCTATTGCTATGCCCTTGCATGACAAATCGGTGGGTGTTACTACAATGAAAGAGAACTAATCTAACTATAATAAGTGCCACTCATTATTCTCAGTGTTTCAGAACTGCCTTTTTATTTATGCAGTGGATTTCTTTTTTTCCAGATTGATTGAAGTAAACCAAAGAATTGCAGCTCTGCAGAGACCTTCCATAGTAAAACCCAAACCGGGCAGACCTGATCATCAGCCACCTGTGAGGAGAGGTATAGAGCTTCTCATTGCAATTTGTACACAGAGTGACTACTTACACGCCACATAAGAGAAAAAAATGTATAGTTTTTTGTTTTAGGTACATTTGTGCACATTTAAAAAATACTTATCATTTAAACCGCAGTGAGAACATTTTTTTTATGCAGATTTTCCCATATTTTATTGGTAATCAAGGGGTTAAATTAATAGTAAAATTATCCAGTTTGGGGTGCTCTACTAAACCATAGATTGCAGAGAATTGAAAATAGAATTGCAAAGTTTTATTTGCAATTGCATTGCTTCTTGAATAATCATCTCTAGTACCATTAACTGTTTCTGATTCTAACAGTACATGATGAATTCACATGCTCTATGCACATTAGGATCTGTTTTATGAAAATGCAATTTTAAATTTCCAAATTGATTACTTCCTAATTTGTTAGAGATTATAAAGATACCCAGGTCTTTAAAAGATTTTTGTAGCTTGACAGTTAGCCTATGATGCATTTGGTAAGTTTGGACTCCAGAGCCAATCTTTGCACAAGTAGTCTAACGCCCGCTTCAGAAGACAAATTCCTGAAAAGGCTTTAGCTGGAGTGAAACAATAAAATAGTGATTCTGTCTTATTTGCTGCAAATGACTGTGGTAGTGCAAACATTATATGTCAAACCCCATTGCATTGTGAAAGATTTCTGAGCTCTGATGAGGTCTTGTTCTTCATTCAATACAGGTGCTTTAAGCAGAGATGGTTCCTTTGGTCCTTCGCCTGTGAGTGGTGGTGCACCTTCCCCTCCCATGATGATTGAGGGACCAGGCCGATCGGCATCTGCCAACCTCAGCAGAACAGAATCTCTCAAAGGCGACACTAGTTAGTAAAAATTCAGTTATGCATAGACTGTAAATATTTATCTGCTTCCAAAAAGTGCAGATGATGGTGAACCTGTAAACTACACCAAATTTTAGAGTTAAAAAAAATGAAAATGTGCTTTGCTACGTCTGTGATTAGCGTGTGTATCTTTACATTATTTTTAAAAAAATATTGGCTTGTCAGAATAGAGCACTTGTCAAAGAAAGTGATTTAGTCCTCCTTCACCTAGTACATGCTAAACCGCACTCCGTTTTGGTAGACACGTTGTGTGTTTTTTTTTCTGACAGTCTGTCAGGAGTTGGTGGACTTAACTGCATGTGACACAGCACATTAAAACTCAGTGTAAATATGGCATTGCAGGTTTTATTCCCTTATTAGGATTTTATTAAACCATGAATAGATTTTAGTAATTGCTTTACAGCTCCTGCTTTGGTCAGATTTGTATTGAGCTTCAATCAGCAGCTCCCTCATTGCCAAAAATGCCATGACGTCATTTTAAAAGCAGTACATTGTGCTAGCCAAATTGCAAGCATACAAATAGACGAAAAGCTGTATTCTGTGTAATTGTTCACCTCTTTTGATGTTTAGAATTATGAGTCCAGCATAGCAGTAAAGTCTGCTATGGTGTCCAATGGTGCAAACCTGTGAACATCTGCATCACTGCCATGTGATCCAGAAGCGATTCTTAGTTCACCTGTAGTAATTTTGAAAGGTCCCTTGCATGTGGTTTAGTCTTGAAGGGATTACCACTGCCATATTTGTGTCGGTTGTGTTTTTATATGTTTGGTTTTTCTCTCCCTCCGTTCTCCCTTACCTCCCAATGTACAATGCGTTAGTGGTTGAGTGAAGCATTACACATTTCTATTTTAAAATTTTTTGTTTTTCGAAGGTGAAGTGGATGCTCCTCCAACGTCCAGGCGCCCACCGCATGATATGTCTGGCAGAACATCTGCCCCAGGTAGTTTTCTTCATATGTACTGTATGTCCATTCAGCCTTGTAATCTCTATGTGGGTCAGTGCATTTTATCAATGAAGATCACCACAGCTATTAAAGTAACATTTCCTTTACTTACAAAAAAAAAAAGCCAAAAGTGATATCAGTCAGGGAGCTTGCTTATCTCTGCGGCGAGAAGTATTAACATTCAGTTAAAAACTGCTAGAGGAAATCTAGACCTAATTCTGTCTATGGTTTAAGTTGATCGCTATGAAAAGGATCAAGCAAACTATAGCCTCAATTTACATTTTTGAATAAACTTTTCAAATGATCTTTTTGATAAATATAATTTAAAAAAATATATTTTTATATATGATATATATTTTTATATTGATATTTAGAAAATGTTTATTTTAATGGTTCATTCAAATATATTATATCCTTTAAAAAGCTTATCCAACAATATTAAATTGAGGCCTATATGTTTGATGAAGCCAAGTAGGAATAATGTGCAGCTTTATAGCATGTAACAGAGTACAGGACAGAAAATCACCGTTGACCATTTGCAAGTGAATGTGCCATGGTCCCTCCAGGCTTGCAGTGGCAAGTTACTTTTAAAGCCAGGCAAGTAGCCTAAGACTTAAAATAAGAAGCCCTAGTGTGCATTATTGTGGGATATGCCATCATTAAAACTAACATGTTTTTAAATGAAGAGCCGTGTGTTGCGGTATAATGTTCAATTGCTGGATTTGTTCTTTTCTTTCGTGATTAGGAACCCTAAGTGTATTTGATGACTTTTGCTTCAGTCATTTTCATCTCTCATGGACTGTAGTAATTATGCTAACCCAATGTGGAGTTTATATTTTAAATTAACTTCATAATAAACTGAACTTGACTTGTGTATATGTTCTTTTTCTGTACAGTGGAGCTTGGTCACTCTGCTAATGTTCTAAATAGTGGCCCCAGGACATCATCACCCTCGATGACTGTGGATGGCATGGTAGGTTGTAATAAAGACAACTCTCAAATGTCATGTAAAGACAAATTGCATCTATTTATTTTTTTTGTACATAAACATGTTACAATTATTCTATATCCATTCTTAATCTCTTCATGTAAAACAAAAAGCCAAATGCACCTAAGGAGCCTGAGGCCTTCAGTACCTCTGCTAGTTCTCCACCTGAGGAATCCAGAGAAGTGAGTATTTAGTAACCGTAAATGGATCTGGGATTTCACCTTTCGCTTCTGGTGGAGAAGACGTTATACTAACCTTTCATGCATGCACTACTCAAAAACACTCTGCATCCTTACCACAGAACAACACTAGATCATATTACTCGCTTCATGACACCACTGCAAACAACTGATTCACATCGAAGTCATAAAGCAGAGATTTCCTGACGTAGGAGGGGAAGTAGTTAGACATTGGAGTATCTTTGGTTATGGAGGTAGCAGTTTCTTATTGAAAGGCTTCAAGTGCTTATCACGTACCAGTGATGGCAGAAGAGTGAAAAAAAAATAAAGTTTGTGTGTTTGTGTTTTTGTTTTCTCGTTCTGCTCTAAGCATAGCCTAGTCTATTTATGGAATAGTGATACTTTCTCTTAAGACTGGACACCATAGCTGCCGAAAATGAAACAACAATTTTGAGAAGCACATTAAAAAATAATCCTGTTCTGGATACAATGAGAGAATGTATGAGTGGTGTAACGTATTGGGCAGGGGACAATCACCATGGAAACCATTGGAACCAGCAGCCATATTCCATCCCTTTTAAATTTTTGCACCACTTTGTAGAAACAAAACAAAACACTTGGATACATTTCCTCGTTGTTTTCTGCTTCAAAGGGTCAACACCCTTGTCTACCATTTCAGAGAGGAATTGAATAGACCATCTACAATATGTGTTTCCCAGAATGATACATACATATACAAGAGAACTACACACTGCTTTTTATTCACATGAAAACTATAAAGTAGAACCACAAACACACGTTAAAGGACCACTATAGTGCCAGGAAAACATACTCGTTTTCCTGGCACTATAGTGCCCTGAGGGGGCCCCCACCCTCAGGGTCCCCTTCCCGCCTTGCTCTTGGGAGAGGAAGGGGTTAAACACTTACCTTTCTCCAGCGCCGGGCGGGGAGCTTTCCTCCTCCTCTCCTTCTTCCTAGCGACGTCATCGGCTGAATGCGCATGCGCGGCAGGAGCCGCATGCGCATTCAGCCAGTCTCATAGGAAAACATTCATAATGCATTCTTATGGACGCTGGCGTCAGTGAGAAGCACGCAAGTGCCTCTAGCGGCTGTCAATGAGACAGCCACTAGAGGCTTTAGAGGCTGGATTAACCCTCAGTGTAAACATAGCAGTTTCTCTGAAACTGCTATGTTTATTAAAAAAAAAAAAAAGGGGTTAACTCTAGCTAGACCAGGCACCCAGACCACTTCATTAAGCTGAAGTGGTCTGGGTGCCTATAATGGACCTTTAAAGTAAATCATCTGCACAAGTGATTTGTTTCATTTTAAGTGAATCAACAGCTCAACAATTGTTGTAATGCTTTTAAAAAAGGATGGCAAGTCACGTGTGTCCATTTACTTATCTCCAATGCAGGAATAGAATTTGAAACAATGGAAATATGTAATCCATTTTGGTGAGGGTGGGGACTACTTCCTCACAAGTATTACATTGCTCATTATAGCTCTTTACCAGCCGTGCAACAGTTTGACATTACGCAGGTGATTTTGTTGTAGTCATGCATGATCTCATGGTGTGCAAGGATGACTTGAATAATAGCATTTCAATAAGATTAAGAAGATGCATGTCAGTCCTATTTACTAACCACTTACAAGCTACATGGTTATGGATTTTTCTAAACTTGCTCCACTGATCGGTTTAACAGATTTTTTACAAAGACAGAGTTTCTACATACATTGAATTAACCACAAATGTGAGTTATTTGACCACACTGTGCACTGACACACAGGATTTAAAACATCTATCCTACAATCGGAAAAAGGTCTTGATACTTTTTTAGAAAAATACAGGGGGAAAAAATGTCCATTTTCTTCTCCTCCTTAGATGTAATACTTAACTAAGACCACACTACAGTTCTGTGATACTGATAAAGAGGGTTGTATCTCACCTAAAAAGGAGTACTATACATTTTATTTTGTCCGTTTTATAAGTGTTCGCTTAGCAAGACAAATTTCTATGAACATTCCAGAAAAAAAAAAAAATGGTGAGTTCATTCTAAACAACTGCAACACTATTGCTTTGTGGAGAAAGACGGAATATTCTGTGATAAAATAGTTAAAGGGATCCTATAGTGCATGAATTACAAAGCCGTTTTCCTGGCACTATAGGGTTAATACGCCCCCTCTCATGTGGAGCTGAAGGGGTTAAAACCCCCTTCAGGCCCTTACCTGAATACAGCGCTGATATCCCTCGGCGCTGGGTCAGGCACCGCCCACACTCCAACGGCAGCTGGCAGGGGAGACTTAATGCGCATGAGTGGCAATGGCTGTGCGCGCACGCATTAGACCTCCCCATTGGAAAGCATTATTCAATGCTTTCCTATGGGAACATTCTGACGCTGAAGGTCCGTGAGGACGTCCAGCGTCAAATAATGGATCCCCACTGGGGGTAGACTTAGAGCTGCAATGTACACATTGCAATTCTCTGGAACTGGAATGTTTAACATTACAGCACTAAGTGGAAAAGGGTCACAGCACCCAGACTACTTCAATTGGCTGAAGTGGTCTGGGTGCCTACAGTGTCCCTTTAACATGGGGTGTAACATACTGTTTATCCAAGGTGCAGTCAGGTTGTTTGAATGCCATTTAGGGGTCAACAAATATTTTTTTTTCCCATTTGACAGTTATTCACTAAACTAAGGATTCAAAGTAAAGGCCAAAGTAGGCAAACTGAAAGCAATGCCTACGTAGAGAATTTTTCCAGTTTACCTGTTTTGACCATAAAGTTAAAATTTTCCCTATTGTTTGGATCAGCAGTAGAAAGAGAGATTTGGAAAAAATAGACTTGAGTGTTGTGGGGTTTTTTTTTTTTTGGCGTGTAATGCTATACAAACAGCTGAATAAGACAAAATAATGGAGTATCGTTATAAACCTCAGACACACCTGTGACATTCCCTTATGTATCACTTTATGGCTGTAAAGTGGTTTTGGTGCATTGACCCTGTCCCTTTTCAGAGCAATGGCAGTGTTTACATTTCTGTCTAAATCATGCTTCTAGGGATTGTAACAACTAGAGGCACGTCCTAATTGAAGATGTTTGATTTATTCTATTTTTTTTTATTAAAGGGGAGTGTCTGAATCTAAAATCATAAAAGGAGCCCATCTAACTTTTATATATTTATTTTTAAAGTTGGCGTGTTCCTTTTAACTATACCTTTCTTTGAGTTTGTGAAAGAAAGGATCCTCTAATATTCTTTACCATTCATGTGTTATGTCATGCTTAAGTTGTAAATTTAAAGCACAGTTTACGTTGAGGCTGCGTGGGATGCGTGCCCTATTTGTAAATACAGATACATCAGAAACAGATGTATAGCTGTGAATTGTGCATGTGAGCCTTTCAATACATGCTTTTGCTCTGTTTATGGCTTGCCATAGCTGCTGGGGTGACTCTTTTTTATCAGTAAGCGTGCTTTGCAATCCTTTAGTCATGTTTTATCTACAGATTATTCCTAAGCATAAATATGTCATCTCTATAAAACTTGTCACATCCAATCACCAGCAGGCCCTCCCAATGTCACGCTCTCCTAAATTGAGCAGTTAGAAGTCTCTTTCAGGAGAAGATGCAATTGTCCAAATGTGGGTGTTTTTTGTTTTTTGGTTTTTTTTTTAGCATGTTTTCAGATCATATTTTGTGGATGTCCGTAAGGTGGGAAATTCGTGTTCACTTTTAGAAAAGGTGACATTCCAGTCTCAGCACAACAGTCAATGTTGGACTTAAGCTCCCAGTTATCTGCAAACCTCATGGAGCAATAGCTGGAATTCCAACTTGGCCTTTAGTTATTGATCCCTTTAGATCAGGGTTTATAGCCCAGGGGTGGATAGGTGTGTAGACCTGAAAGATTCCACTAGCTGTTGAGGTGTGAAAGTTTAGCCTTGGATATGTTATTGAGTTACCCATGCCTTTTTACCCATGCCTTTGTGGGGGCCAAGCTGAAATAGTATTGCATTTACAGCCTTGTTGTTTTTTCCTTATGTTAGTACTGAGTCCTGCTTTCCACAGGTTAGAAATAAATGAGTGATAAAATGTATCCCTCGAATCTTCTACTTAATACATCAGCTTCTAAGCAAATATGGGAAAAACAGTACAAATGTTGTTTTTGATTATATCAACAGCTTATGCCAGGAAGCAAAGGCCCACCTTCATTTCCAGGAACTCCGGTAATGAACTCTCCAATATCACAGCCTCCTGGCCGTTTGATTGGCCAGCCTCCTCCCAGAATGCACTTTGGAGCTCGATCACTGCCACCACAACAAAGTATGTAAAAAGGAACATTGTATCTCTTCATTATATAATATATTGATCCAGACAAGTTACTTTAAAATTTGTTTAGTGTGTAGTACATATCAAACAAAGGTGTGTGTGTGTGTGTGTGTATATATATATATATTAGGCTGTATGCCTGGAGTTGTGGGAGGGATTTCTTGCCAGCCTATATCTACCCCCTCCTGACGTTCTGTCTACGTTTTTTTAATTATTTTTATTTTTTAAACATCACTTTTAATTATTTATAGTTAAAATGATAACTCTTATTATACGAATACCACCACCATAATAAAAAACAAAAAAAGTTATATAAATAAAAGGTAGTAAGCAGGAACACTGTAAGTAGTATTGGGCAGTGATATCCATTCTTTTGCTGCCACTAGAGTATCTATTAATCTGTACCAGGGCGGAGCTATGTAGTCTGTCTCTATAGTGTACGAGGAAAAGGTCATGGGTGAAATTGAGAGATATGGTCCAGGTTACGAAAACACATTAGCAGGAAAATCTTTTTTTTTTTTTTAAATGTATTTTTATTTTTGTCTGCTGATCTTATTAAAACAGGTGCACCACAGGGAACATTCTGAAATTATTAAATACTGTTTCAGTAAGGTAAACCTCTCCTTTGAGATTCCATCTAGAATAAAAATACTCAATTTTTGCTTGCACATCTTCTGTGGACTTATTTAATAATTTTATTTTTCTAGTTTTTGTTAATGCTTTCCTATAAAGGGTAAGTTATGTTGTGCATTCTTTTGCAGTGCATAGTGAATAAAAAAAAAAAAAAAACAGTCGACATCAATGGTGCGCTTGTGTTGGTGCACATAAGAGAAACATGTTTCTCTGGAGATATTTGGGTCAGTTCTTCATCTTGCTCAAAACAGCTGTCTGACGCACCCTCCTGCACTATACAGGAGATTAATCAGGCTCAAGAATATATTTGCAAGTCTATGTTCTTTACCACTCTGTGAGAGAACTTCAGAAATTACACAGATGGGCAAATGGACCATCAGTTCCATTGCTATTAAACAATTGGCATTGAAACCTATTTTAACTGATGCATATTGTGCATGATATCCCCTTTTCATGAGACAAAAACTGCATGAACAATAATTAGAGCACTAATAACCAGTCACAATTGTATTTCATTTTTATTCTGAGTGATTTTCAAATTTGCAGCATTCTTGATATTTGATGATTAACACTTCGAACAAATTTAATTACAGGTGTTATTGTAAAAGAACTTGCTGGTGAAGGGGTTACGTCCATGTAGTAGAAACTCTGACACGTTATAGTTTATATTTTTTTAAATTTTATGTTCCATAAAATTGTACTACATATGTAAAGTAGAATTACACCTAATCTCAAATTTCATATGTAAATTGGTTATGCCGGCTATGATACTTTTTATACTTAAATGTGTACCAATAATAACAGTGACATTTTTGTGTGCTTGAGAATTTCATAAAAGTTCTCAAAGACATGCATACCAGATTTTTTCTTCTACTCTTTAGTAAATATTTTTTTTTTACAATTTTTATGTGAAATACATTTATTTTTGGTTTGACAGGAGATGCTTCCTCTTCAAGAAACAGATTAAGGAAATTATATTTCTAATATTTTATTGTTTGTTTTGTTTTTTTTAGGGCATGGTCCCCCACCAGCAATGAGAGAATTACCCCCAATGCCTTTGGTTCCTCCTGATCCTAGGTGCTTTGTCCGCGGACCACTTGGGCCTAGAGAATATCTTCCAGGTCCAAGCCCATTTCATGGTCCTAGGGATTTTCCCATGCCACCTCCAGGTGTAAGAGATTTCCCACCTGGACCTCTTCCACCAGGGGCTCGTGACTTCCCACCAGGGCCCCCACCTCCTGGGGCTCGTGACTTCCCACCAGGACCCCCACCTCCTGGGGCTCGTGACTTCCCACCAGGACCACCACCTCCTGGGGCTCGTGACTTCCCACCAGGACCTCTACCCCCAGGTGCTCGAGACATCCCACCAGGAGCACCACCAACAGTTCCTCGGGACTTCTTAACAAGACCACCAACTCCAGGTGCTCGGGACTTCCCCCCTGGAGTCAGAGAGTTCTTACCAGGACCTAGAGAGATTCGACCAGGACTTCCACCTCCGGGAGCAAGGGACTTCCCACCAGGATTACCCCCATCTGGAGCAAGAGAATATTTACCAGGACCTCCTCATCCTGGAGGTAGGGAATTTCGAGCTGGGCCCCCTCCATCTGTTTCTAGGGAAAACATATCAGGCCATTTCCCTCCTCCTGGGGCAAGAGACTTCATGCAAGGTCCCCCACCAGGGGGTGTGAGGCATTTTCCACCAGGATATCATCCTGGATCCCTTCAAGGTCCTTCAGGACCAGAGCAGCGATTTGTCCCACCAGGATCCCAACAACCCACACAGACAGACAATGAACCTATTGATAATCAAAAAGTTTAGGATAGTTGCAAAAAGAAAAGAAAAAAAGACATTTATCTTTGTGCAGTGGGGGAAAAAAAAAAAAAGCCTTCAGTTGTTTCAAAATGGATAAAACGTTACTGGTTTACATTCATTTCCGACTTTTTTTTTTTTTTTTTACATGTCTTTATTGCAATAAATATTTTATCTTCACTCCCCTCCATAGTAATTTTAATGGGTAATTATTAATTGAAAATTTGCTTCATAGATATTCAGGCCTTCTGAAACCCAGATCATTTTGCAATTTGGAAAAGTGCAATACAGAAATCATTTTTTGGAGGGGATTTTTTTGTTTTGTTTTTGTTTTTTATTTAAAATAGTGTGAGTAACCATTATTTGTTTTAAAAAAAAAAAAAAAAATGAATGTTATAAATCTTTGAAAACATTTCCTGTGGAAATACATTTTATAAGAATAACATTATTCTGATTGCTTTTCCACACCCAGCTAGCGTAACATGTTATATACCACTGGTTTACATAGAATAAAGAATTGTTTTTAAACATCTGGTACTAAAGAAAACAGGATACATAACCCTGTTGGAGAATAGTAATTATAATAAAGTATGGAAAATCTGCATCTTCTCAGTGTGTTATGTAATTCATACATTTCAGAAAACAATCTACCTGTTTTGAAGAAATAACTTGCTTTTTAGTAGTTTGTAAATTAACCTCCTTAAAGAGAAAAGGTCACAAACTACACGTGTAAAGAACCTAATAGTTGCTGGGGTGGGGTTTGTTTTGTATTTATTTTGTGGGTGGGGGAGTATAACATTCTCCAACTTTACCAGAACAGCCATATATTGCACATTATCCACATCAGTGCCACATGTAAAAGAGTATATGTATGACACTATGGAATTTCTGCCTGTGTGCATGCTTGCATGGCTTTTCCCTGCAGATCTGTGGGGGTAATGATGTTACCCTGCATACAGAAGTCTTTTAGAGGAGAATTACAATTTCAACTTGCCAGCTAGCCATTGACAAGTGAAAATTCAACCCTGGGTAGCAGAAATCCCCACTGGATTCAGGTGCAAAGTTACACAAAGGCCTGCCTTTTAATTTTGAGTCCTGATTATCATTTTATTTTATGCCCTATTCCTTCCAGTAAGCACAACAGTAATTTTTACTGAGGTGACAATATGAAGAACCGAATCTTACTCAACGAACAACACATTCCATGTCAACAGAAGGTCTTTTGTAACTAGCGTATGATAATTGGGGTGACAGGAGGTGTACTGCCACGGTCATGTTTCACACATCACTTGGGCTACAATTCAAAAATAGTATGCTCAAATATGCATAGTAGATTCCTGTATGTGTCACTAACCAAAATCCTACTTCAAATATCCCCCACCCAATAGTTGCTGTCAGAAGGAGTTGTAAAAGCAGTGTTCTAAGGAATATATTTTGCCATGTAGATAGATTAGGTAAAACACAGATACGGTAGAGAGGAGATATATAGATTAGATAGAACTTTTTTTTTTTATTATTAAATGCAGACGCAGACAAAACCATACAGTCTGCGTTATTCAATACATATCTATTCTAACATATCTATCCTGGTTACATACTTTTCATGAGTTTAGTCCTGAAATATTTATGTGCATATTACATACTCCAATATTGTGCATTATAATGGAACGAGTCATGGCAAAGTGCAGGTGATCAATTAATGGAGAAGTCACAAATCTAACAAAACCATTTATTTATAAACAACTTATACATGAAAGCAGTTGTTTGAAATGCATAATAGTCTATATTGTAGATATCGGGTTAGGTCATTGATACTGTCCTCTCAAAACAGCATGACGGTAGATCTAAACATTTATTTCAGGTCCTTGCAGGCTTCCCTTTAAAATGACATGAATGATGAATCCTGCATTTCCTTGCTCTAGTCTAATGTTTGGAAATGTACTGGATACAGAGTCTTTCTTAAATACACCTTGGTAAGAATAGCACAAACCAGGAGCTAGAAACATATGGTAACAATTCAGTCATAGACAAAACATAAAAAATTATGCTATTCAGGCTTTCAGTATTAAAAATAAATTGTGCCCGATTAAGAGGTACTTTTTCTTCATCTCTCTACTGCGATGCAGCTGGTAATATAACATTTCAAACCAAAATCAGACCAGATTACAATGCCAATCAACCTTTTCGATTTTGGTGTTGATACACAAAGAGGAATTAACGGATCAATAAATGTCAGTATCCAATGGAGAAGAAAAAAAAAAAAAAAAAGTACAAAAGGGGGCAAAAAATTATACATAAAAATTAAATCAAATCCACCAAACCATTCATTACAATCTTTTATAAAAATTTTTTTTAAAAAGTTACATAAGGAATGATGCATTTCCAGAGCACTCAGTTTGTTCATTAAGCTGAAGGCATTCATTAAGCAAGGAAATAGATGTCAAATTATAATAAAAAAAAAATCCTTGAATTTGATATGAAGTGTTTAAATGAACAGAAAGTTAATGTTAATCAAAAATGTTTATTAAAAAAACCCACACATTTGGAGAAAATTATGAAAGAATGAAAAGAAAAAAAAAAAAGTACAAAACTACAACTCTGTGTGTGTGTATGTATATATATATATATATATATTTTGTCCTCCCCTCATAAAATATTTGAGGAGCAAAGAATTAAAATCTCATACTGAGATACAGGAAGGAATATCATGCACTGTATAAACACCACATTTTGGTATGGTTATTAAAATGATATTCTATTTAAGTACACATTTTACAATGGCCTTGTGTAGAAAAAAAAAAAGACCATGCTTTCTTGGGGAGCAGGCCTAGATCTGTAAACTGCATGAAGATAAACCATGAAGCATCAAACACGTTATATACAGGAGTGAACCAGTCACCAAGTCCTTCAAACGAATGTTTCACATGTCAGAGGATGTCAGACATCCCAATGCTACTAGACAATTTTACCATATAATCCACACAAATCTATTTATTATTGCTTTAGTTTTACATTACCGTGGTCTTTGAGAAAACAAACAAAAAAAAAACCCCAAACTTCATTTGTTTGGAAAACCAATACATAAAAATATATTTAGAAATAGAATACATAGACCTTGTAAGACCACATTGGATCTTTCAGATCTTTCTTCATTTAAAACTCCAGTTAGGGTTGTAGAGGCCACCTATACTGGGTGCGGGGTGTGTGATTTTTCACAGTGAGAAGTGGTTCTATTAGAAGAGATGGAAGACTTGACAATGGTCACTCCTTGTGTAATGTTTGATGCAGGTGAAGATAGAGTGGTTTCTTTGTTAGAAGTTGTAATTTCTTCCGTTTAAAGTCAGTTGGTTTCTTGTAGCTGAAAAAAGTGAAAAAAGAGAAAATGAACTGATTTCATTTTACAACCATTCAAGGAACACTGAAAAAATAAAAAATAAAAAAAAACTACCTGGAACAAAAGTCTACCACACACTTATCCATACTTTTATCAAAAAGTTGAACATTTAACAAAATTAGACAATTTGCTGGTTTAACCCCTTAAGGACACATGACATGTGTGACATGTCAAGATTCCCTTTTATTCCAGAAGTTTGGTCCTTAAGGGGTTAACTTGCCCTTCTAAACGTCACCATTCTCATATCACTTCCTCGTTTTCTGCAGAAATGTTCCTGATAGACCTAGCTTTCGCACAGTTTAAATGTATAGACAGATATCAAAGCACAAAATAACTCAAGGAAGTACTTGGCAGATATTCACGGCCCAAGCTCTATGGGAATGCTTAGACATATGAAGGAGTAATCTAATCATATTGTCTTTTCCATATACATGTTGTTACGGAGCAGCTTGAGTGACATCTCACTGTTTTTTCATTATAGGCAAGTCCACCATAGTGCTTCTAAGAGAGATCATAACTGATCTGCTAATTTTGACCAGTCTATGTGAAGTTAAGTGCCATGCATGAGGATTTTGTGGTCCTGTTCCTTAGGTTAATACATATTGAGCCTTTAGAGCAGGCTTCCCCAAACTCTGGCCCTCCAGATGTTGCTGAACTACAACTCCCATGATTTTCAGCCTACGTTTAATTCATAGAATCATGGGAGTTGTAGTTCAGCAACATCTGGAGGGCCAGAGTTTGAGGAAGCCTGCTTTAGAGTCTCAAGATCAGGTGGAAAGCCTAGATCCCTCTGAGGCACAGACAAAGCTATGCATCCGGAAGGATGGGTGGAAAACTATGTATTTTTAAAGGGACACTTCAAGAATGCAAATTTACTATAATTTTTTTTTTGCTGTGAGGATACAGTCCCTACAATTTAAAATGTAGTCACATCACTTAAAGATACACAAACTAACCTAGACTACGAGCAACACAAAATAAAGCTGCTCAGAAACACAGCTCCTGCAAGTGTCAAAAGGCTAATTTCTTGACACCATACGATATTTGTGAACTCCAGAATAAAATAACATATGATGTGGTACGTTTTCTCAGTCAGCCTGGTGTGCTAAGGTGCCAAATCATACAAACGACCCAAAAAAATCAGCTCATGCATAAAGTGTATTGTCATACAGCACCACTAAACTAATAAAATGGTTTAAACAATCTGTTTTTTCAAAGTTCCAATTGCAAAATTAACCATCCTAACAATTTAGTGACCGTTTTTAAATTAAACAATTACAGCTCACTTGACACAGTCATTTCTCATTTCTAGTCTGCGCTACTCAATGTTGCATTATTTTAATACTAGTAAGTTAAACAATGTAACAGAACATACCTTTCATTTGGGACTTTTTAATGAATATAAAATTTTTAACAAGAACTTCCTACTAGTCTTTTTTAAATAAGTAAGTCGATCTCTATTTGACGATAACTATTCCAATTGGTGCTTGGAGGGTAAACCAGTATTTCTGTTCAGTGAATGCACCGAAAAGACGGTGATAGTCTGACAATGCAAGCGGTTTCAAACCATCACTGGCCGCTCAAGCCAATGATTCCCTATTATCCAAGAGGCAGAGGAGGCAGCATGACAGCTTCCCCGGAGAGGATCTAGGATGTTAAACTGTTTTTGAGACGGCAGCTGGGGACTCTAGGCTCTAGACTCATCAAGATGAAGTTATGTAACCAGAGACATCCTTTAAGTCTATCCATCTTAAATTATGGACAATACAATAAATAAGGATAATGGCATACTGAGGGTACTGAATAAATAGCAGATTGCATAAGTACAGACACACTTACAGTTCTATAACCATTTGGCCAGATTTGATTTCATCCTGCTCCATAAAGGCAAAACACTTTGTGCTTGTAAATCTCTTCTTAGGTTTGTAGTGTTTAAATTCAAAGAAAATAGCTGCCCCTGCAGATAAAAGGCAACATTACTTGTTGGAAGCAAGCAATTGAGAGAGAAAAGACAAAATGGAAAAAATGGACATTAACATGGTGCAGACATGCTTTGAGAGAGAACATGAATTTAGGAATATCAGACAGCTCGACTACAATACAATTGACTCCATTGTTTTTGTTTCTTTACTCCTACTATATATTACCCCAACTATAACCCATCACAAAGTTCTTTTGCTCACCACATAGAAATATACAATTTAACCTAGGCATTTGTATAATCTGCAGATTAAAACAAGAGCTGACAAAGTTCCGTAGAATCTTGGAGCCACATGCCAAAAGTTAGCAGCCAGACAAAATGTTTACTGGAGAGCAACACAAACTAATTGGCCACTCACACACACCTAATGAATGACTCACTAGGATACACAGTCAGTCACTCACACATACCTAGTTTAGCTGCATTCACACACCCAACCTTTTCAAATGATTTATGCACCTTTTCTAGACAATTTGTAATTCTGATTGTATGTACACGTACGAAATATTTCAAAAATGTTTGTGATGCTTGATTTGAAGTATTTATGTTTTTCCCGCAATATTCCTTCTCTTTATAAAAACCATCAGATATTTACAAAACAAAAAACAAAACCTAGTACCTACCTTTTGTGAGTTTTTCAACATGTTTCTGGATTTCAATCTCAACATTAAAATGAACATACATGTCTTCTTTCCTCAAAGCCATTGGCGTATCTTGTACTGGAGTCAAATCAATGCCATTTATATCTGTGCAAAACAGGAGTAGAAAATAGTCATTCCTACACCCCACATTTTACATTACACATACAAACACCCACTAGTTGAATTAAATTAGAGAAAATTTCAAATAACCAGTTGGAGGTGATGCGATATTGCTCAGCTCTTGACAAACTACAGCATCTGGATGCAAACTTATTTTAAGTTGCCAGTGGTAAACCCCTTAAGGACATATGACATGTGTTTGGTCCTTAAGGGGTTGAACAGCTGCGGTTCTCCACAATTGAACTGAAGAGAGAATACCAACTAGTGTGACCACCATAACCAGAGAAAAAGGAACCAAGGAAACCAGACAAAATCTAAAATAAAACAAAGTGTGACGTTGCCAGAGTGGACCAAAGACTTCTCAGCTCTTTATGTTCGTTCTGTATAAGGTAAGAGTTGGTATTTATTTTATAGGTTCTTCCAATATAACCACGTGTCTCCTGTAAACAATAAAAGGTTTCATAAAAATAATAAATGGTCAAACATTGTCACCCAGAGGCCATTTTGTAATTAGGGAGGGACATACAACTAGCCATCAGTGTTCAGGTGGGTATTTATAAACCATGCGGTGTTCTAGATAGGGACATAATAAACATATACAGAAATGGGCCAGGGCCTCCCTAATTCAAATTGTGTGTCCCTGAGATTATTTTCAGAGCAGAGAATTGTCCTGGTGCAAAGTGAAGTTCTTGTTCTTATCCTACTTTCATTTGTTGTGGTTGGGGGGTGACCATGGCACCAAAATGTGCCCTCGTTATCAAGACCAAGAATTTAAATATCGAGGCAATGGGGTACTTAACCCAGAGCCAGCTTTAAAATTTATCAAAATTCATTCTTATTATATGCACGCATCCATATCAGAAGCTAAATATGTACATTTAGTGCTTAACCCAAGTGCTAGTAAAAAGAAAATAAACAATTATAAATCCATTTACAAGCAACTTGACTAGCAGATCTATATACTCTCTCTCTCTCGCTCATGATTCCAGGCAATTTGTTTTATTCGGTAATGTTAATACATCACTGCTGGTACACAGCTCCACCAGCATACTTAAACTAAATTCAGTTCCAAAAGGTGTGGAACGGCAACTTAGCCAAATGACAACACGAAAAGAGAATCTTCTGAAACCAGCTGTGAAACTTGGACGTGAAAGGAGGATTCCCAGAAACTAGATTGTACATTCCTCACAGGAAATGTCAAGAAGAGTCTCGGGAAGAGCACTGGCGAGGGATACAACGTGCACAGCCACTGTCCATCTCACATAGCTACATGATGGTCAACCTGACACAGACTTGTGTATTTCTCTTTGCTTGAAAGCCCAGGGCACAGTGCCATTATATTTTGTAATAATTCCAAAATGAAATAGAGATTGCTGGGATGCTGCACGTGACATTTCCATTCATACAAAGAAATGCTCCAGATAGGCCTTTATGCTTGAAAATCTTTGCAGTGCCTCTGTGGAAGTGTCTAAAGTCTTCAGGAAGAACCATGGCACTTTTATCTGCTCGTTCCAGTGACTTTTTTATTATAGAACCAAATTCTAGAAACCCACAACTCAATCCGTTCCTAGAATGTCCTTCAAGGAAAAAGGGAGAAAGTAGCGACTTCCACGTACACTCGCAGAGGGCCCAAATCAGTCCACTAGGGCAATGGATCCCAACCCAGTCCTCAAGTACCCCCTACCAGTCCAGAATTTAGGGATTACCCAGTTGTGTCTAAGGTGCTTTTAGAAATAATGAAAAAAAAAAAAAAAACACTTTAGACACAACAGGGTAATCCCTAAATCCTGAACTGTTAGGGGGTACTTGAGGACTGGGCTGGGAACCCCTGCTCTAGGGAAAAGAGGTCATTAATCACTATTATAGTACAAGTCAGACTCTGTATGTATGTCGCACTGATTTTTTCACTGCTGCTGTATGAAATTATGCTTTTACGTAAATAAGAATATATACTCGCCTTTTACACTAACTGTCATGTAGGGATCAATACATTGTCCTGCATCTTTTAAGCCAATTTTTTCAATTTTTATAGTAAGTAGTGTCATCCCTGGCTCCGAAGGCAATCTCGGTAAAAGAGTACCTGGAAATAAAATAAAAGTAAAAACCCCATTAATGCAGAAGCATCAAAGAGCTCTATTAGATGAGTATTTTACATTTTAAGCCAAAATGGGCAATACTCTCTTTGAAATATTAACATTTGGGTGTGAAGCCATCAACATAGTTTTCATAAAACAAATACAATGATGATATACACACACATAAAACAAAAAGCAAAATTATGAATGAAATCTAAATTTTGCTTCATGCATATTTTAAAGGATCACTATAATGTCAGGAAAACAAAGCTGTTTTCCCTGACACTAAAGCACCCTGGGGGTGCCCCCATCCTTAGGGTCCCCTTCCCTAAGGATGTGCCTAAATGTGCCTCCAGCGTCGCAGATGTGCCTCTAGTGGCTGTCCGGAAGACAACCAGTAGAGGCTGGATTAACCCCAAATGTAAACATAGCAGTTTCTCTGAAACTGCTATGTTTGCATCTGAAGGGTTAAAACCTGAGGGACCTGGCACGCAGACCACTTTATTGTGCTGAAGTGGTCTGGGTGACTATAGTGTCCCTTTAATAAGACTTCTATTATGTAAAATATATACATGCCAGAGCCTAAAAGGCTATTTAGCATGATATCTAAAATACAGCGACAGTCGAAACAGACTAAAATACTGCAAAAAGTAATATTTACCCAAAATAAAGCAGATAAAGTACAATAAAGACACTCACAAGGCATATGCATTCGCTCGTTTCCACTACATATTTACTGCTTTATTGTTGTTGTAAACTATTTATTTTACAATAGCATATCACAATGGGAAAAATAATTATTTATAAAATGATATAGACTGATCAGGCACAACATTAAAACCACTGACAGGTGAAGTGAATAACATTGATTTTATTGTTACAAAGGCACCTGTTAAGGGGGGTATTAGGCAGCAAGTGAACAGGCAGTTCTTAAATTTCATGTGTTGGAAATAGGGGACAAAAGGGCAAGCAAACAGATCTGAGTGATATGCAGTAGTTGGAACCTACCAAAAGTGGTGCAAGGAAGGACAACCAGTGAACCAAAGTCAGTGTCATGGGTGCCCAAGTCTCGTTGATGTACATGGGAAAAGAAGGCTAGCTCATTTGGTCTGATCACAAAGAAGAGCTACTGTAGCTCAAATTGCTGAAAAAAATAAATGCTGACCATGATAGAAAGATGTCAAAAGACACAGTGCATCAGTGTGTTGCATATGGGGCTGCATAGCCGCAGGCCAGTCAGAGAGCCAATGATGACCCCTATCCACAATCGTAAGTTCCTTCAATGGTGATTTAAGTGTCAGAACTGGACCACAGAGCAACGGAAACAGGTTGCCTGGTCTAATGAATCACATTTTCTTTTAGATAGGTGGATGGCTGGGTGCATGTGGGTCATTTACCTGGGGAAGAGATGGGAGCAAGATGCTCTATAGGAATAAAGCAGGCCGGTGGAGACAGGGTTATGCTCTGCTAGGAATCCTTGGGTACCACCTACTTAAAGATTGTTGCAGACCATGTACACCCCTTCATGACAATGATTTTGTCCTTCTGACGGCAGTGGCCTCCGTCAGAAGGATAATGCACTTTGCCTCACTGCAAAAATTGTCAAGGAATGGATGGGGAACATGACAGACTTCAAGGTGTTGCCTTGGCCTCCAAATTCCACAGATCTCAATCCAACTGAGCATTTGTGGTACATGGAGGCCCCACCTCGCAACTTGCAAGACTTAAAGGATCTGCTGATAATGTCTTGGTGCCAGACACCACAGAACATGTTCAGATGTCTTGTGAAGTCCATGCATCGATGCAAACTGTTTTGGCAGCACAAGGGGGACCTACATGGTATTAGGCAGATGGTTTTAATGTTGTGGCTGATTAGTGTAGATTATATATATATATATATATATATATATATATATATATATATATATATATATTTTTTTTTTTTTTTTATTATTTTTTTTTGTACTGTGACATAGTGGTAGCCTTAACATGATCACCATATGGTGTAACTAAATCCCCATATTTGTTTGCTCAGATAGGTGGTTTTAAGTAGCTTTGTTTGCAGCTCCTTAATCTATGTATGCATGTGTGTAAATACATACACACACGCGGAAACAAACATTGGAAAATAAATATAAAATTATTTAATAAAAGGAAACAAATGGAACAGTAGTCAGGTAAGTTCTGCATTACACTGTGTAAAGTAAATGGGGGAAAAAATGCTCATACCTTGTATTGCTCCTGAGTACAACGGGATGGGATGTGATACAAGCAAATGATGAAGCCATGCAACGAGCAACCACGGGACCAACATAATGCGGCAAAATAAAAGACAACAGGGTTTGCATTGATGACAGTACAACACGGCATGCAACAATGACAAAAACACAGTTTTTTGGGGTCAGCTCTATGTTTACAGAAGAGCAAGGAGAAAAAAAGTATGTAACTGTATAAAATATCACTAGGCCAAAGACATGGAATAAAAACCATGATAACATTGGCAGCAGATTTAAGAAAACAGCTTCAATGGAAATATTCATCAGTTTCCGATTATGGTAACTTTATTTTAATGTACACCAGGATTTTCTAGCTTTCCAGTGCCAATTCTTGAAGGAGCAGACATACTGCACGCAAACTGGGTTTGGGGGGGACTCAAACTGGCACCTCTACTAATAATTAAGTAGTCCAGTGTTAGATAGCTAACGTGAATGTTCACTTCAGCCAACCCATAGCAGTGGGGCTGGGCCTTAGCACTCCGCAGAAACAGAGGCATGAACCTCTGCTCATCCACTAGACTGGACCATCAACTAAGAACAATACATTTCTTTGAAAAAAGCCTATTATTGCAGCCATGGGATGAGCCAGGATTATGGAAACAGAAATGCAAGACCTAACCACTTAAACAACAGAACTGCCTGTGTCTTACACAGATTTTGGAAATTGTACACCAGTATATGAAAAGAAAGCGCAGTTCTACCTCTTCAAGACAAGGGTTTTGGAAAATCTTACGAAGATAGTCTCAGCAGGTCATGTGCAATGGAATGGGTAAACAACAAAGAAGTTCCAGTATAAAGAGTCCATTCTTGGTCAGATCTTTGGAAATATATGAATACCTGGGACCCTCGCAGGGAAAGCGTCAGGAGATCCCATCCCAGCACCACCTTCTTCTTCCTCCACTTCCACTTCTAAATTCTCTTCTTCTCCAGGAGCCAAAATCCTCCTACGTCAAGTGAAAACAAAAGGTCAGCTAGACACAGTCTTACCAAGTATGATTTAATGCAAATAAACACAGAAGATATGTTCGATTGCAGCTGTTACAGTCCATGCCAGAAGAGTTATGACAATAAAGAAGAGAGAAATCACGAGTAAGTTACTATCAACATCTCCTCCTCACCCATGTGCAGAGAATATTAAAACTATTAAGTCTTAACATGCAAACTTCATAATGTATTGGCACCCTAAATCATTGCATGAATACAAATGTTATCTATAGACTGTGCTAGCCAAGTTTCTTGGAAATATAGAAGCTAAGGAAGTAGACTGATCATGTTTTTAGACATACGTTATAGCTACTGCATAAAGGCAACAAATTTGGAGTCCACAGGCAACAAACACAGGGCATCTTGCAATACCTAGGACTCTTACACAAGAGGAATTGTAGGACGATGAGAGAGTCATTTACGGACAGGATAGTAGTGCCTGCTGCTGCCCTGTACTTATCTAATGGTTACGTAAGAGAAAGATTTGCAATGGTGAGTAAATTATAGGACTGGCTGGTAGTCTAGTCTATTGACCTCATGAGACAGTTCAGTGGTTAGTGCTCCACTTGTGGATCTCTAGTACTCATTTTAAGTGCAGGTTAGACCCCTAGCATGGTTTACGGAGGTATCCTAATCCTTTAGAAGTCAACGAAGTAAGTACTATTGATACATTCTATATACTTATATTAATATATACACAGTTGGGGTTATTCACAAACCAATTAGAGACAGAATTAAGAAGCTTTAAAAAAAAAAAAAAATTTCGACAGACAACTGTGATTTAAGGACTTAATTTTTACGGTTAGAGCTAAAGTAATTTGTGAGATTCACAAAAACCATAATTTAGAAGGTATTAAAACAGAAAAAAAACAAAAACACAAGTTTCCAACCTTAATGGTACTGGTTGGACATCAAAAGGAAATTCTTTGTTGAATGTGAGGATGTTGCTTAAAACTAAAAACAGAAAATCAGAATTAGAAACTTAAACTACTATATACACACATACAGACACACAAAACAGTCCTGTTATCCTTATTTTAGGGGTTGGAGGAGAGAAACCTTACAGCTTTCTCAACCAACCAATCCTACTATGCCTGTTTCTCCTGAAGCTATTCTTCTCAGTTTTTGTCAAAATGAGACACATGGGACAGTCGTCAAGTAGATAAACTATATATTCGTTGCAGGGTTTAACGTCAATGTTAAAGTTGTATGGACCTTTTCAGGTTCTAGTTTAGATTAGATTATACATCTGTCTACCACCAAAGTGATCATAACCATGGTCTTATAAAATATTGTCTAGAAAACAAAGGTTGCGTGCGGCTCCCAGTAATCTTCCTCTACCCAAGTCCCAATGTATTCTTTTTGTCATTTTTAAAGGGATAATTAAGCATTGAATCTTAAACAAATGCCACGTTTCCACACAGCAGCCTTCCTGAACTGCTGGAGTATATAGAAATAACTTTTATTAAAATCATAAACAAGTTTTATTGAGATAAATTATGCATGCCGAGTTCATGACATGGAAGACTTGTACCCAACTTCCTCTCTCAAAGCAGGTCATAAATAATCTATATATGGTTTTTTTCTTTGTTTTTTTTAAACAAACTCACTTGTTTCAAGTTGTTTCAAATCCTCCAGCTTGAATGCCTCTTCAGACTGGTTGGACTGTAAAAAAGCAAAAACAAAAAACTGCAAATTCAGTGCACGGCATAATGTTACGGGACACTCAACACACAAAATAGCATACAGTCTACATATATTCAGACAGTGGACACATTCTTTTGACACAGTTCTGTATTCCAGCACAATTGATTTGAAATTAAACTACGGTATGCACAAGAAGATAGAGTGCAGACAGCAAGATGATTTAAGAGTATGTACATCCACAAACTGAACAGTATAGGAATTTTGAACATATCCCTCCATTTTCAGAAACCAAAATGGTAACTGTACTGATTAACAATGTTAAAGTCTCAAGGGAGGACATTTAATCGCAGAATTCCAGTCAACACCAACACAGGAATATGTTTCCTGGTTATGGACTTCCTAGACAGTATCACAGTGATCGTCTGTTTCCGATTATTTGTGGACATTTTTACTTTTAAAAGGGACATACGTCGGGGCGGGGCCTGACTGCCATGCTAAGCAGTCGCACCCTGTTTGAGCTTGAAGAGAAATCTGCAAATCAGAGTATTTTACTGTACTTTCAATGCAGTAATCTTGATCAGAAAGCTACTAACACTTTACTAAAGCTGGGGAGGTCAGCATAGACCTCTTGCACGGCTGCACAGACTTCTCTGAAAACAGATCCTGCGGCCTACTGACAGCTGTCCTGGGGTTAGAGACACGGAGAAGCGGCCGATCTCTCAGTCTCCTGCCCCTTTCTCTCTCTCCCCCCCTGCCGGTGAGGGTCATCCCGGCACCCAGCAGCCTTGGGTCAGGTGGAACCAAACGCAGAAGCATGACTACGAGGGTTTCAAGACCTAAAATGGCGCCTGCCTTGTGTGCCTCAAGCACACAACTACCTACTATATCCAGGCTGGATAGCATTGTTGAAGCATTCTGGGCGAAGCTTGCCAGCCGCATAAGGTTTGTGCTCCTGGTATTGTGGGGAGTTCAATGGTGGAGAAGGGCCATAAACCATACCGGAGGCCTTTACAACCAACTGTCACTGTGCCTTGCTCTCGTCTAACATGGAAACCTCGGAGGCCACAACTTAAGTCGCACTACCATGGCAGTGCCTGCAGGGGAGCGCACTGCAAGATACAATGGTACCGAAACAATCCTGAAGGCGCTGACCACCCACAGGCGCTAGACAGAGAGCGGATAGAGGGCTTACCGGTTCGTGTACTTGAATATCGCGGGCTGGAGTTAACTATATGGGACTCTGCCTTACCTACTGAAGGTGTTGGCTGAGCTTTCAATGGGGCCTGGGAGCACTGTCCTGGACATTCCTTACCTACCTGGGGTACTGCCTGCATGCATAACCGAGGAAGCCACTTACTCTCCACCCTCTCCTACTTTACACATGGGACCCACTAGGTTTTTCATTTTGGTAACATCTTGTTTTCATTTTCCATTAGTATATTGACATGCAAACCTGCAGTTAGCTCCTATGTCAGTGTGCACTGATTAATCCTGCAGTTTTTTCTCCATATGCCATTTATGCTCATGCTGACACTAGAATCTGCTGTTTTGCTGACCAGTTCCTGCAGCCAGACAGTGGCTAAAGAGGATGACCAGATCCATGTTTTCAGGGACACAAATCACATATACATATTGAAGGGCAGCACATGAAAGGGAAGCTCTGTAGTATGTAGAATGCAGAATAAGGTGTATAAGATTAAGCAATTAGGAATCCTCCAGAATATGCATTATACATACTGCAGGGCAACCCTTTTTTATGTGTTTTCCTAAATATAATCAATATTTTATGTCCCCTGAACACATGGTGGTTCTGGTCACCCTGCTTATAACACCCCATTATTTGCCAAGTATATGTACTTAAACACACTGGATTTGAGTTGAAATAATGACTAAATGGGTAACGTACAAAGACAAAAGAGCAAAACTCTTGTAAGCGTCCAATTTTTTCACCCATTTCTAAATGGTACAATACCAGCCTAATAAAACAATTGCCAGGCCAAAGCAATTTGTCCAGGAAAAAGTCATATTTCTCATGCTTTTTATCCATCACATGCCAGGTAACACTTATGTAGGAGATAGCTATTTAAAGTGGGTGACCAATGAGAATTCTGGACAAAGTTCCAGGACTACGCTATATCCCTAACACAATCTAACACTTTCAATGGACATGCACTGCATGTCAGGGACACTCAGCTCTCAGACGACTCTGCTAAGCAACCAGTAAACACTTGGCTATAATGTAGGGACTGCTGTGGGATTTCAAGATCTTAATGGCACAGAAAAGATTTTGTTTACATTATGTTTTATACATAGTTGAAATCCATAATTAACCTTCCAATACTTAAATTACCACTGTAAGAGCGAATAAGATTAGCAGTTTGGGACCCAATGGGTTAAACTTAAGCCCTATTTATTCCTCCTCTCCAGAATTGTGCCAGCTAGCAGGTCAACAAAAGCAATGTATGTCTGGACACAGTCTACCAAAAATTCGAAATGTCCCAATACAGAAAATATCATCTAAATAGTGACATATAATGAAGTAAAATGGATTTAACTTTTTTTTGTGTGAAAATACTCCAGTCAGAAATAGGACAGTAACTGTGCATACTATAACTAGATCGTCATGGTGCCTCCTTGAAACAGTAATTTTATTCCTTTTTGTTTAGGTTATTGTTTGAAAATGAATAACTTGAAAAAAGTGAAAACATTAATACCCTACTATTGAAGACTTACAGGGTAATTTGCTTTAAAATTGTGAATTCAGAGAGGGCGGAGCCTGACCTGCAAGCAGACAAGACATGCCCTGCACGAGCTCCTGCAAAATTGTGCAGTTTTGAGGTAATATTTTGAGTATTAGAGCCACTTTTCTCTCTACTACCACAGTGATAGACCAGCAGAAGCTACGGCTGGATCCCACTAGGGAGAGACTTGGCCTCATTTAAGAGTATCTGAGTCTGTGGTTATGGGATGCATGCCTTCATGACGACCTGGGGCAGGAGAGCAACTAGGCCTCAGATGTCTCTACCGCATATCCCCATTCACTTCCAGGTCTGGGCATTGGGTGAAACTTACAGCCCTGCATGGAGCAATTCTTCACACCCCCATGCGCCCCCAAAACCAGCTAACTTTGACATTCTGTGTTGTGCCCTAATCTCTAGCTCGACTTTTCTCTCTACTACCACAGTGACTTGCTACTAACTATGTTCCATCTTATCCCTGTGCAGTACAGTTGTATGCTAGATTGTTTAGGGTCCGTGGTCACCTTCTCAAACGTAAATATCTAAACATGCAGTGGGCCTGCTTAGTGTCAGCCACCATGACTAGCTACCATATCCTGTTAGCAATACTCATATTTGCTATTAGTTGTGACATACTGAACCAGCCTGTGTGGCGTTTTCGTAACTCTAACTTAAAAGGCAGTCTTGGCAGAGGGTGTCGGAACACGGTGGCCCAACAATTTTGCTTAAAAGTTTCCAACTTGCCCAGCATGTAAAACAATTGTTTATTTTAATTTACACTATCCTTACAGCAAGCCAGTATAGCCTGTTTCTTATGATTTGTTCTGTCTGTCCACTGTCTAGTTCTCCTAGTAATATAAGCGGAAAACAAAAAAAAAATGTGCAGTTTAACTATATGCCATGTTGATAATTATAATGCTGGTTTTTCACTATGCTTGTGATTGCTGTCGTGGCTTAGCAAGCTTACTGTTACTTCATGCACGATATAAATAAAGATTGACAAAAAATTTGTAGAAAAGGAGAATTCAAAGTGAATTTCAGATTTAAAGGGACAATATAGTCACCAGAACAACTATAGCTTATTGAATTTGTTCTGGTGAGTTGAATCATTATCTTCAGGCTTTTTGCTGTAAACACTGTCTTTTCAGTGAAAATGCAGTGTTTACATTACAGCCTAGTGATAACTTCACTGGCCACTCCTCAGATGGCTGTTAGAGATCCTTCCTGGGTCATGGCTGCCTAAACTGCATCCAAACATTCAGTGTCTCCTCCCACTGCATGCAGACACTGAACTTTCCTCATAGAGATTCATTGATTCAATTCATATCTATAAGGAGATGCTGATTGGCCAGGGCTGTGTTTGAATCATGCTGGCTCTGCCCCTGATCTGCCTCCTTGTCAGTCTCAGCCAATCCTATGGGGAAGCATTGTGATTGGATTAGGCCAATCACCACTTCTGATGATGTCAGCAGACTGCTTGTTTTTCTGGGACAAACAGCATGCAGAGTTACAGCTTCAGGCTTGAATACAAGTACTATTTTGCTATATTTATGGAGGCATGAGGGACTGGGGGGGTGGGGGAGGGGGGAGGGGCTAGATGGTGGTTTTAACCCTATAAGGTCAGGAATACATGTTTGTGTTCCTGACCCTATAGTGATCCTTTAAGGTCAAAATAGCCAAATTGGAATAAATCTCTATATTAGCTATGCTTTCAATTCAGCTACCCTGCCTTAAAGTAACACTATAATATTAGGAATACAATCATGTATTTATAACACTATAGTTCTGGAATGATAAAGTCCCCGGTCCCACTCTCTGAATTAAAAAGGTGATTTTACTTACCTTTTCTACACTGCCAAGCCGGTCTTGCACGTGGCTGGCCCTGCCTCCACGATGATCTTTATGTTCTCAGCCATTTTACGGCTTGCCTATAGGAAAGCATTGGAAAGCTGTTGTGCATGCGCGTCAAAACACTGTATTAATTAGCAGATCCTCATTGAGATGCATTAAATTATTTCATCTGTATGGGAAGAACTCAGTGTCTCCATGCAGAGTATGAAGACGCTGAATGTAGGTGCTGCACACGTTGCTGCACTAGACTAGGAAGCATCTCTAGTGGCCGTCAGAGTGACTGCCGCTAGAGGTGTTCCTAGCCAGCAATGTAAACACTGTCTTATCTGAAAAGGCAGAATTTTCATTCCTCTGCCTGCAGGGACAGGCTATAGACAACAGAACTACTACATTAAGCTGTAGTTGTTCTGGTGACTATAGTGTCCCATTAAATCTAAAATTCACTTTGAAGTCTCGCTTTAGTGAATAACTTTGTTAGTGTAAATACATACGGTCCCTCAGGAAGTATCATACAAAGTAAAAGACATTATTTCGTGACCATTAAAAATGTTGGACAGTTTACCTGCAGGGCAGCACTGCGGAGTTCCAGGCATGTCGCAATTTTTCCAATTGTTTTCTGCAAATAAAAATAGGATACATTAGAAAGCTGTAGAAATGAGTAACTCTCAAAGATCAATCAACACAAAAATAATAGAAATAGAAAATTAATCAAATGCATTTTATGTGATAACTTTAATAAGAACAGTAAATCTTGGCTTAGTACATATTATGTTGCACAATGATAACATCCCACCCTAAATGATATAATAAACAGGTTCTTTATTTTTTTTGCCAGTTGTCAAATGAATCCTGATGTCTAGATGTTAATACCCATTGTACCAATATTGGAAGAACAAAAGGCTTAGTATGCTGGGTATAAAACCGGGAGCTAGAACCTTGTAAGATTTCAAAAGTAACAGATAAATGTGGAAAATATAGCCAGTTTCCAACGTGACAGATTTACTCATTTTAGAGTACAGCAGCAAAACTCTACAAGTTTGCTTACAAGAGAAAATTTAAATGCATCATTTATGAAATACATTTTAAAAGACAAGATTCTTCAATCCGAACCTTTTAAATGTTACATATCAGTGACTACAGTATTCTCAAAATAAAAATAAATGCAGCAACTCACAAACCTTTATTTAAAAAAAACCAAAAAAAAACAAAAACACAAAGAAACAGGAAAGACATTAAGTTGCACACATGCAAATTGTGTGTGTTCACTCATGTGTGCGCGAACACACACACACACACACACTGTGCTTGATATCCTAAGTTTGCTGTCATTTCCACATTTGAAGCTGGGTGTGGTGGCTATGAATAATGCCTGCTGGTATTATGCCAAAACATTATCCAGTTTCCATATACATTCTACTCAAACTATTTCAAATCTCCAAATCCCTGAAAAGTCATAAAGCCGCTGGTTCACGTGATGTTTGAAGTATTAAATCACTGGAGATGTGTGTAAAGTTCAGCAGCCCTAATGAAAGAGAGCCATTTACAAGGCAGGACAAAAGCCAAGCTGCTTTACAAAAGGTGTTCGGGTCTAATTGAACCATGCAGAAGCAGCACATTAGCCCTCCTTGGCCCTGGTGGTTTCTAAAGACAGCTGGTGACCTGAAAGAGACAGTTTGCTATAGGGTGCAGTGGCTGGTCCATTGGGGCAGGTGGGTGTTGGAAAGAAAAAGAGGGGGAAAAAAACCCACAAACCATTAAAGCATGATTTGCCACAAATATAACTTACAGAGACGTTAAAGGGATTCTATAAGCACTCAGAACACGTCATCTCATTAAAGTGGTCTTGGTGCACGGTCCCGGTCCTCTTAACCCTACAGCTTAGAACATTGCAGTACTAAAACTGGCTCTAGTGGCTTTCTATCAGACAGCCATTAGAGGTGCTTCCTGCGGTTTCACAGAGTTTAACTCAGTAAAACGACGCTGGACGTTCCCTTGCTTGGCATGAGGTTTCCCAGCTTGATGAAATACTTTCCTATGGAGCAAGCCTAATGTGAATGCAGTGCTCACCAAGCATCAGGTTCCCCATTGCTGTGACGTCAGAGGAGGCAGACAGAGCCAGCGAAGAAGGACCTCAGGGGTGGAGTCGGGTAAGTGATTAATGGGTTTTTTAACCCTCTGTTTTAGGATTTCAGGTAAAAGCCTCTGTGCTTGGGATATTTGCTCGACTTTCATGTCAAATCTCGAAATGGCCTCATTGATTTTGAAACAACGGGTAGAGGTTTAGGAACGTTGGACTGCACAGATATGATGGCACCCATGTAGTTGCTCCACATAATGATCTGGGAATAATGCACATATCAACACTGGTCTGTTCGGGGACCTTAACATCAGGACGAACCAGGACATTGTTGTCTCAGACTGCCATTAGTGAGAGTCAAATCTGCCTCTTAAGACTGTAACGTCTACTAATCTAATCTAATGGTAAATACGTAAACTCTAGGGTAGTTTAAAACCTCAAAACACTGACACCAACCCTAAACCCCTACACTACCCCAACCATATCCCTAACCATTAACTCCTGTGAGATGTTACCCTAACAAGTCCTAGCCCAAAACTATCAGATAAGATATACAATGATTTGAGTTGAATTAAATTAATACCAATTCAAGGTTCACGTTTTATTTTGAGGTCTCAAGAATAATTTTACCAATTACACGGTTCATACACACATACATATGTATAATATTTTATATATATATATATATATATATATATATATATATATATATATATATATATATATATATATATATATATATATATATATATATATATATATATCTCAATGTTTGAGGAATTTATAGCATTAAAATGTCAATTACATCTCAATAAGAAGCATTTGATGACGTTCAGCATACTCATGGACACCAAAAAAAAATAGCAATGCTTTTCATTGCAGACTAGAATTACAAGACCTTCGTCACTACATTAATATGAAGCTGTAATGGCCGTTCAACTATAGTCATGGATTAGCTATTTTGCCATTTCGATTTCAATTCATTGCAACTCTGAGTTTAGTGAATAATCCCCCTTGGTTTAGGGGCAAGTAGGTATTTCCAAATACACAGTGCTCCATGTAGAATAAAATAGCATCCTAAAGCACTCAGTAAGGAGAATTTGTGCTTTTTAAAGACAAAATGAAAGTAAATTATTATTTCTTTTAAATTATTTCGCAGATATTAACCCAATACAGGTTTTGCAGCTTTCTGAAAGGATTAACATGAAGCTTATGTTTAACCCCTTAATGACCAAACTTCTGGAATAAAAGGGAATCATGACATGTCATGTGTCCTTAAGGGGTTAAAGGACCACTATAGTGCCAGGAAAACATACTCGTTTTCCTGGCACTATAGTGCCCTGAGGATGCCCCCACCCTCATGGCCCCCCTCCCGCCAGGCTCTAGAGGGTGGAAGGGGTTAAATTTACTTCTTTTTCCAGCACCGGGCAGGGGACTCTCCTCCTCCTCCTAATCATCAACGGCTGAATGCGCATGCGCGTCAAGAGACAGGCGCGCCTTCAGCTAGTCCATAGGAAAGCATTCTCAATGCTTTCCTATGGACGCTGGCATCTTCTCACTGTGAAAATCACAGTGAGAAGCGCAGAAGCGCCTCTAGCGGCTGTCAATGAGACAGCCACTAGAGGCTGGATTAACCCATAGGTAAACATAGCAGTTTCTCTGAAACTGCTATGTATATAGAAGAAAGGGTTAATCCTAGCTGGACCTGGCACCCAGACCACTTCATTATGCTGAAGTGGTCTGGGTGCCTATAGTGGTCCTTTAAGGTTAGAGTTTTCCTTTCTTTGTTTAGATTAACCCCTTAAGGACCAAACTTCTGGAATAAAAGGGAATCAGGACATGTCACACGTCATGTGTCCTTAAGGGGTTAAAGGGGGCTTCCTTGTTTAAAAAAAACAACAACAAAAAACACACACACACCATTCAACTTAAGCAATTCCTATGATTTTTGTCTAGTCCAATGCTTGTCCTTCTCATAGAGAAACATTAGAAACAGAGGGTGCATATGTAGCAATCTCCACACTCAGCCAATCCAATATTTGTCATAGATACGTAATGTATCCAATGCCTTTCAGCGAGAAACACTGAATCCAAGGTTTCTTTATGTAAAGCATCAGATTTGGTCATGGTCATCATGCTGTGCAATAACACTGACCATACAGACCTTTTAAAAAGATCTACATTAAAAGGGACATTGTAGGCACCCAAACCACTTCAGCTTATTGAAGTGGTCTTGTTACAGTATCACTATTGCACTTAGTGTTGCAATGTTACACATTTCAGTTCCAGAGAAACTGCAATGTTTACATTGCAGCACAAAGTCTGCCTCCAGGATCTTAACGGACCTTAGGTATAGTAACCAACGCTGGATGTCTTTAAACTCTGCATGAGGACATCCAGTGTAAGATTTTTTCCCATAGGAAAGCACAGATTTAATGCTTTCCTATGGGAAGGTCTAATGCATGCACATCATTTACCTTGCATGCGCATTAGCACCTGCTTGTTGTGGAACGTCAGAGGCATAGCATCGATGCTGGGGTAAGTTTAGTAAATGAAGGGTTTTTAAACATTTAATCACATTGGTGGGGGGGGTGTGAGGGAGAGGGGAGACTACCTATAGTGCTAGGAATACAGCTTTGCATTCCTGGCACTTGTAGCATCCCTTTAAGGAAGATTATCTGAGGCTCTTCCTGATTGTAGATCCAGTCAGACAGCCACTAGTGGAGTGGTTTAGGCAACATGTAAACAGTTTAGTGTTTTCAAAATGTTTTACATTGCCAGAGAAAAGGGACAGGACGAAAACCACTACATTAAGATTTAAGTGGTAAGAGACTCCCTTTAAAAGTCAACTGCACATGTTTTGCAAATTTACTCATCACAGTTAATAAATTAATTTGAAAACTATGGTTATAAAACTAACATCAGAGAGCAAAAAACCCCACTTATTTCAAAATGTCTCCAAAAGCGAACCAAGATGAACCATAAGCTGCAGGTGTCAGTCGTGGTCAGAACATCTGAAAGATCATCAATGAACTCTGCAAGCGCCTAACCCGGATAGGCCACTTGGGCTTATCGAGGGCCCCGCAGGAACAATCTTCTTGATGTTTCTTTCCTGTTTAAGCCCAGTCAGAAGGCTGAGATAATCTTTCAAGAATGTTAAATTGTCTTTTTACTCAACAATATGTATGTAAAGAGCTTAAATGAGATACAGATTTAGTAATATCTTGGCTAAATTAATTTTAACTGAAATGGTTCCCCATTATATTTTACACAGCAGTGCGCGCACAGGAGATTAGCGGATCTACCCTCTGAGATAAAACAGGAAATATTTGACTCCTGGGGCAGACAGCGCCTGCTTCCACCTTGAGAATGCAGAGTGTCAGAATTCTGAAGACAGAACTTCTCTCTCACATTGAACTTTTAGCGAATATGCCAGGCAAATAGGAAAAAAGGCAGATTAGGAACTAATGAGAATTAGAACCAGTCAAACAGGTCTTCGTTTATAAATAGATTTGTTTTCTTAGTGTTTTAAAAGTACCACTTAACAAGTAACTCTTCAATCCTTTCAAGACACAAATGTTATTTTTACAATGTGCCAGGAATTACGAAAAAAAATAACAAAAATATAAAAAAAAAAAAAAATACATGGTACTTCCATCATGCTCAAAACCTGGAGGATGGAGAAAAAACAAACAAAAAAAAAAAACCCACAAACACACATCATTTTCAAGAAAGCAATGAAAAACAAAACATAAAATATACAGAACTCCTAATTAAAAAAAAAAAAGCTAGGTGCTAACTGCACATTTTTAGTTTGCCAACCAATACATTTCGCTGGCTCAGAATGTTTACAAAAAAGTTGCCAACTGGCCCAAACCCTGTATAAGCAAAACATTGTTGGGTGGTAACAAAAATGATCTCTTGTCTGTTTTCATTGACTGGAAGCCAGTTGCCTTGTGGATGTGCTTATCAGTTTAATTTGGCTAGGCCCAACACACCTGAAGGCAAAAAATGCTTTACATAACTGAACTGGCAATACATTTGGAGTGTTGCATATAGCATGTTTAACTGATGTGCACTGGTAGTTTTAGGCATCTTAAACATGTCAATATAACGGATATATAATTTTTATTTTATAACTTACTTTTTGTTCTTCACTCTCCAAATATACCTTTTTAGGACATGGGTTGAGGAACACTCCAAGCAGTATGGTTCTAGTGCCAGGAGCACCCTAGTAACATGCCAGTGTAAATTGCCAAACAGTTTTAGATTGTCTGACAACTTACCTGGAATCTGCGGCAGCAGCCCCTGCTTCTGGTCAGGAATGATACAAGTGTCCCCTATGTCTCTTTTTTAAGTTATCTGATGACTGGCTCATACAAATGTCCATAAACTTCAAATTTCAAAAACTAATTTGGAAAACCTACCAATACTCAAACTGAAAATATTTCACAATGCCAATTACAGGACAAGTATCGTAGGCGGTAGAAAATAAGTAAGTAATCAATTATGTACAAACGATATTGGAAGGTATTTGTACACACAGGAGCATTCCTCTTTACTTTGGGCGGGCAAGCAGGGAGGGATGTTATAAACACAATGTATACCAATAGTGATATCTCATGGACTTGTCTTCCTACTAGGCAGGGATTATCGTTTGTGATGCATCATGACAGCACAGAATATTTAGATTAAGCAGAAAAAGAATAAAAATGATCACCCAAATATTGTTCTTCCCCTGCCATCAATGACCAGCAGAGATTTACCGGGTATGTAGTTCAGCAACTTACAATGCTTTATGCATTAAAGTGTACTACAAAGGAGGTATATTATTGTAGTGGACATGCATTTATAAAATGCCACAAAGAGAGTCTTTGGAAAAGTGTATGGACTATACACCGCACCAAAATGTCATTGAACAGAGGGTGAGCATACATATGCAACAAAGTTTTGGAAATTGCTGCAATTATATTTAATAAAACACAGAGTAAGAGGGGCATGGGAGCTTTCCAAGGATCATACGTGGATCAGACTGTCAAGTTTATTCAACTCCTCATTCTCACAGATTAAATCAGAATGGTAAAACAGGGGCAAAATAGCAAAGTTGTGTTTGAGTTCGAGATTTCTTCCAATGTCAGCTATGTTTGCCTCAGTTTTTCAATTTGGATTTAATATGCAAAAATGTGGAGTTTAATGAAAAATTGTTGTGAGTGTCCCTTTAACTCTTCCTATGTTATCTATGAACCCTTGTATTACAAACTAAGCAAATATGCCACATCACAGCTGTGTGTTTTTATAAAAGATTAAAATAAACTTCTTTGTAATAATTGCTTTACCGGATTACAATGATTACAGGCTTCGTAAAAGTTGGACAGCTGTAGGTATAACAAAGTGGCAGATAAGAGAGCTTACCTTCTGATCTTCCGTAAAGTCAGAGGAGTTGGCTGAAGACTGTGCCTCTTTTTGTAACTGCCTGGCTAATCTGCAGGGCATACAAATATATTAATTTAAACTTGTACAATTTACAAACACAACAAACCAAAATTATAACATGGCATGAATCTGCAAAAAAAGCTCTAAAATGCCCACAATAAAAATTCTGCAAGCTATGTCAAGAAACAACCAATGACAACACGGCTTGACAATGATGCTTTAAATCTAGAAGACAGCTAAAAAGGTTAGGAGAGGGATTGTTTTTTAATCTAACAAAGCATGATTCAATGCATCTCAACGAGGAGATGCTTATTGGTTCAGCGCGGTGAGACCATCTCAACCATGGAGGCGGGGCCAGCTGCGGCGAGACCAGCACAGTTGGGAAAAAGAGGCAAGTAAAAACACCTCTGTAATGCAATTGGAGGGGGGCAGGTCACTTAAACACAAACAAACATTCTCTCACATACTCACAAATATTTTTTTGCTTTTCTAATCCAAGTTTACCCAGCCTCCATACCTTTGGGAGAACTGGAGTTAATCTTTTCCCTGGGGCCCAGTGGAACTCCTCTAATCCTGTAATCGTCTGGTTCTTCTTACTCTGCTCCCTCAAAAGCGCTTTAGTGTGTGGTGTATTTTACATGAGGCTAACAAGGCATTTGCCATGGGCAGCACTTTCAGGGAGGCAGCAAAGAAACTCCACCCCCAAGCGCCCTGGCAGATGCCTTGTTAGCCTCTTTCATGGGAGGCCCAAGAATGGCTGACTAGTCACCTCAGGGACCCCCCATAGGCATTCAGCTGCTCACATTAGGCAGTTGGGGGAGGTAGCGCTGTCTCTCATGCCCCACAGTGATGCCAGGAGGTAGGGAGGCTGGGTGAATTAAAATATAAATATATACTTTGTAAGTATGTGAGACAATGTGGGTGAGTGTGTCAGTATCAGGGTGTCTGTCAGTGAATGTGTTCCAATGTGTTTGTGTCTGTCAGTATGTCTGTGAGTAAATGTATGTGTCTGCGAGTTAATGTGTGCATGTCTGTCACTGTGTGTCTGAGTTAAAAAGTGTGTGTGTGTCTTCCAGTAAATGTGTGTGTGTGTTAGTGAACTTATGTCACTCTGTCTGATGCTTTGGTGCCCTTCAATGTAGGAAGGCAAACCATTTGCCTGATAACCTGGGGCCTGTTGGATGTCAGTCCCTGCTTCTCCAAAGCCAAATGCGCTCTTCAGGCTTAAATGCTTAGCTCATTAGCTGACAAAGGTCAGCTGACTTTTACAGCCAACGAGCTAACCCTTTACTACAGGGCTTGGCTCACAAGAGTTAAATTGGGCAGCAGTCTCTGCCCTCCTCTTCAGTACTGGAAGAGGAGAGGGAGGGACTAGCACACGAAAGACCCTTGGTAAATTGTCAAACCGTTTGATTGTTTACATAGGGGTGGGGGGAGGCTCGTGTTATGGGTCTTAAAGTATTTTCACTTTGTTGACGACTGCTTGTTACGCTGCCGGAGGTGGATTTACTGTAATGCACAATTTAAAGGACACCATCCAGTACAGTGGGCTTACTCCTAGGACAGTACTAGAGGATGCATGTTCTTGTCAATCCAAGATAAGAGGGAAATAACCCTTCTACCTATCACCATCAGATTATGAACTGAAGATACAAAACAGCGCAATCATGCCCAGCTCTTCGGCCAGCACACTGCTATTGAACCGAGTTACAGGCTGCAGCTGCCGACTGGAAGGACAGGATTTGTATGCACTGGTGCTGCCTTAAGATTAAAGGAACCCATGTCCTAAAATAAATTCATACAAAGCAAAGTGTTTAGAATCATCTTATGGCATTATTTTACTTTAATAAACCCATTCATAAAATCTGGTGGTTTGTTTAGGACTTCTCCAGAATTGTTATATATACACCCACCATACAATTGAAAAGCAGTAAACAATATGTATATGTGATATACCCACAGATAGGCAGAGAGAAATGGACAGACACAATATCATCTCAGACACATCTTGAAAATAATCTATTTGAGAATTGACTAAAATCAGTCGGGAGTTTGAAACGATATGATCTCCCTTCAAATTATACATTCATTTTACTTCACAAACGCACACCAGATTATTAAAACATACAAGAACACATTCACGTTTTTTCTGTGCACATTTTTTCCCCTTTAGTGGTTTTAACAACTTCATTTATAACGTCTGACTGTTCATCTGTGTGTATAGATTTGATCTTTCCTCCACATCCACATCCTGCAAAAAGACTCCACCTAAAAACAGCCAGAGAGTTTGGGTGGGAACCTGAATACTATTGCTTGAAACTGAAAGCGATCAGCTGTATTTCTAAAAGTATAAAAAAAATAAGGAATGAAAACGGTTTGCTTTTTTCCCCCCACAAGAAACTCACAGATAATCCTACTTACATTGCCTAAGCAATTTAAGGTTTTTACGATTGGAGGCTGATAGAGTTGCAAACAGTGACATCATATATCCCTAAAATAACCGTTACCATAACCTATGCAGCATGAGGGCAGACACACAGAAATCTGAGCATGCGTATGTGATCGACCATTTACCCAAACTCCACTGTTACCATCACGTTGAACTTTGCAAGCACCTCCACATCATGCCACATCATTGTCTGCTGCATGCAGGGATATATCCCAAACATGAATCCAGTTGCTTTTCATTGACAAGGAAATGTTACTGTGAGATTGTAAAACCCAAACCATGCGTGCTGGTGGCCCAGGAAACAGTTGTCCCTTGCCAGCCCTCCACTGACAGGGATACAGTTAATCAACTGGGTTCCTGCCAACAATGTGAATTTATGCCAAAAAATGCTATCACTACTACAAATCTATTGCCACAGAAATCCTGCCAAGAGCAGAACAGTATCATAGGATTTGGACAAAACAAAAAGCATCACCAAATATCTGATTGTTAGCTTGCACACATGAAAGAAAGAAAAGATGGCCTTAAATTGGCCATGGTTTTTTTTTTTTTTTTTTTAAACTTTCCTTATGTTCCCAGTTTCTTTGAGACACTCCACTGTCTAAATAATTTTTAAAAATTACTAATTAAAAATCACTCTTTAGTAGACAAACACTAAATGAAAAAAAATGAATTCATTATGCACAAAAACATCCAATTATCCAAAAACACCATGCAAAAGCTGCAGTTCTATTTTGTGCTGCATTTGCAAGCCCCCAGCCTAGACTATTTGTTGCTGTCCAATCATAGGCTTCCTAATGCAGCTCAATGAAAAGTATGTGCAAGGCAGGTGCTTTGAGCTATTGCTGCCTCTTGAGTTAAGCTCCACTGAGCTAAACAAACCAGGAAGTTGCAAGAACTGAAGTCTGATTGAAAGTCAGGGGGTGTAACAAGATAAATTATAAAAGTAACAATTTCTATAGAAATCTGCAAGAGTGGGGCGCAGCTTAGCAGTCCAGACGTCTTTGGCAACAAAAAACAGGGTGCTTTACCTGGCAATCGGCACTCACAGCACGCAGCTTCCCCTAATCATAACCGGGAGAGGTTGCTGCACCAGACGGTACCTTTCTCAGGCTCCTACGACGTCGGGCTGACACACTTGAAGCTTGCAGCCTACACGAGGCGGTGTCATGGAGAGACGGCTGCTCTCTGGGCTCTTAAGTAGAAGCTGGGACCCTGAAACTCGCTTACCCCAAGCCCCCCCTGGACTAGCCGGGGTAATCCTGGTCCCCATCTTGTTGACCACAGGCAGCCAATACTGCCAGAAACCGAGCTCCAGCACTCATCCTCAAAATGGCGGACGCGCCCTTTCCAAGTGACATGTGGCAACAGCAGGGTGCACCACGCTAGAGCGAATGCTGAAGCACCTAGACAAGATTTTCGCCCGCTTCTGGGATCAGATGGAGGTACGGGCAGCAGTGGCAACTAGGGGACAGAGGAGTGGAACTAGGAGACAGAGGAGTGTACGGAGGCGAGCAGGAGAAGGGGCGCAACCTCCAAACCAGCATCCAAGCCTCACACAGTAAGCCCACCTGGGCAGAGAGCCAAAAGGGATTCCCTCCCAAAGCATCACCCACAGAGGCAGAAGCGCAGACCCCACAAGAGACGACTGACCACCCAAAGCGTCTGTCACCTCCCATAGAGGAATGAGTAGGACTCAAATGAGAGACACCTGGTCAGTGGTACAAAGATGCAGGCCCTCAACAAGGCCTGGGGCTGGAGAGAGGCCACGCATAACCCCTACCCAGAATTGCCTCCAGAATGCCTCAAGATGTTACCGGCAACAGCCAGAGACTCTACCGAGCCAAGGCATCGTCTGACATCGACATACTACCCTTTTTATTATATTTGATAAGGTGAGTTTCAGGGGGGACTAAATTGTGTATTCAACACTAAAGGGTCAGTAATACACATTTGTGTTTCTGATCCTAGTGTTCCTTTCAGTGATTAACCCTTGCATAGAGGATTGCTTGCTTAACAAAGAATTGTGGCAAATTACAAAATTCAGACTAATAAGATTATTTAAACATTGAAATGTAGGGAACTGAATTCTGAAAGACAGACATTGAGAGGAGGGTAAAAAGCCAAGCTGTGACTAGCTAAATTAGAGGATTATTCCATATCAGGAACGTTTACATATATTTGATCACTCAGACTTCAATTTGTTACGACGCTTGGACTATAGCTCTGTTGTAGAATGTTTCCAACTAGTTTAGGCCTAACGTCTGAAATTCCGTTTTCAATTGACCACATTCTACCTGGAAAATTCAGAACCCCCATTACTACAATTATTTTATTAATACACAAATGAAATAAAGAAATCATTATTTGCATACCTGAGGGTGAACCAGGAACAGGCTGCAAAATATTTATCGAAACCAAATGTGAATCAGACAGCAAAACAAACGTTGCCAACCTATCTACAATACAACGGCTGTTGGAACAAGGCAAACTCCAAATCTGCTTTAGTGGATGACCCGGGAGTCCTTCACAGCAAAATTTGCCTGCATTCAGGAAGATAAACAAAAGAACCAAGTACAGGTGGTCTCACTCTATGGTTTCAGAGCAATATAATATTCAGATTCTCAGACCTGGATGTAGTTTTCAATAGTGTAATAATTAAAACATGTAAACTTGTTTAGGCAAGATGTGTAGAAAAAAAAAGAGAAAAGAGAATGGAAAGGACACTTCAGGCATCATAACTTGGTTCCAGAATAACAGTTGGTATAGTAACGAAAGGTCCCAGGGACAGGCTTGCCTTAAGGTGAAAAAACATTATTGAACATTTTAACCCTAAAGTCTTCAATCTGGTGCCGGTCAGCTCTGCCCCTTCACTTACTGACAACACTTTCAACCTATCACTGGCTCCCCTATTCTCAGCATAGAGTGAAAAAGTGCCATATCTTTTTCACTCTGTTTTGTAAATGGGGAGCCACTTCCTGATTGAAGCCTTGGTCTGGAACGGAAGTGTAGGGGCAGTGCTGGCGGGCATTGGACTAAAGACTTTGGGGTGCACCATAACAACCCCATTACAATTAAGTTGTTATGCTGACCAGAGTATTCCTTTAAAAATTGAACAAGAACACACTTCTACAGGCAGGATTACTTACCAACGTGAGATTCAAAGTGAACTTAACATCTTAGGCCAAACAAAGAAGCCAAATTAAAGCCAAATTCTCTAAGTCAGCCATGTTTTAGTTTGGCTATTTTAGCGTAAAATGGAACTGTCATCTCCCCTACAAAATGAGTATTTCGTAAAGATAAATCTGTATGAAAAACACATACTGACGGTGTTAACATTTCCCCCAGTTAAAATATATACTTAAACAAAGTGAAATAAAATGAGGTTATGTTAAGTACATACATGGTGAGTCAAGGTGTAAGTTTTTGAGGGCTATAAAGCATACTTTTTATTGGGAAAATATAAATATGATAAAATTAAAAAGGACATTGTAAGCACTATAAACCATTTAAAGCAACACTGTCACCCCCATGAAAAATGAGTATTACATAAATATAGAAAGAGATATACAGAGACAAAGGAGGGACTGTATTTCTCCTCCGCCTGACTTTCCGAGACTCAGGGCAGAGTCTAAGTGTCAATCCCCACAGCTTTACCAGTAATGGCTGCAGGGAATTGGCAGTGTCTATGAAGGATACCGCAGTCTTGCAGGATCCTCCATAGACCTCAGTGATGTGTGAGCGACAGTACAGCAGCGACATTGGCTCCCGGCGCTGAAGCTCCAGGAGCTAAAGATTAGCAGACAATAAGATGGTAGTGCCAGCAAAGGACAGGTTCAGGTAGGTAAATCTCAACTTACCTGCCCCCAGGGCTACCAGAACCTCAGCTGCAATGCCATTGCTGGAGGTCTTTGCAAATTCAACAAAGTTCTTCAGATGGTGACAGTGCCGCTTTAATGTAAATTAATTGGTTGTAGTGCCTGAAGTGCCCAAGCACTGTCCTTCCATTCTGTGTAAGGACATTTGTAAGCAGTTTAACACTGAATGACGGTATATATAAAAACAGCTTGCAAAAACTGCAGATTTCATTCATGCAGCCTTTGTAAATCCTTCCCTCCTAAACCCGCCCAGACTTTCTGTGGCTGTCCAGTCACAGACTTTTCAATGCAGCTCAATGAGAAGTCTTTGAAAGGCAGGTGCTCTGGGCTCCACTGAGCTAAACAGACCAGGAAGTAACAGGAATGTTTTTTTGATTGACAGAAGTGGCAGTGCTGATGGGTACTGGACTGAAGACTTTGGGGTATAACCGTTCATTGACGGTTAAACCCATGAGGTAAGATGGCACCTAGGAGTTGGATGCAGGGGGTTTAAGGTTAAATTTTAACAGTGTCAATTTCTATTGAAACGTGCTATTTTTTTTAAATAAAAAATTATAAAAAAAAAGATGACACAATGTTTACTCTTAAAGCACACAGAAGTGCTTTTGCGGTCTGGAGTGTCCATTTAAAAGTAACAGTGCATCCACGGCAGTGTCAGTACTATTGCTATTTAGTGTGCTATATAGTGTGCTGCTATTTGGAGGCTTTGAAAAATGAATGCATTTAATTATGCATTTTTGCACTGGGAGTGTATCCAAAAACAGCATTCAAAAGCTGCATGTTCTCTTGTGTGCTGCCTTTGCAAGCCCTCCCCTTCTAACACAGCCCAGACATTATGTGGCAGTCCAATCACAGACTTCTAATGCAACTCAATGAGAAGTCTTTGCAAAGTAGATTCTGTGGGCAAACAGCCTGTTTCTTAAGTTTAGCTCCACTGAGCTAAACTAACAGGAAATAATAGGACCATTTGTCTGACTGACTTCCAAAGGGGTGTAACAAAGTTAATTTAAAAAAGTGCCAATTTCTACTGAAATCTGCACTTTTTGTAATACACAAAAAAAAAAAAAAAAGGAGGACGCCCTCTTCATACATGAAGCACTTTAGAAAGTGCAAGTATTTTAGAGTTCTGCAATGTCGATAAAAATAACACTGCAGGGTTATTTCATTATTATAAGGGGACATTAAGCACCAAAATATTACACTTTAATATATATTTTTTGGTGTTTAGATGCTGTCCGCTTTACTCAGATAATGCAAAACAAGCTGTGACAGCTACTAGAAACACCTCCTCCTTGAGACTTTCAATTCTTTAAAAAGGTCTTTACATTCAACAAGATATTGAGGATACCAAATGCTTCTAAAGATTTTCACAGAGAAGGATTGGATTCACTGCTTCTCTATAAGAAGTATTGTATTGGCTGAGCATGGTGATTACAAAGTGTGAGCCATTGGTTAACAATAATCTCATTGTAGGAGAAGCAGCAAGTGTGAGATGACTGCCCAGATGCTATATGGCTGGTAGGCTTAAAAAAAGACTTGTTTTTCACTTTTTAATTTGTTTATTTTAACAAATGAAAGCCCTGAATTGAAAGTAAAAAAATAAACCGCGGGGGCGGGGCCTGACCGGTCGCATGCTACTGAGGCTCCTGCTGAATCCAAACTAAAATCATCAGAAACCATGGACCCACCACAGGCAAACGTGAGCAGAGATCCATTAATGTGCACAGGAGATGATGGACGGCACTGCAGACTCCAAGCTCAGGAGTTTTGGGGCCTTTGCGGTGCGCAATTTCAGAGCCTACCACCTACTTGGGTGAGACGTGGGGCAGACGGCCGCTGCCCTGCCAACAAGCCTGGCTATCCCGACAAAACCCTGTGACACCTCTAGCGGGCCCCGTTCTCCCCCCCCCCCCCTTGGCCCGGGGGTCATCCCAGTCCCCACTGGAGGTAACTGACTCTCCGCAACACACCCCCGCAGGGAATGCACGACATCAGAAGACGGGGAACACAGGGGCCCTGCCTGGCAGTCTCGAGGCCCACACCGGACGTGACTGTGCCCATCACCCACAGGCAGCCCAGCAAAAGAAAGCAAATCATACTCACCTGGGGATAAAGCGGTGAATCCCAACTGTCTCACCTCCGCACCATGAACTTGGGCCTGGTCTCCACGACAGCCTTCCTGGGTCTTGAGTCCAAGAGGTCAACCCTCCAACCGCAGCCCAACGTCTGGACTGACCACACTTACCGGGAAATCCATTGCCAGCCTTTCATGGAACCGGAACCGAGGGAACAGATGGTTGGCTCATACAGACCCCGGGGCTGGCAGCGTGGCACACACCGGACCCACCCCAATAGCTGGACGCAACTACTGCTCCACACGGATCGGAGACCTGGGAACAACATGCCCGGCAGACCTTGCACACCTGACAACTTGTCGATGGGGAGCGGAGAGACTTTCCCAAAGAAACCCAGTGGAGCCTTTCAGTTTGGTTTTCTTTTTTTTAGTTCGAAAGCTTATTATTACCTTTACCTCACTTTAAGCAAGACAAAATTAATGCTATGCGATAAGGGCTTGGTGCTGCCTTCAGTGAACCTTAACAGTTATGCTATGCACCATGTGGACATATAATGACTGCCTGATCATCAGATGCAATGCTATACATACTCCTGTCGTATTAGTTATAACATAGTACAGCTTGAACAGTGTAGCATCTTAACGTTTTTATCAGTGTTATCATTGTTCCACTTATATTATTTTACATACGTTAGACAGTGGGCGAATGTATCTGCCAATATACGACCTGTATACACTGCAGCATGCTACAGCAGCGCAAGCCCCTTGCAGTTAAACCGAGCGCCAGACTTAGAACCAGGCTACCATACACGGATTGCTTACCTGCTTATAGTCGCATGTTATGCCATGCAACCTAATTTTCAACTAATGTAGCGTCACCGTGCACCAAAATGCTTAACTACGGCTATAAGCTTACACCTGATGTCACTACAGAAAGCATACGGTTAGCCAAACCAATATCTAGTCTGTAAAACGCTTGACCCCTCAGTAATTGTATGTTTTGAACTGTAACTCTTACCCTGACGTAACCTCACGCGATTTAACTTGATTATATAATATAAAATTGTGCCGAATAACCGCATGCCATGTCAACTCTACTGTTTTTCATACACTTGCTAATGCTGTTGCAGCACCGCAGGTATAAATGTTACTCGTTTCCTCATGCACAAGTAAAAATAAAGAATTTACAAAAAAAAAAAAGAAACCAACATTAAAAATAAAGGAACACTAAAGCTAAAAATAAGTTTAAACATGATATGCTCATGGAAAGTGTGTGTACCAGTGGTGTTTAAAAGGGACACTATACCCTGCAGCCCAGGCAACAGCGTTCCCACATTATGATAATACGAGCTAAGGACGGCACTCTTAGAACCTCCCCTGACGACATTGACCGGGTATTCACTGATTATTTTAAAGCCTTATATAACTATTCCACTGATGACAATCTGTCGGCTACTTCTGAGATCAACCGTACGAAAATGTGCTCCTTCCTCGCGAAAAGTAATTTACCAAAATTGTCACATGAAGCAGGGGCAACACGAGGTGCTCCCATTACAATGGAGGAGGTAGACAGGGCCATATCGTTATTGAAAGGTGGCAAGGCCCCAGGCCCGGATGGCTTCAATGGGGGATATTATAAAGTATTCAGAGAAGAGCTGACCCCGCACCTCACTGCATTATTTAACGATTTAATGTCAGGAGGCACCACGGATAGAGATATGTCCCACGCCAGCATAATCCTACTACCCAAACATGCCCTATTACCTGAGGCATACAGACCTATCTCCTTAACCATGATGCAAGGATTTTACCAAAAATCTTGGCAGAAAGGCTTAAAGGGATTCTTCAGTGCCAGGAAAACAAACCATTTTCCTGGCACTGTAGGTCCCCTCCCCCTCCAAGTTGCTGAAAGGGTTAAAACCCCTTCAGTGACTTACCTGTATCCAGCGCCAATGTCCCTCGGCGCTGGGTCAAGGCCGCCCACAATCCTCCCCGGCCGACGTCATCCTGCGGGGGAGACCTAATGCACATGCGCGGCAATGCCACGCACGCGCATTAGACCTCCCCATAGGAAAGCACTGAATAATGCTTTCCTATGGGGATTTCAGCGATGCTGGAGTTCTTCACATATCGTGAGGACGTCCAGCAACGTTATAGCACACTTTTCGTGTTCTATTGGACAGCCACTAGAGGAGGACTTAACCCTTCAAGGTAAATATTGCAGTTTATGAAAACTGCAATAATAACACTTGTAGGGTTAAGGGTAGTGGGAGTTGGCACCCAGACCACTTCAATGGGCAGTGGGTGCCTGGAGTGTCCCTTTAGTCCATACCCGGGCCACTTGATTAATGCGGATCAGGTAGGTTTCATCCCAGGGCGACAGTTATTCGAAAACACGAGACGTATTATTGACATGCTTTGGAAACTAGCACAGACCCAGACCCCTTCCCTAATTTTATCCCTGGATGCGGAAAAGGCATTTGACCGCGTGAAATGGCCTTATATGTTTGAAGTCTTCAGACACTTCAACATCCCGGATGCCTTCCTTGCCACTGTACAAGCCATGTATACCAACGTCGCAGCGCAAATACTACTCATGGGCTCCTGCTGCAATACCTTCTCCCTGATTAATGAAACTCAGCAGGGCTGTCCTCTATCCCCACTACTTTTTGTCCTGACACTAGAACCGCTCCTACAGACAATACGAGAACATCCTTCGATTACTGGGGTACTAATAGCCGGCCAACAATTTTTAGTTTCAGGATATGAGGACGATGTTCTGCTGACACTCACTAACCCTGCGGAATTCATGCAGGCATTGGTTCCGCTACTGGCAGAATATGGCAGCCGGGAAGGAGCGCAGTAGGAATCAAGTCAGTCACAGAAGAGGTTTTTAACCACATCTGCACCACAGGAGAGGGGGCACTATAATACAAAGAAAATAAACTTTGTTTTTCTGGTACTATTGTTTCCCTTTAATGCATTTTTTTTTTTTTTTTAAAGCATACATATAGATTTTCTGCAACCCTTTGATTATGAGAAATTCACCGAAGTTCAACTTCAAAAACATTTTAAGTCACTACAGAAAACCCCAATTATCCATATTTACTGCAATACCTTTTCTTTAAAAGGAATTTTTATGGTGCACTTTACAATAAGGGTTACACTCTAGCATTATTTAAAATAAAAAAGTGTAATTTTATTATTAATTAGTGTTAGACTAATATATATATATATATATATATATATATATATATATATATATATATATATATATATATATATATATATATATATACACACATACACACACACACACACACAGTTAACTATAATGTGCAAAACTCTACAGGCTCCTTTATACTTCATATTATTCTCCAATATGCCTCTGGCTTTAAGAGGGTTGACTTGCTGACTGTTCAAAAGACAGAGCAACATTATGCATAGCAATATATTCCTCTTCAGCACTTCATGAGGCAAGAAAACACACCTTATAAATGAAACATAACCCATTTAATAAGAAATACAGGCAAAGAAGTAATATATCTGTAGCCTCTGAACACATATTGTGCACCCTGATGCAGTGGTAAGAGGAACCATAACATAATATAAGAATATATGAGTTAATGAAGCAATGAAAAAATAAGTAATTTCTTTCTATGGGCACTTATCAATTTATAACATTAAATAAATTACAGTAACATATATACAGTAATGCCCTGAAGATATAACCTGGGGTGCATTCGCTTAACAGCGAACTGTAGAGAACTGCGAACTAAACTGCAACAATTAGGCACAATATCCAAATCATGACTGTAACAGAATTGCAGATTTCTTACAAATCACCACTTCCTGCAAATCTATTTATTTTAAGTCACTACAATTCAGTGTTTAGTGAATATGCTCCAGTTTTTAATCACACACACACACACACACACACACATTTTAAACCTATCGCACTAAAAACTTTGTGTGTGAGACTATTATTTATAAATCTCAGAAAAACATAACATTTATAAATGTTACACACAGATCAGACAGACCTATTATGGGTCACCAATGTTTAATTTTATATACATACACACACACACACACACATATATACACACACACACACACACACACACATTTTTTAACATATCTCACAAAAAAAAAAAAAGTTTGTGTGTAATAATATCATGATTTATAAATCTCCCATAAATATAAGCTGTATAAATGTTACATACATGCAGGTCACACCTATCCCATATTTATTATTATTATTATTACACACACACACACACAGACAGACAGACAGACAGACAGACAGTGCATGGTGACAGTAAGTGTGGATACTGAGAGCTCCCATGTTGCCCAGTGTGGGGTGAGCCACTTACATCTGGTACTCATCAATGGCCTCCACCAGTTGCCCCCACGAGTCGAAGTCCGTGCCCTTGCTGAAGCTGGCATGCCATTTGTGCAGGGTCTTATTGATGTCACCCATGGCTGGGCACGGCTCTGGCTATCCGGACAACTCGCTCAGTGCCATCCGACACTGCAACCGGTTCCTCTGCCGCCCCTCCTCCGCGGCCAAGCCCATCACATCGACGGACAGGAAGCCCCGCCGCCCATTCACAGTCCCAGCCCTTCCCTTACTACCATTTGCGTTCCAAGCCTCCCTTCCACGTCTAACCACGCCCTCCACATCAATCGGCTGGCTCTCTAGTCCAAGCTTATTGGCTGGAGGCTGGCTCGTGAGGCCACGCCCACTTATATATCATTTCAACGGCCGCGCGTCGTTACCCCTGGCAACGGCTTTGGCTGCTCAGGGCGGGGGATTCACCACGCATGCTCAGAGCGCTTTTGGCTGGGAGATGACGTCATTTAGAACCTGCAGACGGGCGATGGCGGTGTTATTACTACCGCAGCGGCAGACTATACAACGGGGCGTGGTCTTTTGCCTGGAGCTGGTGACGCATGAGAAGTGGGCGGAGTAACTTGAAAGTAGGTGCTGGATGTCTTGTGTAATGACGTCATGACCCGGAAGTGTGGCTGTGACAGGCATATACATAGTAGATCGCTGGGTGTTGGTACCTGGGGGATACCGTATAGTGTACTCCCTGTATGAGAAGGGAAAGGAGGCCTACCCTGGCAGGTGAGTATAGAGAGAGAGAGAGAGAGAGAGAGAGAGGAAATGGTATATGTATTATTATTATAATCCCACTCACTGCACATCCATTTACTGACCATTCCTGATATATATAGGGGGTCTACCTGGACATTGCAGGTGGGATTATCATACAATGCACTGTGGGATTGGTTATAACAAGTCTAACTCATATAACTAATCATATAACTAGCCTCTCACACTGACACACACATAACTAGTCATATAACTAGCCTCTCACACTGACACACACACACAACTAGTCATATAACTAGCCTCTCACACTGACACACACACAACTAGTCATATAACTAGCCTCTCACACTGACACACACACAACTAGTCATATAACTAGCCTCTCACACTGACACACACACAACTAGTCATATAACTAGCCTCTCACACTGACACACACACACACAACTAGTCATATAACTAGCCTCTCACACTGACACACACACACACAACTAGTCATAACTAGCCTCTCACACTGACACACACAACTAGTCATAACTAGCCTCTCACACTGACACACACACACAACTAGTCATAACTAGCCTCTCACACTAGACACACACACACAACTAGTCATATAACTACTAGCCTCTCACACTGACACACACACAACTAGTCATATAACTAGCCTCTCACACTGACACACACACACAACTAGTCATATAACTAGCCTCTCACACTGACACACACACACACAACTAGTCATATAACTAGCCTCTCACACTGACACACACACACACAACTAGTCATAACTAGCCTCTCACACTGACACACACAACTAGTCATAACTAGCCTCTCACACTGACACACACACACAACTAGTCATAACTAGCCTCTCACACTGACACACACACACAACTAGTCATATAACTAGCCTCTCACACTGACACACACACAACTAGTCATATAACTAGCCTCTCACACTGACACACACACATAACTAGTCATATAACTAGCCTCTCACACTGACACACACACACAACTAGTCATATAACTAGCCTCTCACACTGACACACACACAACTAGTCATATAACTAGCCTCTCACACTGACACACACACAACTAGTCATATAACTAGCCTCTCACACTGACACACACACACAACTAGTCATATAACTAGCCTCTCACACTGACACACACACAACTAGTCATATAACTAGCCTCTCACACTGACACACACACACAACTAGTCATATAACTAGCCTCTCACACTGACACACACACACAACTAGTCATATAACTAGCCTCTCACACTGACACACACACACAACTAGTCATATAACTAGCCTCTCACACTGACACACACACACAACTAGTCATATAACTAGCCTCTCACACTGACACACACACAACTAGTCCTATAACTAGCCTCTAGTCATATAACTAGACTGACACACACACAACTAGTCATATAACTAGCCTCTCACACTGACACACACACAACTAGTCATATAACTAGCCTCTCACACTGACACACACACACAACTAGTCATATAACTAGCCTCTCACACTGACACACACACACAACTAGTCATATAACTAGCCTCTCACACTGACACACACACACACAACTAGTCATATAACTAGCCTCTCACACTGACACACACACACAACTAGTCATAACTAGCCTCTCACACTGACACACACACACAACTAGTCATATAACTAGCCTCTCACACTATAGTCACCCAGACCACTTCAGCTCAATGAAGTGGTCTGGTTGCCATGTCCCTCAGGTTTCAGCTATGTTTACAAAGCAGGGTCAATCCAACCTCTAGTGGCTGTCTTCCTGACAGCCGCTAGAGGTGCTTCTGCGATGAATGATAGAATGCGCATTCCACTCCACTCAAGAGCTGATGTCGGCGGGGGAGGAGGAGAGGTCACCAGTGCCAAGGGAGCCCGGCGCTGGGTTAAGGTAAGCTGCTAAAGGGGGTTTTAACCCCTTAAACACCACGGGAGGGGGCCCTGAGGATGAGGGTCCCCCAAGGATGACATAGTGTCAGGAAAATGGGTTTGTTTTCCTGACACTATAGTGATCCTTTAAGGTAGGTAAGTATTTTTCATAATAGTTCACATACACTTCTATTTTTTAAACTACTTTTATTTTGATAGGGAAAGCATTGTAATGTGCTAAACATTATTTATTTAAGAGGTTACTCAAACCCTTTTGGGAGGGGGGTTTGCTGTGTAAAATGCTTTATTGGACGCTATGGAGAAGGTCCACCTCCTCGATTTGCAGTATAACCTGCAAAACAAGAAGTTTACTTACCTGGAATCCAGTGAGGGAGGGGGAGTCAATCTTTCCCTTGCAAGCGCTCCGCCTGCGGTGCACACTTATGACAGAAAGTTTTTATGCACAGAATTGACATTACTTTTGAGTTCTGCACTGGCAATACCACATGCGGGTGTGAAACTAGTCCCCAGCGCACAATTAACATAACTTGCGAGCTGAAACACTACATTTACAAACTCCTACCACCATGACCACTTAAAATCACTGAATGGTGGTTGGGAGTAATTCTTTAAGATGACCGTTGTATTTTAACCTCTCGTACTTAATGAGAACACTACTTATTTATTGGTTTAGGAAAGCAACATCGAAAATTTATCTGATCTATGCTGTCAGTTTTAACCAAAATAAGCATCTCAGGATAAGTGAAAATAAATGTAACATCAAATACTGTAAGCGTGCAAGAGATACCATTGAGGGTTTTTGTGTGTTTGTTTTTATCATAGCTTGGCAGTTGTAATTCTAGCATTTAGCACGTCAATCAATGGCAATAATAGTTTGGGGATTATTTTTGGAATGTTTAGTTTTGTGATTACTTTCATGTGAACAGACATATTAGATTAATTTCTCAGCAAAAAGTACAACTTTAGAGACTGATTATTCTCTGGAGCGGTGTTTTCTTATATAATGCATTAATGCCAGTGTGAAAGCCAACTGGTGTATAATACAGGAAACCAAGTTGCAGATAGTCAACTGATCTACTCTGTGTTTTTTTCGTATAGAAAACATTGTTAATTTAGTAAGTGTGATAAATACTTGATAGGTGAATTATATAATCATAAAATCGTCTAATATCAAATACAGCCACAACCACTTGTACAAAGCAAGTCCTTCTTGCATATAGAAAGTTAATCATAAGTAAGGTAAGATTGCAACAAAATGAAATATTATTAAAGGAACACTCCATTGCCATAATACAATTTTTAAAATTAATAAGCACTATTTAGTAGATATATCCCCAATAAAAACATGTATGCATTTTATAATTGGGGGTATATCTAGAAACAGCTTGGAAAACCTGCAGATCTCTTGTCTGCAGCCTTTGCTAACCCTCCCCTTCTTCCCCAGACGAGATATTCTGTTGCACTCTAATCACAGGCTTCTCAATGCAGTTCAGGCATGACAGGTGCTCTGGGCAATGGGAACCTCCTTATTTTATTTCCATTAAATTAAACAACCAGGAAGTAACTCGAACAGTTCTCTAAACAGCCACAGTGTTAAAACAAAAAAAAAACGCTTTGAGCATAAGAGAGTGTTTCTTTAAAAGAAAATCATTTAGATTGCCTGGGGACTTAACATTTGCTGTCCTTTGCAACTAGCTAGGCCTTCAAAATTGCTTGCTACTGCCATCCATAGTATTCCCACCAAGGATGACTTTCTACTCAACACAGCTAATTTTTCACTCGCCATTGGCTAGTGGAGATTTTGAGTCCAGGCATCATTGATTGTGAACTTGCAGAGACATTCAGTTTAGTGCAACTGAGGCTTTAACAGAGGTATATGTCTAGAAGTAGTACTTTGTCATATCGTAACTTTTGATTTCCTTGGAATTTAAGTGAAATTGACTTTCAGTCTGTTTTGAAGTGTTCAATTTTAATATTTTGGGGGGGGGGGTGAAGGTAGGAGGGTTGTAAAAGAGCTGCTGTGCATTCTCAGTGAGTGTCTCTTACATCACGTTTTGTCTTAAACAATTGTTAATTGTTTTGCTATTTAGCAAAATATGAATCATTGTGGCATGTACCGCAGCTAGCCTTATATCAGAAAACCGCTCTACCTTTTTCATGCTGATCATAAAATGACAATTATCGCATGCTAGCCTATGCTATGTCACATGAGATAAGTATGTGATGTCAGCTGAGTAATTTTGCTCTCGTGACCTTCATTGAAAAGCAGTGTTGGGACGGCCCGTGATAACTTCTTTTGGCAACTCTGCTGCTGTGAACTGTTGGACTCACCCACAGCAGTGTTATAATTGCTATGGGGAAAATAGAACAAACATTTCTTAAATACTATGGATGATAAAATTGACCTAATGACATATTTGGACTTGTGTTTTAAACCCAATCGTATCATTTGTGAGCATCATCTTGATGCATAAATTTTCTCATGCATTTCTTTCAATGTTAAATCAGACTGATAAGCGCATAGATTGAAAGTGTCCGCTGTACTGTGCTTTGAAAATGTATCTACTTTTCTATTATACTAGATTAAAAGAACAAAGAACAGTCTATAAATTTATCATTTTATTTTATTTTTACAGTTTACACCACATTTTTCACTCTAAAAGTGAAATATTATTTTGAAGAAAGCATGCATGTACAATTAAACCAATCTCGTTGCTTATTTGTTAAGTTGTATTTGAAGGGTGTTCATTGCTTCTGAAGCCCATGTCAGCACAGTAGCCTTGTAGCTTTTTAGAAATCCAATTATTCACTTTTGCTGGTTGAGCATTATGAGGAACATAGTCCTCTGCAGTTGAATTTACCAAAACCGCACAAACAGTAGTGGTTATGGTGCTTGAAACTGTACTGTAAATATTAAGTCACTATTCTACTGATATAGCTTCTAATATACACCATTTCTAAAGTTGGTCATTTTCTGCTGCTGTTTATGCATAGATTAGTATTTCTAAGGGCCTAGAGTTGGGATAATTCTGATAATAAAATTGACACCTTTTTTATTTGTTCTAAAAATTATCGGTTTAAAATGTAGCAATATAATATTTGCATTATAAATGTTTGCCATTGCTCAACTGTTTGTTGGTCAGTAAATATTTGTCTTACTTTTTTTTCTGTAGGAATTTAGCCATTTGTTAAGGAAATAATCAACAAAAATGACCCATTGGTTTCATCGAAATCCCCTTAAAGCCACAGCTCCTGTCTCCTTCAATTTCTATGGTGTGGCATCAACCCCTGCAGCATCAAAATTATGCGGGTAAGTTCTGAAACTCTTTTAAAACCAACTTATAATAATTCTACTTTACTGCTGGATTGATTTATGTCTGAGCAGTGTTTTCAGCTTTGGTTTAAGTTTAATTTACTGTCCGGTTATAGAGCTTATAAATCTAGAAAAAATTATTTTAATTTCGTACCGACTATTGTTAATGTTTAGTAATACGCAAGAAGTTCGAAGTGGTGGCATTATGGACTTCCTTAATGTGCCTTTTTTTTCTGCAGTGATTTAAGAGCATCAAGAGCACGTCTGCTGGAAGTCTTCACAGACGGCACCAGTAATCATGAGATGATGAAAAATGCTTCCGAGGCCTATTTCTCTTTACTACTAGGTAAGCATTGAAGGCAATTACCATTAGATTGGTGCTGTGTGAAATGGACCTGCGATCGACAAATTTAAGGATGATATGGTAATGCTATAATCTATACATCGGTTTACTTCCTGACCTGTGTACTGTGATGCCCACACACCACCATTCTGGGATTGAACCATTTAAACCAGACCCCTATGAACATATTATACAGATTTAATCTGATATCAGTATTATTGAATTAACTTTAATCTGTACATCTGCTACTAGTTTTACTAACAAAATATTACAATTACATTTTATCACCTGTTGTGCCAATACTGCATTTTACGAACACTTGTAAGCCGTTTGGGTATATGTAACATAAACTAAACTAGTTTTAATTAATTTGAACATTGCAGGCTTCATTAATGCATTGGATGGAGGCACGCAGGACAACAAGCTGCGCTATATCCAGAACTTCAAGTGGACGGATACCTTGCAGGGCAATGTCCCCAGGTACTTGAAAGTAGCAAAACTTCGACATGTTGTATATTTCCCTTCAGGGTTTTAAAATTCTATGCCACTAGTTAGTGTTTAAAAGTTAATCACCACACCCCGCTACTCGATAATTCTATCTGCAGCTTTTACTGGGCCCATAGAGCGGAGCAACACTCGCGAAGACCAGACTAGCACAACATAGCACAACAAACACTAAAGCACAATTCTCGACTCTGCGCCATGTCAAGCTCAATAGACCATTAAGCAAACACTCCCCACTTCACAGATGGAACCACTCGCTCCTTGATATCGTGCCCTAGGCCCTACCACACGGGTCCCTAGAAGCACCCTAGGACCTACAGCTCGATATTTCTAAGCGAAGAAAGACCTGAATGTCTAGTTAACTAGCTTGTCATATGCAGATGCCATTCTCGTTAGAACAACTAGCCATCATGATACACTGTCGTCCGACTAAACCCTACTTAAGGATAGCTAGATATAGACCCTGTTCGCAACCTACTTGAAATTAACAAAATGCTGTTAATCTCCTGTGCGTAACATTGCATACACTACGAAAATATTTACTGTTTCAAATCGTTGTGTGAAATACTGTGATTGATTTAACTTGATACTAAGTATGTTTATTCTTACGCAAACATTCCTGACCTGTTGTATTCTACCCCCAAAAAAATAATCAAATAAAGATTGTAAAAATAAAAATAATTTACTCACCACTGCAAGCCTTTAGTGTCCATTTGACAAGTTTAACTTGAGTGGAACTTTTGAGTACTGATTGCCATTTACAAGAAGCACATACAAGAAATATTATGACTCTGGTTTGTCTATTGTATTTCATTCTCTCCCTTTAATTCTCTAAGTGGCAGTGGTTTCCTCTCTCTTTCTCATAGAAACACTTAATAATTGGACAGAACAAGTCTGAGCAGTCACATTTTAATAGAGTGCCTGGAGGGCTAATGAGACACTGACCAAAATAATAGCAAATACAGAAACCAAAACCACATCCCTTTAAATCTTTATACATGCCAACAACCTTAGTGTGAGATGTGGTCTGGGTGCAGTGGCCCTGTCACTTTTAGAATCATTTATGTTACAGGGTTATATGAGAGAGAGAGAGTGTGTGTTAGTTTTCTTGCCAATAGAACCACTTCTGTAGATTGGCATCCTTGCATGCGCATCTCCAATCCATTGCTTCTCTATGAGAATAAAGGACTTGGAGGCTATCACAGGTGATGTCAGCTTGGATGCTAACATCACTGAAGGCTGCAGCAGTGGAGTCTCGGCTCTAAACGTTTTATTCTCATTCTGTGTCATGGGATGCTCTGTGCTGCATTGTTATTGGCTGGACAAAGACCAGCCAAAGGATGCAGGGCATTTAAATCCTCTTGCTCTTCCGACAAGTCCTGTCCAACTGGATGGTGTGGATTATTTTATTTTTCCTCCCTATGCTATATGTATTCATATTGTGGCTTTTGTTGTTGTTGTTGTTGTTGTTGTTCCTATAGTCATTGTGGTCTTTCATGTTTCTGTTTCTCCTCTCCTTATATATACCCTATATGGACTTTTTGGAAAGTTCATTTCAGGTGAAAATGCCACCCTCCTAACTGAAAATAAACTCAATGTTGTGGCTAGAAAGTATAAGCACAGGAAGTGCAATTTGCAAAGTAATTATGTGTTATTGTGACTGACAGATTCACTTCATAACCTGCATTTTGATACAATATTTATATTCCAGTTTGGCTGTATATTTATATGGTTTAGTGCAGGTGATATTGATGTACTGGAGAATAAAGATGTTTTGCACAGTAGAGAGTATCCGTTTCTGTTCTCACATTGTGTTGGTGTAAATACTCACAGTCCCTGTTTTACATATTTCCCTCTGTTTTCTAGTGCTCAGCAAGATGCTGTGTTTGAGCTGGCTTCGATGGGATTCAATGTAGCCCTCTGGTATACAAAATATTCCTCAAGACTGGCTGGGAAAGAAGAGTAAGTATTCTTATGAATAATATCTGGCCATCACCTTGCCATTTCTCTGCTGATATAAAGATAGAGAACATAGATTTGACTAGTGATTCAGGGGTGATTCTAAGCAAAAAATCAATCTAAGCACCTTCTTTGAAAAGTCAGAAAATAGTGCAGAAAATATTCTGGTTGTTTCTTAGAAAGTAAGTTTACCATTTATTTATAAAAACTAATTATGTGGGATTTTTGCTTTTTATTTTAAAAACAATAATCTGGTTAGGTGGTGCCCCTATTGATAGGTCACCACTAACTCTAAATATTTATAGCTTCAGAGATTTAGGGGGGGCAGCTAAAGGTCTGAAACATGACATCAAATGAGGACTTTAACTTCCAAGATCTGTACAAGTTAATCTCTCCTTCCTTTTCACAATTTCAGTGAGAGACAAAGCTGTAGTCTTGTGACTTGTCAATCAGCTTGGGTGGTTACTGCTTACAGCCCGGATTAACACAAGCAGACTATGTATAAACTGATATCAGCCAAAGTATGGCTGGTATGAGTTTATTGAGCAATTCCACTCGCCCTGTGTGATGAGCAGTACTGCAGCAGCAGGATAAACTACACCTGCATTAGTCACTGTTGCACACTAACTTGGAGTGGTTTTGGAAGAATACAAGGAGCTGACTGGTTCTATTTCCTCTTGTTAGTGACCTACATTGTTTTAGGGGATCAATCTGGTTCATTCCTAACGTCTGAATGACCTTTAGCGGTTTTAGGGAATAAATGAGCTTATGGGTTCGTACCCCACAAATGTACTGACTACACAGAATTAAAGGAACTTTATGAACTACTCCGCTTTATTGGCTTTTTAAGCAACCTGCTTTTGTTTGTGTAAAATATGCTTTAACTAATGTCATTCCCACTTGTGAGGAACCTACGGCAACTCCGTATGATTTTTTTTTTAAATTATTTTTTTATCTTTTTTTTTTTCGTGTGGAAAGATGATAAACACGTGTATGACCACAACAGCCTCTACACGTCAATCAGCGTCAGTGCATAGTAAATACAGGCATTGCTGGATTCTTTTCACACACATTTTGTAATTACAATAGGTCTCATTGTTATAGTGAGTTAGTTAAATCGTATAACTGTGAGGGTGGAAGACACCTGTCTGCTTAGGTCACCCCTTGTTTTATGGGTTTTTTTCAGTGGAGCGGAGAGGGTGGTTACGGCTAAGTCTGGATACTATTTCTGGTTCCCTGCCATGTGTCTCGAGGTTGTGGGTGTATGGTGTGCCCCGTGGCCCTTCTGCGTATAGGCCGGGAGTGGGTTGTGGTGGTCGCGGGGTCCCTCCGTATGTTCCCCTTCTAGGACTAAGTCCGCTACCTTGTTTGTTCCTGACTGTTTGCACCCGTGTGTGTAGTGCTCTAGGAGTTGTAAGGTGTCTTTTTGTCCTAGTGGTGGCTGCGCGTGGTTGCTGGTCAATTTTACAACTCTGGCTTTGAAGTCTAGGTGTAAATAAGTCACCTGGTGTGCTGGGGTACCAGTCCTCAAAGTCTGGTATGTTCCAAGGCCAGTGTGCTCCCGTTATGGTCTGAGGCTGCCCTCCCGTCCTGTAGGCCTTGCCGCCTCAGCGTTTAGTTTTGGGGCCGGGCGTCGGGAAGAACGGCATCGGCGGTCACAGTGGGGTTCTCTGAGGTCTGTGCTTGTACGTGTGGCTGGGATTGATAGAGGATGTCCCCGATTGTGTAAGATTGCAGTGGATGGCACTGGAGCTCCGGCAATGTGCGTCCGCTCCGATCCGTGTCAGGCTCCGCCCCCAACTCCGTATGATTTCATGTACGTTAATGCTAATGCTTAGAAGTCATTCATAATATTAGAGCTGGGACAACCGGTGATAGTGCCATCTAAGTTAATTCTAGATCACTTTAAGGAGCTAGCAAATTCTGATCCATTTCATTGATTTAAAATTCTGCAGCGTTACAGAAGAAGAGGCAAAAGAAGTTCATCGGAGTCTGAAAATGGCAGCCGGTATTTTCAAACATGTGAAGGTAAGTAACAGCCATCCTATGTGTTCACGGATTTATAGACCTAGAATTTTAAGCATTAGAATTTTGTTGCTACCAACCTTTTTTGACCATATTAAATTGTTGTTGATTGGTGCTTGTAGATTGATGATTTCATTAAGTAACAAAGGCTGGAGTTGTGTAATGAATAACCCATGTGTTTTCTGTTTTAGGAAAACCATATTCCAAAACTGATCACTCCAGTGGAAAAAGGCAGAGATTTGGAAAGTAGAGTTATAGATGCCTATATTGTCCAGTGCCAAGCTGAAGCACAGGAAGGTACTTATTCCTTTCAATGTCTGGCAACAGACATCCTGTACAATTCTGTCTGGTGGTGGTGGTTGGATTTTTTTAGGGTACAATTTATGACCTTAAAGGTTGTGCTACCAGGTTTTTTTTTTACACTTTATATAGCACCATTACATTTGCTTAGCAATCACTTTCACTGAAGGCCCATTAAGAAACAATATTACTATGGACTGTAATCTCTCCAAACCCTGCTGACTTGTATGCCAGCAACATTATCTTATCCTAACCAAGGGGCATAGGAGAGAACTACTTATTTTCTATCTGCGGGGGTTGCTATTTACTCACCGTGGTATTTTTCCTATACCCAGACCAGTTCAATGATCCTGATTACATACAGGGGTATTAGCACAATGAGTTACTTGTGGCAGAAATAATTATAGTACATTTCAGCCTCAATAGAAAAAATAAAAACCAAAGAAAAGAATTACTTGCGCACTATCCCTAATCCCTATGCAAATTAAATAACTGGAGGTTTTTTAGTGTCACTCCAATAGCCATTTAATTGTACGTTCACCTGCCACGTCAAGGAAAACCTCTTAGGTGAGCTTACACTTAAATAGCCATTGCAGTAATACTAAAAACATCCAGTTATCTTTTCTTTTTATTTCATGTATTGGGGCTGATGTGTAGTATAGCCATTGTTGTCGCCCAGGATTAGTGGGCCTATGAAACGGCAGTGTTTACATTGAAATGCCTACAGAGACAAGCTATAGACACCAGAACCACAACATTAAGCTGTAGCTATAGTGTCCCTTTAAATATTTCCTTTTTCAAACTCCAACAAACACCCACTTTGGGCATTACCTTTCTCAGCTATTGAGTAGGTTTTGGCGGTTCTATCTTGGTACACTTTAGATGGGATCCTCGGTCTGAGTATGTAATGCATAAATATGTATCCCATATTTTATTAGCTTGCATTGAGTGTGCATGGTCTTCACTGAAACACCCAGGAATCCAAAAACATGGCAAGGAATCTCACAACTTTATTTTTACATTTATTTTCTTTAATTCACTGTTTATATTTGGAAGAACCCCTTGCTCTTCACAACTTGTCAAGCGTGGTCGTATTAACCTCCTGAGAATTATTTACACCTCTCCCACTGCACCGCGCTTCAATCAACACATGAGTGACAAAGAAAAGTATTTTTATTATTACATATTATATACAACCCACTAAATGCCAGGGAAATATTTTAAAATACATGAACTGAGTGAGTACAAGAAACAAGTCTTCTTGACAAACACAAAATAAATTGTTGTCTCTGGCCCTTGGAGACTGATGAATATGGGTTGTAACTCTTATTATTTTTGTTGTGCGCTAGGCATGTTATTTAAAAGCTAATTGTCCTTGTCTGACAATTATATTTGGTACATGACTATACAGTATTGGTGCAACTCATGCTTTATAACCTATTGTAACATTTCTGATTAATGCTTAACTTTTTGTCATTTATCCCTCTTATAGTCATTCATCCCTGGTCAATTGGGTACAATCAGTGTATCATTTGTTTGGCCAGTCTTTAGAATAGCTAGCCTTGTGCCGGCATGGTCTGTCACTTTAACTACCTGCCACAGAGACAATAAAGTCATTCTATGAAACTGCTATAATTGTATGTCATTTATGTTTAAAGGTTTTAGCTGATGATGAAATAATCATTTTCTTGTTTTGTGTTACTTACAGTGACTATAGCTCGAGCAATTGAACTGAAGCACAACCCTAGTCTAATTGCTGCCTTGGCCTATGAAACTGCAAATTTCTACCAGAAAGTCGGTATGTCCGTTACATGAAAAATTGGTTATAAACTTTTTATTTAAAACATTTTTTACAAATTTTTCTTTCATTCTTTTTTTTTTTTTTATTATTATTATTTTTTTATATTTTTTTTTAAGTAATACATTCCCAGCTGCAGAAATGTAGATGTTTAGTAAATAATTTTTTTTTATTATTATTATTATTATTAAAAGGTATTTTTAATAATTTTTAGGTATTTCTTGGAGAAGAATGCTCATTCAAGTCCCCAGTGCTTTATTATATGCATTAACTCACATAAGCATACAGACTTTTTTTTTTAAATTATTAATTACATATGTCAATTAGCCAGTTACTAATTTAAAATGACACTAAACTTTAACTTATTTATGACATTTTGTTAAAATAAAATTTGCATCTAATTTATCTGCTAAATCTTTGTGAAACATTATTGTGATACTGCAAAATATTAATTAATGTGAATTAATTTCAGCATGAAACATTAAAGATTAAATGAGCACTATGATCACCCTATCCATTACATGTTATTGTAGAGTTTCACCAGTTTAAAAAAAAACAAAAAAATAGAATATTACTGGAAATTAACTAATACAAGACAAAGAAATGATTCTGTAATGGCTGCAAAAATCCATATCACAGTACTTTTTCAGCATCCGAAGCCCAGCTCTCAGTGTTTGAATTGATAATACTGAAGTTTCATTTTATAATAAGATATGCGGGAATGGCTTAGTCAAAGCATCTAATAATGAGATGACCCTGTTTATTTGTTTTCATTATGTGAAGGTTGGCAGAAAACATATTTCAATAATTCTGAAATACATTTTGATTTATTACAATTATATTTTATTTTGTTCTACAGACCACACACTCTCCAGCCTAGATCCAGTTTACATTGCAAAATGGAGAAGCTACACCAAGCTGAAAATGTGTTTCTATATGGCCTATGTGAGTGCTCTGCATATTGCTGAACTCCATTTAACCAATAACTTAGCTTTATTTAAAAAATATATATATATTTTCTTTTATCCTCTCCTGGACAACTTTGCAGCATATTGTGAATCCGTCTGACACTAAATGAATGTTAAATAGTTTTCATTTCAAATACACACAAGATTTCGTCTGTTTTGGTGTAAATGGGGTTATTCCCTCCCAAACTGTCCTAAATTCTGCATGGATCACTCATTACAAGAAGCATAATTAGAATGTGAATGTACATATCTTGCCATATTTAATGAAAGGCCGTGCGTTAAGTTGTTGCTTTAGCTGCCCTTACATAAGAGGTATCTGCAAGCATATTTGGTCATAGCGCAGTGAAAAAACACTTCATATCTTTCTCACTATGAAGACTTCTACATGTTCGTTTCTGGTTAACCCAGATTTACAGGCCTAGATTTGTGGTTGTGTTATATATAAATTTGTCATAATATATCCTGAACTAAACTCGCTACACAAAGCTAAATCGTCCTTTCTTGTTATCAGGCGTACTGCTACCATGGTCAGACGCTGCTGTCCAGCGACAAATGTGGGGAAGCTATAAGATCATTGCAAGAAGCCGAAAAATGTGAGTGTCTTTTACCCCTTCACTTCCAAGTTCTTAAAATAAATTGCAGTATTGGAAACTAAACTAAAGACAAAAAAAACTTTTTTTTTTTTTTTTTTTCTACATTCGTACAAGTTTAGTTTTTCATTTGTTTGTTCCTTCTTCACATAAATATTAGAGAGGTTAAAATTATACTGTATCCCTACTCTTACTATATTTTACACAATTAGAAGCACAATTATCTGTGGTCTTTGTAATGAACCTCCTGGAATTTATGTGAATGCACTTTCTCGAACATGACTACTAGATTGGAAAATGTCTTGTGTTAAACAAAGCTGAGCAAATAAATAACATACTGCACTGTGTGATTATATAGGTTTGATGAATTGTTAGTTCTTTCTGTAGATTGCTTTGATGGTATTTAATGCTTAGTTAAGCTTCAAGTTTGTAAGCCACACAAAAATTGTGTAATGTATTTTGTACTTCAATCACTCGTGTATTAAATGGAATATTATCATTCACAAATCACTAGCAAGTGTAAAAATTAAAAGATATATGTAACTCCTCACCATCTCCTCATCCATTGTGAACATTGGGAATGTATAGAGAGGCTGCACAAGCAACTGTCCACTCTACAGCAAGAACATCTCGCAAGTTCTAGTGTGAATTGTAAGACATTGTGCCATCAGTCCGCTCTTGATTTGTAGTCCGCATATCAAAAAGTGCTAAGGAGGCAAAAACAAAAGAGCAAACCAATAACTTTTCATGAAGCAACTACTTTATCTAGATTACGTTTTGTTTCCTGAAAATAAATACCATGTATTTTTTTATATATATATATTTTAACTATAAATATGTACACACTTTTTTTTTTTTTTTTTTTTTCAGTCTATGGCAAGTCAGAGATGCTGTGTAAAGAATATGGTCAAACAAAGGGCCCCGGAACTACCGCAAAACCTTCGGGGCATCTCTTTTTTAGAAAGCTTGGGAGTCTAGTTAAAAACACACTGGAAAAATGCCAACGAGAGAACGGCTTTATGTACGTAAATTGTTTCCTACAAATGTTTTTGTTTAGTAAAAGTAGCACAGTGTAACTCTTAAAACACAGTAGATGTAGTGAGAAATTCCTTTCTTGGCTAAATAAGCAGATTTAGATTGTGGGGTTGCAGAGCTTGCACTTTACAAATATTGTTTATTAGACAAAGGAGGAGATAAGGTTGCACCAAAAGAGTATAGACAATGTACAGGTACAAATAACAATCAGAAGTGGAAAAAAAGGACCAATATATCAGTAATACAATAAAAGGAATAAAAAGTCCAATAAAACTTACCAGAAGATATAGCCTCAAATATGTCCGGAATAATTCTTCTAAAACAGTGTCAGATCAGGGTATTCAGGGTATCCCTTTTGTATGTAAAATCAAAAAGGAAAGACTAATAGTGTAAAATATCCCAGAGATAGATAATACCAGTATAAAAAGTGTAATATAGTCCTACTAATGTTTTTTTTAGAGCTTTTAACCGGCTCTAGTATTAATGGCGTACAGTGGTACAATACCCACTTATGGGATACGTGATATGTTGTTCAGTAGATGTTTCATCAACCATAAAATTAATTTAAAAGAGACCACAATAGTGCTCACTGTGTAAAGAATGCCAGGAGTATGAAATCTAGAATGTAAGCTCATTGAGTAGGGCCCTCAATCCCTCTGTTCCTGTGCGTCCATTTCTCTGGTTACAATTATGTGTCTGTTAGTCCACCCATTGTATAGCGCTACGGAATTTGCTAGCGCTATATAAATAACGTGTGTGTGTTCGTGTTCTGATTCTATTACAGTTTCCAGTAAACACATTTTTGCTTTACAGTTACCACCAGAAGGTGCCACCAGAGGCCCCTCAGTTGGAGTTAAAGGCCAACTATGGTCTGGTTGAGCCAGTGCCTTTTGAACTTCCTGCTCTCAGTCCAATGTGGACCCAGGAAACACATGCAGCATTTGACCTCACTAAGCAACCAAAAGATGATAAGGTAAGACGCTCTTCACATTTTTTCCTAAATGGGGGCTCCCATATTGGGCCAGATTTTCCTAGCTTACCCTGGCAATGGCTATCATCTGGTGTTATTTGGTAGAGCATGCTGTAAAACTCCCTAGTTCCTAAGCCTTTTTAAACAGAGGAAATACTGTATTAAAAAAAATCTTTGACTTTTCATTTGCTTGTTTTCCTGAAAAAGCACAGGTTCAGAACCAAGACATTTGCTGGTTCATAAAAACTTAAATTTTTTTAAAATTTTTTTATTCTTTGCATATTTTCAGGCCAAGCCGAAAAAAGAAGAGGAGGTGAAACCAGTGAAGGAACCTGACATAAAACCACAGAAGGACACTGGATGTCAGATATCCTGAAGAAGACTGGATTTCCTAAACTGGATGTGGTTACCATTTGCAAAATCTGCACTATATGTACATGCAGCAGATTGAGATTAATGCAATCCCTGTAGTCAGTGTGATTTCAACTGGCGGTGTGAGTTACAGTATGTCTGCACTAGTACTATGTATAAACTGCTTAGCCATGCATAAACCTACAGAAGCCAATATTTATAAAAGCTTGCTTCTACTTTAAATGAAAGCAAATAGGGGATCCTTTATATTTTTTTTCTCTAAATGGAAATGTCTCCCAGTAATTTAATGATTTGTATTTACTTTTGTTAACTTCTTAACTCACTTTTTAACATGATGGTCATCATTTTAATTATATTCAAATATTTTCTTTTTGAATTTATATATATATATATATATAGAGAGAGAGAGAGAAAGAGAGAGATAATGAGATCTATTTAATAAATACACGATATGTACATACTAACTTTTTAATGGCACAAACAGAATTTCTATTAATTTAGCTCTATATTTTACTAACTGTGCACATTGAGTGTGTTGTTTATATGTGGATTCAGATCTAACTAGAGATTCTATATATGACCAAATGCTTACACCTTTTTCAGGTTTTTGTTCTGGCACAAACACTACAGGTGCACCAACTCATAATAAATTAGACTTAAGTTACAGTAGCACATTTATTAATAAGAATCATTTTAAGGACTCCATGAAATTTGTGTATGATGGCATACTTTCTTCATTGCATTTTCTGGTCAGTGGCCATTGCTTGAGTTATATTCAAATATTCTCTTTTTGAATCTTCTCATTGTCTGGAACTCACCAGTCAGCCAATCAGAATGCTGCTGTGATCTCAAATGAGCCCCTGATGTTTTTGTTTTTCCCTCCTGTTTCTCTATGCATCTCTTATTACTTGCTTTATTTAAAATGAAGGCCATGTTGCAAAGGTGAAAGGAGCACTCACATTCTTTACCTATTCAAACATGTCTTTGTATGCTGTTTCACATACATTCTAATTCATAATGTATTATTTACAATAGTATCAAAAACTGCGGGGAAAAAAATCTCACTCTGTCTCTTGACCCAAAAACAGTGCATTACTGGCAAGTACTTGGTGCTTGCAGGATCCAGAACATGTGCACACTCCACTGCCAAAATACAAAATAAATAAAAATAACCCCTTCGTAGATATACCCCATATAAAAACATGCATGCATTTAATTATGCATTTTTTTTCATGGGAGTTATATCTAAACACAGATTGCAAAGCCTGCAGTTCTCTGCTAACTTTCCAAGCCCTCCCCTTCTAACTCTGCCCAGACTTTCTGTGGCTGTCCAATCAGAGACTTCCCAATGCAGCTCAATGAGGAGTCTTTGCAAGTCAGGTGCTCTGGGCAGTTGTTGCTTCTGGAGTTTAGCTCTGCTAAGCTAATGAAACGAGAAAGAACAGGACCGGTTCTCTGATTGACAGTCAGTGGAATGTAACCAAGCAAATTAATTGTCCTTTTTTTTATAATTGACTTTTTGCAAAATGGAAAAAACAAAGAGGACATACTTCATACACAAAGCTTTTCAGCAATCTGAAGTGCTTTAGGGGTCTTAAGTGTCCATTTAAAAAAATATATATATTTTACAAATGAAGGGCATTAAATTGTGAATACCAAGGGCGTTGTTTTATGGTAGATATATGTTCTGTATAAATATAAAACTAGTGGCCACATTCTCACAAGTTATAAAACTCATTCTTTAATGTGTTTGACAGCACTGACTAAATATGCTTACTTCATATAAAGGAGTTGGATCTAGGATGTAAATAAAGACGGTTTCCTCTAATAAAATTGTTAAATGAAATTTATGTTTCAATATGGTAATGGGGAAAAATATATTTGAATGAAATTAGTGAATTTATAGTCTCGTATAAACAGTCTTGAGACTTTGCCTGGTTTTTCAATTTAGAAATGGTATATGATATTCTTTATGAAATACTGTATTTTATAATGTTTGCTTTTTTTCCCCCACTTGTATCTCTCAGCGTAAGCTTAATCAACCTTCCAAGACTTCATAATGATACATTGTCTTAAACTAAAGAACAACTAGATCTTTGGAAAAATCGGACTGATTTTTTTTAATGCCAGATGGAAAGGTCTAAACTGTAGAGAACTTAGACATTAGGTGACCAATTAGGTATAATGCAATCCTGTATTATGTGTAATATTTAATATTTTGTGAAAACCTCAACCTGTATTTGTTAATAATTTTTTTTAGTTTGTCCAGTTTAAACTATGATTTAAAAGTTCTTTTTTAATACAACATGGCTTAGTGATAAAACAAAAGTAATTTATTTTCACTGAGATGACAAGAACAACAGTTTGTAGAAGTTCTATATCCTCTCGTGTGACTGAAAGTGCTTCATAGCCTATCATTAAACATTTAGGTGCAAATATAATAAAAATAGTTACACATGTCTACCAAGACAGCAATAGTATATCGAAAAATAATGTAGACATGGTAAATCCAAAACGCGACAAGCAAATGAGCATGTTAAAATGGTGGAATAAGTAATGCGTATACTCACACAACCGTTTTAAGCCTGCGTAGTTAAATGCACTCAAAGGCAATAGGAAACTTTGCAAGAATGTGTCAAACTAGTTTGTGTATTTATTTTAGCAGGTACTGTTCAGGTTTAGTGGAACCATCATGTGATAGGACAAAAGAAAGATGTGAAAGAGGGAGCATAGTATAAGGGAAACAGACATGATTTTGGTAGGTGTGAGTGAGGAGCCCCAAGAAGAGGTGAAAAAAGATGATGTAAGTCGAAGATGAGAAGCACAAATTAAATTGGAGAGAAGGGCTGGGGAACACTGGCAACAAATCAGGAGAACCAGCAAATCCTACACCTCTTGCGTTTGGTGTCCCTTAGAAACAGGAGTGGGGTTGTTTAGAAAGTCCAGGATTGACAGCAGTGACTCTCTCTGAGATTATATACATATTGAGACTAATGGAGTCATAGGTTAGTGTAACGTTGGAAAGTCTGAATTTTACTGAATGAATTTCATTTAATTTTAGGATCACTCTCGCACTGTGGGCACTACTCTGTGCCTCCATAATATGGGTATTTGGTTGCAGGAAGCATTAATTAGGTAGGGAAAAATAGACATAGTAGGAGGTGGTATGAAGTAAGAGGTAGTAGGGTACCCATTGCGAAAGTCGGAGGTGGATCCGTCTGGCCATAAACCATCATATAAACGCCTTTCCAGAAGTGGTGTAAGTGGGTATTCACATATGTGTGACAAGCTACCTAGTTTTCAAACACTCAGGTTCGACAAATGAAGAAAGGATTGTCAAGAGTGCAGTACCAAAGGTTAAGCAGTTTGTTTTCCGATTCACGATACCAAGTGTAAATGGATGATTTGCGAGTAAGAGTAAAAGTTTGAATTCATTGGTCTTCTGTGTCATCCCAAGATGTATCCTTGTTATCCTTCTTGGAGTGTTACTTTATTTGTAAACCATCTAGTGTAAAGGTGCCCTTTGTTCTTGTGCGTAGGATTTGGAATGCCACTATATATAGCGTTAAGAGCAAAATCTATTTTATAAAGGCGTTCACTGCTAGAATGTGAGATTCAATGGTAATGCACAACAGGATATGGCATCAAAATAAAAGTCTAGATCGATGCTGTTTGATAATAGGTAATCCAAGAAAGATTTAACAATGAGAGAAGAGAAGTGGAAAATCTGTACTAGCCATTTTCTCTGTCCTAGATATGTTCATTAAAAGGACACTATAGTCACATTGATGACAATGCTTTCTTATGGTGAACCTTGAGTGTTTGCATGTGCCTGAAGTCAAGGTCCTCATAGATGCGCATTGAATTGGACCATAACGGAGGCCATGCCTCCTCTATGTTGTTGTGAAATGTAGACAGGTGAGCAGTGGCGAGAGAACCTTGGCGCTAAAAAAAAGGTAAGTAAACATTTTATTTCACAGATATTTCTGGCACACTATAGTGTTAGAAATACAGGTTTGTATTCCTAACAGTATAGCCTTCCTTTAACCCCTTAACTACCAAAACTTAGTATAATCGTTTTTATGTTCATGTATTTTGCAGTATGAAATTTAGTTAAAGGAGCCTCACTAACCTTTATTTATACAAAACAGTACAAGAAGTTTCAAAGCGTCATATCATTCCTATAGTTGAGGAGGAGTGAATGGACTCTACTATTCCATTTCATTCCATTAGCATTTCAGGAATTAATAAAGATTACTGTAGCAGTTTTAAATACCTTTTATTTTAGAATATATATGATTTAACTGTATTTACTGTATGTTGAAGCTTATGCTCAAATGCAGACATTCTTTTTACATTCTGTTGCCGTTTTTAGTAAGCTGCACTACTAGTAATGCCACCAGGGTCCTTGAAAATAACTATAAACCTTGTATCTGTTTTTGTCATACCTACTGTATGTAAGAAAAAAATGCATTTTTGCTTTTATGGTAACACTTCAGACCCTTTTTGAAATATTGCAAGAGAAATTATACTGTATACTGTCTAAAACTTTTATTTTCCCAAATATTTCTATAAAGTGTGAACGAATAAGTGAAAAACAAAAATTGTGTACATTTACATTATTTTAATTTAAAGTGTGTCTGCCTAGCAATTTATACACATAATTGCTATGTTATTATATGTTTACATGCCAGTTATGCATCCCTTGCTTCAAATAATTAAACCAATATTTTTCCAATCAAAAAGTGCTCAGTAGTGAACGGGTTAATCTTCAGTTCATGTTTTAGTTCTAAACACTTAACTTCTTTTTTTTTTTTGTTCTTGTTTTGCTTTGGAGTCTCTCTGTATACTTAAAATATAACAAAATATGGTATCTTGATAATAAATGGCTTAATTACAAGACGTTCAAATCCATAAAACTACTGCATGATTGTACCAATTTAAAACCTTCATTAAAGAAATAAATACTGTTTTTAAAATAGGAATCAATAAAGCACAATCTATAAACAAAACGTCTGTTTTATACTGTGCTTACTCTGCATCTTACGTTTAAAATTTACGGTGAATGGGTTAAATTTCCATATCCTAGAGGGTTATTCACTAAAGGGAAAATAGTTGGAAATTATAAGTGATTTGAAAAGTGTAGGGCTAGAATATCCGAATTGGAACCATTGCAGACTTGAACAATCCACTTTGCAATCCTGACAATTTCGTGAATAACTTTGCATGTTTTATCAGACATCTAGGCATTCCCTAGAGTAGATAGCATGCAGGTTACCCTATATTGGGATAGGAATAAGGGACAGTAGAATTCGATATTCATCCCTCTCTGTAGTGTCACTTCATTACTGCCATGTCATTTCTCCAGTACAGTTGGCATTCTTAATTGTTCCTCCCTTGTCCTTCTGCCAGAAGTGAGAGATTCTAGATTAGAAATGGAAAATAAAGCTGTACTGCCCTGAAACCAAACAAAGCAAGCCAGTGTCAACCTTCCATCCGCTTGCACACTCCACTAGCTATAAGGACGCAGACACAGACTGACATAGAACAATACATACAAGCCGCACTACAACCCTTACCATCGAATTACTAGGCAGGTAAAGATTTATAACCCACGACTAGTGCTTATTAACCTTTTTTCTGCCTTTGACGTCTTCAATACAATGTGAAAACCTAAATTATTTGTAACAAGATCATAGATTCTCGACAACAGGTGAGCTTTACGTTTTATTTAAACCCTTTTCCTTTTATTTTACTGTTGTATTATAGCAATCACGTTATATGTGTAATAGGTTTTTGTGCCCTGTTTGTGTTTACTTTCTGAGTGTGCTATGATGTCACCCCTGCTACCTGTATTTAATTTGATCGGAGGTACGTCTTCCTTCTTGCGTGAACTCTGTGCTTTTGTGTTAATTTTGCAGTTCATAAAATTTTTCCAGAAATATTATGCTTTGCATGAAGATTTTCTAGGCAAAAGCAGCTTTCTATTGTGGGAACACAAATCCAGTCTAGAGATTTTTGAAACCTGACTTTGTTTTTTGTTTTTTTTAATCTCTGCTATTCTGGATTTAAAGAGCTCTAGGCAACATAACTGCTACGGCATGATTCACAAGGATTACCATTTTTTTTTAAATGTTTTTGTTTTGAGTTTTTAAGCATAGTACAAGAAAAAGACTGATCACGTAGGGTCTCTGTTAGTAGGATGGTACAGCATGTCAAACTTTTTGTGAAGGCGTTGTCTTTGTTATGCAGTGGCTTATGGTATATAGGTAAATTTTTGGCATTAACCACAGCGTAAGAGCCATAGTAAAGGAACACTATAGGGTCTGGAACACAAACATGTATTTCTAACCATATAGTCTCCCTGCTGCCCACCCCTCTGTGACATTAACCACAGAGTAAGAGCCATAGTAACTCAAGTTATGGTCTGAAACCAGAATGCAATCTGTTGTAATTGTGTACAGAATTGAAACTTCTCATCTTCCCTTACCTTTATTGTAATATTATGCTCAATTATGTTTAAAGGAACACTATAGGGTCAGGAACACAAGCATGTATTCCTAACCCTGTAGTGTTAAAACCACCAGCTAGCCCCCCTGCTGCCCCTTCCCCCATGCCTCCCTAAATATAGTAAAATATTACTTGTATTAAAGTCTGCAGCTGCTGGCTCTGCCCCTGATCTGCCTACTTTGCTGACATCATCAGGAGTGATTCTCTGAGCCAATCACAGTGCCTTCCAATAAGATTGGCTGAGACTGTCAAGGAGGCAGTTTAGGATCAGAGCAAGCACAAGCCAAACACAGCCCTGGCCAATCAGCATCTCCTCATAGAGGTGCAATTGAACATTGAATGGCAGTACTGCACACTGTGTAGAGGTGCCCCAGGAAGCACCTCTAGTAGCCATCTGAAGTCAGTGGAGTTATCCCTAGGGTTAAATGTAAGCACTGAATTTTCTCTGAGAACACAGTGTTTACTGCAAAAATCCTGAAGGCAATGATTTTACTCACTAGAACAAATGCAATAAACTGTAGTTGTTCTGGTGACTATAGTGTCCCTTTAACCTGTATCAGTAGTCCATGTTTTTATTGATATATATTCTCTCTACATGGATAATCCATAAATCGAGGTAGGTGGTGCTTTCAGGACTTGTTTGGAAATCTCTACATGATCAACCTTTGTGACAAGCTCTTAGTAAAATAGTCTGTGGATTAATAATACATTCACCCAAAAATTATTACCCACATCTAAACTCACCCCAACTTATGTTTCAGCAAACAAACCTCACTGGGATATAATATTAACACTTGTATCTGTTGATGAATCATGTTGTTCCCTTCAGATTTCTATTGTAGAATGTAGAATAATTAGAATTTAATAAACCGTAAATCCTGGATCATTGTTGGTCTTTTGAGGATTGATTTAAGAAATTGTTCTCCATGACTCGGTTTGCAAAGAGATCCTTTGAAATTAAGATGTTTAAAAATTATTTTCATGGAATTGTCTAATTAATGCTCCAGGGTCTAGAAAATCTGAGGAGTCTGCCATTTTCTAGATTTATTTGAAGGCTGGAGAAGGTAGCAGGGGGCCCTAGCATACTTCAGCAGGATGTGCATTAGGATGCCTGTTGGAGTGGAGGAGTGAGTTAAGGGATGGATTTTTGCCAGACCTTTACACTGTGTAGGTTTGCACATTGGCTGGTGGCCCACAGGGTTATTTCCCAGGAGAGTGCTGTATTTGGGTTTGACATTCCTCCATCACAGGTCCAGTGCAATTCTGCCAGATTATAATGAGTATGTCTGATGTCGCTGGAGGTGTTTACAAGTGATCACAGATATAACAGGTGGCAGAAGAGTTGCGGAATACAGTCTGTGTCTCTTGGGCATGCACAGATTTATGTGAATGATCCGATGTGCTGTGCAGATCACTGATTGGGGCTGCAGCGATATGTGATTTTGTGCCACTCCAGTAGCCTCCACCTGTCAAACCCATATATATCACATGGGTTGCAATATACAGAGATATGTGAGTTTCTTGCACACAAAAAAATCCACTCATTTGTACCTGCCCTCCAGGCCTAAAGTTGCCAGCCCTCCCCTGGTCAAGTCAGTGTTAATTTTGGCAGCAAATTTCTGTTCGGTTTTAGTCTTTTGACTAAAGCCATTTTAGTTTTAGTCGTATTTTAGTCATCTAAATTGTTTTAGTTTTAATTGACTAAATCTCAAAAATTTTAGTTGACTAAAATTGTTAGTCAACAAAAATTAGCACCAGGCCAAGTTAACACATTGAGTTCGTGCCTGACAATTATTTCAAGGACACAAACTCAACATCACTACTATTTCAATGAACTGATCTCTTTAGTTGCCCTATTGAACCTGCAAAACTTGTTTTTTCCTTACCTAAAAGTTTCCTTAATACCGTTTTAAACCGTGTTATCATGGTTATCTACCTGCTCCTGTTACATGTTCCTATTTGTTCCCCTGCTAGGGGAAGGTCCATATGCTTTGCCATTGTAATTCAATCTCACATCTTGAAATTCTTGTTTTTCTTTCTTCGTTCTTTCATTAGAATCGCATAAAGTGGCTAACATGTCAGACCGTGATACAGCACTGGTAAGTAACTATGATTAACACATAGATACAATGTTTATTTTACTTTTTATTAATACATAAAAATATAAAGAATGATTGATAAGCGGAAAGATGGAATCCGCAATAGAGAGGGTCTGCATTTTCTAATAACCAATAGAGTGGTGCCCACTTGCTGTTCTCTAATTCAGTCACTATGTGTCAGTCCTCTGCAATGCCAATAGTGAACAGGGTGCTTGCTATATTGCAATGCAGAGCTCTATCAATCTGTCTGTCTGTCTAGTTATCTATGTAGATTTATTTAGTGCACACTGTGCAAGCTCTGTTAACAGAGTGCCACTTGAGCCACCTTTCCTTTCAGAGTCTTGAGCTACCTCTTATTTTGTGTAGAGCCTAGCGTTGCCTCTACCTCCTTTAGAGCTATGCCACCTCCTCATTTTTGCAGAGCCCTAGTGTTCCCTTCGCCCTCATCGGAGGCTTGTGCTACCTAATTATTGCCTAACATCAAACAGAGCCTGCAGATGCGTCCTCCCTAGTGCAATACTTAGTGCTGCCTCCCCAATGTAAGATTATGATACATGCAATGTCTAATATCTGCTTGTAGAGCTGAGTCTTTGATTCCTACAAAATCTATTGATGAATTCTCTATGGACCTTACTATTCCTAATTTCTTCATGCAGAGCCTTGTGATGCTTCCTTCCCACCTATACAGCCTGAGGCTGCCTCTTTCAACTAGTCCGACAAATTATTGTGGAAACTGAATTTATGTACTGAATGCTTGCTTTTTTTCAACATAATAATGTCATAGTAATAACAGGAAAACAAATTAGCTTGTATTATGTTATTTGAATTTTGCAAATTTTTGTAATATTCATTATTTTTAGTGTTGCTACTTTTTTTCAGATTGTAATCAATTCTATGCTCTGTCATGCAATGCTTGAAAGGGCTATCCAGCTGTGTGCAGAATTCATGTGTCCCCAGTGGGAAATCTATTAACCTACTACATCCTGGTTCCCAAAACAACCACAGTGATTATTAGTTTATCGATTTGACTGTGGGAATACATTAATTCCTTTTAATGCAGGATAAGTTGACATAAAAACTTAAAAGATCACTATACCATTGTAAAACAAACATGTATTCCTAACGCTTTAGTGCCCCTGTCCCTAGATAAATTCAGGGCCATCCCCATTTGCAATGAAAAATAATTTTAAAAAATAAATAAATTTTCAGTGCCAAGACTCCTCTGCAGGTCCAGTCCTCTGCTCCTTATAGAGGAGCACTGGAGACCTAATGGCATGCACGGCTTGCACTGCTCAAGCAACCAATGTTTCTCATAGAAATGCATTGAATAAAATGCTTTCCTGCAAGCTGCAACATCCCATGACCAATTTTACTCAGTACAGCAGGAACGCCTCTAGTGACTTTGTGGAAGATCGCACTAGAGGTGGATTAAACCAGTTTCCAGCAAACTACATTGTTTTACATTGCAGGGTTAAAATGACTGGACCACGGTACCCAGACTACATCATTGAGATCAAGTGGTCAATGGGACTTTAGTGGTCCTTTAATATACAGTAGGATGAGTAATCTGATGGTTCAGTGCTATGTCTACATTGCTGATCCATCATTAGCTGTCGTTTCTCCTCTTCCATATACATCTGATCAAGGTTTTCTTTTTTCCCTAACTCACTCCAGTTATTTCCAATTCATATTTTTCCATCAGAAAGAACTGGAAGATGTGGAGAAACACAGAGTTCCAAGGAGAATAATTCACTTTGCTAGTGGAGAAACCATTGAGGAATATAGCACAGAAGAAGAGGAAGAAGACGAAGAGGAACATGTTGACTTTAAAAGTGTGGACACGGTTAGCCTCACTATCCCGTCTAGTTATTCGTTGGTGAAATTTCATGTAGTTGTTACATGGGAGTGGAGTGGTTTTCTGATTGTAGCATATGAGGCAGTGAATATGTGGCCAAAGTGAAATGAAACCAGTAAAACATATGTTGTTCTACAAGCTCTATGTATGTTAGCCAGGAAATGGAATGCCTAATCTTAAAGAAACACAAAATTAATTATTAACTACTCAGTGATATGTGCTGAGTTGCAAAATATGTTTTTCTCAGTAATATGATTTTTTTTGTGCAAAATTTAGGCTAAGATAGACCAGCTGTGTCTAGAGCTTACTTAATAAGGTGGTCTGGGTGCAATGTCCCTGTCCCACTTAGTCTTGTAATATAAAACATTTACATTTTAAGACAGCCTGTAGTGGCTGTCTAACTCACAGCCATTAACCCCTTAAGGACCAAACTTCTGGAATAAAAGGGAATCATGACATGTCACACATGTCATGTGTCCTTAAGGGGTTAAAGGCACTTTCAGGAGTTCACCGGAATCTGGTTCGCTTAATGATGCTGGATGTCCTTGTGCTCTGCATGAGGTCACCCAGGGCCAGTGAAATCCCCGTAGGAAAGCATTAAGGGGATGCTTTCCTATAAGGAAGGTCTAATGCTCTCGCAGAGCTCGCAGCGCATGCGCATTTGGACCCCCTGATGGATGACATCAGAGGAGGTTGAGCTCTGCTACAGGGAGAGGGATATAGGGGAGTACAGGCTGGGGTTAAGATGCCCAAGGGGAGGGGGCAGTGCCACTACAGAATGCCTGTTCACAGCATGCTGATATCAGAATTCCAACATGCACTGGACTGACACTAGCCAGCCTCCTACACCTCCAGCAACAAAGGGATTACACTCTGCATGTACAGACTTCAGGCACCTTAAACCCTTGATTAGATTGGAGTAACCCATTAAAGTCCTACTCAGCTGTACCAGATGTTAGAATGTGTAAGAGACACATAATGGTTAAAAAAATGAAAAATAAGTCATGGTTTTGCATGGGCACAGAAACAAAGCAGTGACGCTACCTTGAGTGAAATGTTATCATGGCTTATGTTTTTTATACAGCCATAGATGGGCATGAAGGTGTTGCCACCAACATTACAAATTACTGAAAACATGACAAATTCAGTGGCAATGAGCAAAACATTTGCCTGGCTGGGTAGTTGCTTTGCACATGGCACCCAAAATAACTAGAAAGTGTTTAGTATTTTTACTACTGTGAAAAATTATATCCGTAAAATTATTTTCGCTGTGCCAATCTAAACTATCCAAGAACACTCTAGAACAATCTACATAAACTATCTCTAGAATGTAAGCTCATTTGAGCAGGACCCTCAACACACTCTGTCCAACTCGTCTTGCTGCCAATACATGTCGGTAGTGCCCCAATTGTATATGTAATTTGTTGGCGTTCTATAAATAATAATAGTTTAATCATTTAATCGTGAACAAAATGAAAAAATCTGGAACTCTAAAAAAAATCTATGTGAACTTGATTCTATATTAATCCGTTTGAATCTTGAAACTCTTCATTTCCCGTTGTTTCTTTTGAGGGACCCTCACAGTATAAATGTTGCTTTCATGTCTAGAAGCAAGATCGAAATCAGGGGTTTCTGTGAGAGTGCCACCACTAAGGCACTACTTGTTGTACCCTCAGTCAAGAGACTGGTTAGAGTATCTAATCTAGACATCATATGCACTTGGTCGCTATTTAACCTTAGAAAGAGGCTAGGGATCTTAACCCTTACGCTCTGCCGAAGATCTACTTCTAAGCACTATTTGTACTCCTACCTCTATTGCTCGCCTTAAAGACTTCTCTAGGGCTGCACCATTCCTATGGAACGCCCTTCCACTCTCTGTTAGACTTTCATCCAGTCTCCACTGCTTCAAAAAATCTTTTAAAACTTACTTCTTCAGGAAAGCGTATCAATTAAACTGTGAACAGATTTCTTTCCTTGCACCCTGATTCTTCTCCTGCAACTGTCATTAGAATAAAGCCCTCAGTGAACAACCTACTTTTTTACCCTAACCTTCTGATTTGTGTCCGTATACCCCACTGCCTCTAGCATGTAAGCTCATTAAGCTGGGACATCAACCCCTCTGTTCCTGTGTGTCCAACTTGTCTGGTTACAAATACGTGTCTGTTAGTCTACCCATTGTACAGCATTGCGGAATTAGTTGGCACTTTATTAATAATAGTAATAATTATGAGATGCCAGCTTAGGCCATGGTTACAATGGTAAACATTTTTTTTATGTATTTTAAAACTAGTTCAGAAATCCACCATATTTTTAATAGGTTCACTGATTTTTTACTAAACTGTCATCATGGTGATTTCACCAGCAACTCTTAGTTTAGAAAAAAATAGTTGCAAAGTTAAAAAAAAATTGCAGTTGAAGATATTTTTTAAATCAGTGATCTTGTCCTACTATTTTTAAGTTTGTTTTTGACTGACAAATCACTGTTTAGTGGATATACCCCAATGCGTACATCACCTGTTTTTCCATAGCATAATTAATATTATGTTTTACTTGCTATTGTTTGATCTCTTACAGACACAGATGACCTGGGGAACCTACACAAAATTCTGGGTGCTTAGAGTTGCTACATCTGTCTTCTTTAGTAAGTTATCAGGGCAAACAAGATCAAATTAAATCCTATAGGTTTGTCTGTGGACATAAAAAACAAAAAACAAAACACAGTTTATGAAAGTTGTTTCTCCTTTTTCTTCCCCCCTTTCAGTTTATCTGGATTTCATTGTTGTATCATTATAGAAGTCTGTTATATTTCAAGAACTTCCAACAGCTGATACTCAAAGGGTGTCAGGATTACAAGTTGATCCAGCACGCCGAACCTAGGACTAAGGATAATGTCTAACCAGACCTTAGAATGGCCGGACTTAACGTACCCAAGAATAGTCAAAATACTTGCTGAGGTCAGGGATGCAGAATGAGACACAACGATGATGTAAAGCCAAAAGTCAAAGATACCAGAAATTAGGGAAGTCAAAATAAAGCCAAAGTCAAAAACCACAATAAAACGATCAGGAACACACTCTCGGATAACCAGCAAAGGGAAACCCTGACAGGGCACTGATCAGAAGGCAATCTGGGTTTAAATAACCCTCCTAAAGCTGTAATTCACACAAAAGGATGGTCACTATATGCTCTGAAACACACAAGACACCTTAGGTTAAAGTGGTCCCTAGAGACACTCGAAATTACAAGTAATACAAAGAAAAAAAACAAAAGGAAAAATTGTGTGTAATCACCCAAAGTGCTAAATAGTACAACCTGTACTGTAGTCAGTAGAATCTACCATAAGCACCGTATATCTGGTGGAATAAAACACAAATATAGTGCAATACAATAAGCACAAGCGGGTGGTATTGCATTGCACTATATTTGTGTTTTATTCCACCAGATATACAGTGTTTATGGTAGATTCTGCCAACTACTGTACAGGTTGCACTATTTGTTATCACTTTTGGTTATTCCACACACAATTTTTCCTTTTGTTTTTTTTTCTTTTTATTACTAAAGCTGTAATTGGCTGTATGTGGCCTCTGACCCCAAAACGTGCGCGCATGTCTATGACGTGATGTGGCACGCACGTAAGCACCATCTTTAATGTGGGCAAAGGCTATATCCCCATTAAAACTGGAACCTAAGCGGCCTGCGTCTCTAGGAACGCCAGACACGCTGGGGACCAGGACAGAAGGAGGTCGGGCAGTGGTCTGCCGTGGGTAAGATAAGTATTTATTATTTCTGTCGGCGTGACCGCTGTGTTTCTGTGCAGCCACGCCGACAGAATCCCGCTGCACCGTGACAAAGGGTCAAAAGGATTGTTTTTGGCAACTGGTCTTTCCTCATATAAAGAAATATATGAGAAATTGGAAAAAGGTTCCCCACGTCCTTACTCATAAGTAACACTGTCAAAGAAAGAACACTTGAAAGTAAGAGTTTCAGAAGACAGCTGATATTACCAGGGATGTCCCCAGTAGAGACACGAAATCCTCCATAGTGCTTATCCACACTGACCAAGTGTTGTCATAGCCTGAGGCTTGTCTGAAACTGATTTAATTTGAGCCTTAGTTTTCAGAAGCTGGAGGATGTCTTTAAGAAGTGGCTTAATGTCCAATTTCAATGGTGGCATTTTATCTTCATCATCAGAAGGAAAGGTGAACAGTTCTTCCCATATGAAACATCCAATAAGAAACATCTATGGACTCACAGCTGCTGCCATCCTGGGATATGGTTGCCTTCAGACTTGTGGCATAATATTCCCGATATCTCAAGAGCCAGACTTGTGAAGGACTTTAGTTTTCTTTGATCAACCGCTGTGAGGATGGGGAATTGATCAAAGAGTGTCTGAAACATTTACATTTTTCCCCAAACCCCTAACCTTCAACCCATCCCAATTCCTATAGTCCCAAACCATATGAAGCACATACCTTACAAAACACACATCTATTAAGTATTGTTATAGAGGGGGTAGTATGACCCAATGAAATAAAAATAACTCTAAAAAGAAAGAATAATCCATACTTACTCGTCAAGGTCTTTCTTGAAGATCTTTTATCATTTGCCATAGAAAACACACATTGAAAACAAGAGGCTAAGCTTAATGCAACTGTAAAACACTACCCTATAATCACAGCTTGCGTATTTTAACCTACATTTTGTAGTTTGGCTTCCAATATCCTGTAATACAGTATACACTATTTAAATAGATTAGCGTGGTATGTAGTTGCAGTGTGGAATTTCTTATCACTTCTAACACATCGTTTATTGTATTTTTATTCTAGCCTGTGACTTTTTAGGGGGGAAGCTGGCATCCCTGTTTGGTTTAAATGCCCCAAAATACCAATATGCCATTGATGAATACAACAGGATGCAAGATGAGGTAAAAATGAAACATTATGTTATATGTTATCCTATAATTCATATTTGCCTTTGTGGGAAATTTTTGGGCTTACTACAAATGCAAGCTATGCTGACTATCTCCAATTCTATCTACTTGCTTTAAATGAACACTATAGGCACCCAGACCACTTCAGCTCATTGAAGTGGTCTGGGTGCAATGCCCCTGTCCCTTTAACCTTGCAATGTTAATAGTTGGAGTTTCTAAAACAGCAACTAGAGGCACTTCCTGCTTGCTAGGCGACGGGTGAAGTCGGAGGATGCGGAGTGCCAACTTAGCGCTGAAGGAGATCGACGCTGGAATCTGGTGAGTAAAGTAGTTTTTTTTAACCCTTACGGTACGGGGGTTGGGGGGAAGAAGGAAGTGCAAGCGACACAATAGCGTTAGGATTATAGATTTTGTATTCTATTGTGTTCTACTAAGTTATGATGAATGATAGAAAATTGCTGAAATGTCTGCAATATACAAAGAACACTCAACAATAGGAAAAAATTGATTCTTTTAAATTATTTTTTTTATTTTTTTTACAAATACTGCATTTTGAAGACCATGTTTTTTTCTGTAAGAATGCTTGCAGAAATATGCAACTGAAGCTTTTTTTTGTTTGTTTGTTTTTTAAATGTATGCAGTAGGTGACTGTTGTCCTTTAATTGTTATAGTTTGGTTTAAGACCAAATGTAACAGTTTGCCATCATTTCAGCCTGTTCCTTAAAGACCTTATGGCACACTGGATGTGCTGCTGAAATAGTTTTGGTAATTCCATACAGCCCTGCAGTCTTAACTGATTTGGTCCATATATTACGGTTCTCTACTGGTCCAAACTTTCAAAGCTCTATTGAGGCCTATATTCTCCACAATGATCCTTCCTAGAATTAGGTTATATGCACCCATTCACAATCTGTCCCACACCAAACCCAAACCTGACCTCTTATTGTCACGTCCCTGAAACAATGGACCTGTTAGGTGATTCCAATTTGGAACAAGGTCTCTAAATAACTAGCTCTTATAACATTATTGGTCCCTAAGAGGTTCACTGGGCAGCATTTAACGCTGCTAAACCAAGACTCTATGTGCTTTGTAAAAAATATATATAAATAAAACCAGAACAAAAACACAGTAAAAGATATTTAAGAAATTTACATTTACAGGGTCACTTACTAAAGTCATAATTCAAAGTGAATTTCAAATTTAAGGCCAAAATATCCAAATTGGAAAAAGTCAGGGCCAGTCAAGGAAAAAGATGCATTTTGCCGCCCCCAACTCAAAAACTGTGTCTTCAACTAACCCCCTTTTGAATTTCTTACCCTGCTTATTGTATTTTACCCCTCTTTAGTGTTTTACACCACCTTTGTATGTCTCTTACAACCCCCTTTGTAGGTCTCTTACAAACCCCCTTGTGTATCTCTTATTTCCCACAGCCCCTCTGCGTGTCTCTTGTCTCTTTCTTTTCCCCAGCTCCTTTCTGTGTCTCTCTCCCCTCAACCTGTTTTGTGTGTCCTCCCCCCCCCTTCTCAGGGCCAATTTTGTGTCTTTTTCCTACCATGCCATAGAAACAAAGATATATAGCAACACACACAACCATACAGGCACACAGACATAATTATTCAGACACACAGTCACAGAGATATGCAGGCACACAATCAAACAAACACAGTCATACAGGCACTGAAATACAGGCACACTGACATACAGGCACACAGTCATACAGTCTACACGTACAGGTACACTGTCATACAAACACAGACATACAGTCATACAATCTACACGTACAGGTACACTGTCATACAAACACAGACATACAGTCATACAGACACACACAGAGACATGCAGACACTATCAAAAGGAGACATACAGACACATAGTCATACAGAGACATAGATGCACTCATACAGAGACATAAAAATGCAGGCATACAGTGACACACAGAACAAGGAATACAGAGACATATGGACACAGTCATACAGAGACATACAGGCATGCAGAAACATACAAAAACAGACATATAGTCACATACAGTCATACAAAACAAGGCATACAGAGACATATGGACACAGCTGACTGTGCCATCATATGGACCTGCTGGTCCTGTACAGTCAACAGAACTACTACACTCATTTATAGCTGTTCTGGTGGCTACATAGGCCTTACATTTAAAACTCACTTTGAATTTTCATTCTATTCATTTAAACCATTTTTAGAAACCTTTACTACAGTGATAATACACTCCATGTCGCAAACAGCCATCACCTTGCATTCCTACGATTTAAAGAGATACCCAACATCCAACTGAATTTGAATCATACTTATCTTATTTGTATGCCGTATATGTTTTACATTACATTTTACTTTTCTTTTGGTAGAGTGATGATGAAGATGGTGAAGATGTCACAGACCAAAAACCAGATAATGCTTTGAATGAGAAGCATATCATAATGTCACAAAGTGTGGAATATGGGACTATTCAGAACCAGGAAGCATCTACACACCCAGGAGACATATTTCAGCTTACTGCTGATTCCAAGCATTCTGACCGACCACTTTGAGAGAAACAGCCTTGCATACATTCCTTTTTTATAGCTACGTATTCCAAACAGCACCATACAATATCTGCAATGGATGGAGACCATGGGCTTTTGTGCATAAAGGACAATGGACATGGGAACTGAGCACTATACCGCAGTGGTGGCCAAAATCTAGCTCTCCTTTCCAGAGCCAACTGTTCAGCGAAGCAAATTCTTGGAGGAACTGGTGGATTTGTACAAATCTCTGTCTAATCAAAAAAAAATTACATTTTGTATTGACAGACAACCTCCATCATTTCAACCTGTGACTTATGTTTTTTAGATCAATATGGTGGTAGACATTTCATTGGGATAGTGATGTCCTGGTGGTTTGCTTGTGTTACAATGATCCATACACAGACAGGTAGAAAAAAACCTGTAATGTCCTTTAACTTAAATTCTGCCTATATTTGTTGACCAAAAAAGACACTTAATTTTTATTTGAAATTTGACTTAAGAAGCAATTACATTTTCCTCGGAACAACATTACCTAATCTAAAAACAGTTGTGTCCTAATATATACTATAGACCTTAGCTGTACAACAGTGGATAAACATGGATTTCTGTGTGATTGCAGGCAGGTTTGTGTACTGATTGAGATGGGAAAGTGTCTCATTATAAACATAATACATATATCTTATACCATAATAAAGAACTTGGTGCTCTGCATAATGATGCTGAGTGAAATGTAAGATTATAATGTCATTTTATAAAGTTGTACAGTTTTATTTTGAGTGGTATTTTGATATGTATCTCATTTCACAGACATGAAAGGAGTTTGTGTGTTTTGTAAGCCCAAATCTGAATGTATTTTGAATCATCTGGAATAGTCTCTCCCCATAGAGCACACTTGTTCCGAATTCCGATCTCATTGCAAGCTGAAGTGCTTTATAGGTCTGAAGTGTCCCTTCAATCCAGTTCTACTTACATCTGTTGCACTTTCGCATTCAGGATGAACACTCTGCCAAAAGATGCTTGAGGTGTGCTCCTGTGAGCTTGATGATCAGAGTAATGCCATAACAAGGCATGCTTGCTTGGGCATTCCTTCAACAGCGCCATTCTTGTGTGACACCTAAGGCAATGAAGGGGTTAATTCATTGTGCATGTGGTGCCAACGCCAAATGCACCAAGAATGTGGCTAAATATCTTATCAGATGACTTGCTAAAATCACTACTGAAGAAAAGGAAAATATACGCTAGAACTGAAAAAATATATATATTTTCCTAGGGGTAAACCTGGTGAAGTTTCCATTCATTTCTACCTATCAACACATATACTCTATAAACTCCGTACACTGTATACACATAAACTCTATAAACTCCGTACATTGTATACACATATACTCTATATATACAGTTTACACATATACTCTATAAACTCCATACACTGTATACACATATACTCTATATATACTGTATACACATAAACTCTATAAACTCCGTACACTGTATACACATATACTCTATAAACTCCATACACTGTATACACATATACTCTATATATACTGTATACACATGTACACTATAAACTCCATACACTGTATACACATATACTCTATATATACTGTATACACATGTACTCTATAAACTCCATACACTGTATACAAATATTCTCACACATATACACTAGAGTGGGAGTTTGAGCGCAGGACTTATTTTTGTGTATTTGTTTTTACTTTTGTATCACACAACCATGTTACAATGCTGCTGCCCACCCTATGTGTTCCCTATTAAGGCTTTTGCCTTGACGTGGCTGGTGGGCTTACATCTAATGGCCATAGGAGTTACTAAATAACCTCCACATATGTACTCTATACACATATCCTCTATACACTGTATACAAACATACTATATGTACTCTATACACTGTATACACATATACTCTATACACTCCATACATTCCAGGGGGCCCGGTCACCATGTTGATCCCTACGACAGGGGTGCCCGCGAGCACCCGGTCACCCTGTTTGTGTGTATGTGTCTCTGTATGTATATGTGCTTGTAGGTGTGTGTCTACATGTATGTGTGTGTGTGTCTGCGTGTGTATCTGTTTGTCTGCATGTGTGGGGGGGCGGGAAGGTGTGGGGGGAGGGGATGTGTGGGGGCCGGGACGTATGGGGTGTGGGATAGACGTATGGGGGGGCCTCAGGGCAATTTTTGCACTGGGACCCTGTGGTTTCTAGTTACGCCTCTGCACATATGCTCTATATGTACTTAATATACAATGATATACCCTGTATATAAATATACTCTATGTACTCCATATACTGTATACAATGATACTCCATACCTGTATATAAATATACTCTATGTACTGCATATACTGTATACAGTGATACTCCATACCCTGTATATAAATATACTCTAGGTACGCCATATACTGTATACAGTGATACTCCATACCCTGTATATAAATATACTCTAGGTACGCCATATACTGTATACAGTGATACTCCATACCCTGTATATAAATATACTCTAGGTACGCCATATACTGTATACAATGATACTCCATACCCTGTATATAAATATACTCTAGGTACGCCATATACTGTATACAATGATACTCCATACCCTGTATATAAATATACTCTATGTACGCCATATACTGTATACAATGATACTCCATACCCTGTATATAAATATACTCTAGGTACGCCATATACTGTATACAATGATACTCCATACCCTGTATATAAATATACTCTAGGTACGCCATATACTGTATACAATGATACTCCATACCCTGTATATAAATATACTCTATGTACTGCATATACTGTATACAATGATACTCCATACCCTGTATATAAATATACTCTATGTACGCCATATACTGTATACAGTGATACTCCATACCCTGTATATAAATATACTCTATGTACGCCATATACTGTATACAGTGATACTCCATACCCTGTATATAAATATACTCTATGTACTGCATATACTGTATACAGTGATACTCCATACCCTGTATATAAATATACTCTATGTACGCCATATACTGTATACAGTGATACTCCATACCCTGTATATAAATATACTCTATGTACGCCATATACTGTATACAGTGACACTCCATACCCTGTATATAAATATACTCTGTGTACGCCATATACTGTATACAGTGACACTCCATACCCTGTATATAAATATACTCTATGTACGCCATATACTGTATACAGTGACACTCCATACCCTGTATATAAATATACTCTATGTACGCCATATACTGTATACAGTGACACTCCATACCCTGTATATAAATATACTCTGTGTACGCCATATACTGTATACAGTGACACTCCATACCCTGTATATAAATATACTCTGTGTACGCCATATACTGTATACAGTGACACTCCATACCCTGTATATAAATATACTCTATGTACGCCATATACTGTATACAGTGACACTCCATACCCTGTATATAAATATACTCTGTGTACGCCATATACTGTATACAGTGACACTCCATACCCTGTATATAAATTTACTCTGTGTACGCCATATACTGTATACAGTGACACTCCATACCCTGTATATAAATATACTCTATGTACGCCATATACTGTATACAGTGACACTCCATACCCTGTATATAAATATACTCTATGTACGCCATATACCGTATACAGTGACACTCCATACCCTGTATATAAATATACTCTATGTACGCCATATACCGTATACAGTGACACTCCATACCCTGTATATAAATATACTCTATGTACGCCATATACTGTATACAGTGACACTCCATACCCTGTATATAAATATACTCTATGTACTGCATATACTGTATACAGTGACACTCCATACCTGTATATAAATATACTCTATGTATGCCATATACCGTATACAGTGATACTCCATACCCTGTATATAAATATACTCTATGTACGCCATATACCGTATACAGTGATACTCCATACCCTGTATATAAATATACTCTATGTACGCCATATACCGTATACAGTGATACTCCATACCCTGTATATAAATATACTCTATGTACGCCATATACCGTATACAGTGATACTCCATACCCTGCATATAAATATACTCTATGTACTGCATATACCGTATACAGTGATACTCCATACCCTGCATATAAATATACTCTATGTACTGCATATACCGTATACAGTGATACTCCATACCCTGTATAAAAATATACTCTATGTACTGCATATACCGTATACAGTGATACTCCATACCCTGTATAGAAATATACTCTATGTACTGCATATACCGTATACAGTGATACTCCATACCCTGTATAGAAATATACTCTATGTACTGCATATACCGTATACAGTGATACTCCATACCCTGTATAGAAATATACTCTATGTTCTCTATATACCGTATACAATGATACTCCATACCCTGTATATAAATATACTCTAGGTACGCCATATACTGTATACAATGATACTCCATACCCTGTATATAAATATACTCTATGTTCTCTATATACCGTATACAATGATACTCCATACCCTGTATATAAATATACTCTATGTACTCCATATACTGTATACACTGATACTCCATACCCTGTATATAAATATACTCTATGTACGCCATATACTGTATACAATGATACTCCATACCCTGTATATAAATATACTCTATGTACTCCATACTCTGTATACACCATGTCTATGCACTCTTTACACTCTATGTACAATTACTCTGTGTACTTTATACACTGTGTACACACGCCTTCTCACCGCACCCTAACATAATCTCTCAGTCATACTTGACACATTTCCTTCTCAGGCTGCCTGTGTTTGTTTTATGTTACATTATAGATCATTATAGATCCCCATTCCATGCATTCCCCCTGCCCTTTACACAGACAAACACACGAAGAGATACAGTTTCCACTATCTCAGAGTATACAATGTATCTGGGCGGGAAATCCGGCAGCTTGCACTCTTATGGAGGCTGAGAAAAGACAGCAAACATCACCACTCTCCAATATCTAATATTCTTAGTAAAAAATCATAAATTGCAAATATTTCATATCATTCTTATTAAAAATAAATACAATTAAAAAAAAAAAAAAAACAGGCTCCTGCATCAAATATTTTTATTAAAAAAAATCAAAACTCTCCAAAATCTAATATTTTTCTTAATACGAACCATCAATCTCTAATATCTCATATCATTTTTATAATAAAAATAATCAAGTCTCAATATCTAATGTCATTCTTAGTAAAAATCAGAGACCTCCAAGATCTAATAACTTTCTGAGTAAAAAATGTTTTAAAAAAAATCAATCTCCAATATTTAATACAATTCTTAGAAAATCTCATTAATATCAAATCTACAATATCATTCATTGTAAAAATCACATTACTCTAATATATCTTTATATCTAAAATATAATTGTGATATTTTAATGTTTTACTGCCAATTATTACAGATGTTTAATAATCCCATTCATTGCAAAGAACAGGTTTGCTGATGAAACACAAGTGATCTACAAGTAATTTATTTCATGAGTCTTTTAAAAGAGTGCAGTAAATTATGGCAATTATGCTTCAGCCAATTAATACAATGAGAAAAAGAAAAAAAAAAGTATTCGACGAGGATGGGATTCGAACCCACGCGTGCAGAGCACAATGGATTAGCAGTCCATCGCCTTAACCACTCGGCCACCTCGTCTGCTGTATCCCCTCCCACTATCATGTTTCTACTGAATGTCACAATAAATCACACATTAAAAAGTGTATGAATGAATATACTGTATATAGTTGGTTTTTTAATTCTTTTACAGAACAGTTGACATTGAATTGCTATGACATACATACCAGCCTGTTTGTTCTACAATATAAAATTTTAGCCTGTGCCCTCTTCAAGTATAACCTTGTATTCCTTTTAATTGTCTCATGTATAAAAGATAAATTAATTTTGTTAATATTTTGACAATGTATTAAAGATACATTTTTTTTTTTTAATTTTCTATTTCTTGTCTAAGCTCTCAGGTTAAATAT